TGTTCTTTTGCGCTGGTGGCCCAGTATCAAATATTTGATTGCGGATGCGGGTGCAGCACTAGTCTTCTTGGTCAATTAGGCCAATATTGAAGAAATTTCTGGCCGCAAGACGGTGGAGAACTAATATTGAGGAATGCTCTTTTTTAGTTTTGTTAGATTGATGATTCCATGAACCATCCAGCCTTGTGGACATAGTGTACACTACACTACCTTTCAACCATTGAGCTGTGGGGGCCTAGCAAAGTAGCTTTACGCAGGTCTATCTGGACGAAGCCGCTTGTTCCGGAAGCCGCTCTGTTAGTCTCTGAAGACTCGGGTAACGAGCCCCGTTGCCACCTCGCACGTCCTGCAGCATGACGCTCCCGTCGGGGGTCGCGATGCCGTTCAGCGTTTGAGGACGAAAGTCAAGATTAGATATCCCAGATGTTTTCCCGGGTTCACCATCCAGGGGACTCATCACCTCCGGTTCCGGGTCTCCAATTTACCGGGAGGCGGTTCTAGAAGGATATGACAACTCTCTTAGTTCTCCTGAACTATCTTCAATGACGAGATGCCGACTCGGCTTTGGCCTTTCAACACATTCGCCGGTGGGTCCGGCCCCAGCGAAAAAGATCCAAATGAGTTCTCATATTCATAGTTTGAAAAGATAAGAAGAGGATCCTCTTCTCGCACCGGCCAATGGCCGCCCTAACATCTCCAACGCCGTACTCCAAAAAGTGGAAAGGAGATAAAATGACTTGGAACTTGCCGACAACGCTATCGCTTGCACTTCCCGAGCCTCCGAGAATCTCCCGTTCTTCTACCCAGTTTGGCCCTCGGCCCCACAAAAACCTTGCTTCTCGAACCTCACCGCACTGAGACGTGCTTGCGGCACCAAGGCAATAGCTAGCACCCATTTAATTTTTGATTTTTTTTTCCCCTTTTAAATGAGGCCGATGACGTGCGGCGGTGATTGGTATTGGTGCTTCCGACCGCTCCGGGAGATGCGGCTAACCTAAGACCCGGGTGTGGCTCTTGGAGTGGAGTTGGGTGTGTGTTTGGACGTTGTTTGACGCTGTCTTGTCCTCAACTTTGATCAATCGGCGGTGTGAAGATGGTGAACGGCCAAGGGTCGTGTTTCAACAGAGGCGATGGGCACTAGAGTCCTGCTCCGAGATCTAGAACTCCCGTTCCGGCCATGTCGGAGATATGGCAAACTGAGGATCTCTAGCACGACATCTAGACCTCAAGCACCACCCATGTCAGACAGGGCGTCTTCAGTGGCATCGAGGTATCCATTCCTTTGTGCATCGGAGGATATGCAAAGGGCGTGTCCTGTCCATGGGCTTGGCTTCTTCGCCCGCCAAGATCCGCGTTTTACTTGCCAAGCTTCACCTTCTTCAATCGCCAAGATATGAGTTCTTTACTCGCCAAGATAATCCATCCTTTGTCCGTGGCATAATACAAGTACCGCCTCAGCCCCCAGCCCCGAATCTTTGGCGCGATGCTCTTTGATGCCTGTCGTAGAGTAGTGTCGTCCCAAGCACACATCTTATTCTCCGATGCCAAGAAAGAATGAACCCCCGATACGTCTCTTCCCGCATCCCCTTCCTAGCTATAATACGTCATCCGCTTCCCAGCCAACCACTGAGCTCTCTGCGCGAGCTTAAGCTCCGGCAGTCTAACTACAACTACACATGCATACATAAGCAACGAGCTCTGCACTGCCCGCCGTGCCATCGCCTTCCCTAGTTTGCATCGAGTTGTTTACGCGGGAAAGGCTGTTCGTTGCTTCAGAACCTTCTGCTTAAGCTTGCAGATGACCATTTCGGCCGACAGTGGCTGTGCCTACTGCATTTCGGGAGGGGGAAGAGAGGTGAGCTTCCCTCTGCACACAACAACGTGGACCAGTATCATGAGATACCAACCTCCTTCCCCTCCGCGCTAGTCGCTTCGTCCTTCCCCTCATCCGTTTCCCCGCTTTCTCACAGAAATTGTGATGCTGTCCATTGGGAATCAGCTTGTCGACAGGTGAATAATCCGTGACTTTCTACGAATCCCGTCTAAGTCTAGCAAGCTCAGACAGATAGGGCATGGTCCTGAGAGCAAGGTATCGTTTATCGAAGCTCTCTCCACAACGTCACCTCTCGTCCCGTTCCTTCACACCTTCGGCAGTTAGCCTCATGTAACTCTTGATTGTTTTGTTGTAGGCACTCTCGACATTTCATGTCCTAGACAGAATATCTAAACAGCGCTGGATTCCACTTTCATGACACGAAAGGCGATAGACCTCTTTAGGACGCCTGTTGTTCTTAGTCCGTTACTCGGGCATCCTGCATGAATTGGAGATTTCTTCCCTAGGCTCGTCGTCGTGTTCTATACTAGTCTGGACTCCGATTGACAAGAATGGCAGTTGGCGTTCCATATATGGCGATGAAGATTATAAGTCCCAGTCCAGGCCAGCTTCCCACGGCTACCTTGGCCAAACAGCGAATACTTGATATAAAGCCCCATTTTTTAGTATAGAAGAATATTTCGGTTTCACAGTTGACTTCAGAATCTCTTTCTCTATTCAAGAATGAGCAGAGCATATATACATTCATATTACAGCCACCTTTCTTTCACATCATACAGATAGGCTTGGCCCGCAAGCGTCTGATATCACCATCCAGAAACGTCGCGGATTATAATGAATAGTAGGAACAGTGGACTCCCACAGCCCTCGGAGGGCCAAACTCCCCATTGTGAGACCCTGCTTGTGCCCTTATCCGTGTCTCCGTTTGCAACTCAAGGCTCATCGTAGTCCTCAGGTTGGAGGGTCCCCCTCTTCGATTGGCTTCGTCGCTATTTGCCGAGACGTACCATGGAAAGGAACAGAGGCGGTGGTCGGTTCACATCATAACAGAACAAGTCACTATTGGCTCTTATCATAGGTATGAACCTACTACTGCCACTCCTTGTGGGTGGGCTACATAAAGGGCCTTCATCGCACATTCTCATCGGTGGAGGCCTGAACATACATCATGGTCTTCGATAGTACTGATATTATCTAGAGCTGTCGTGGCAAGATAGCTCTCAAACTCATCAGTTGAAGTAACCTCTTATCCGGCAACATCATACGTATGTAGTCGGGCGGCTTCGAGGAATCAAAACATGTAGGAGCTGGTATGGTAACTTTAAATAGTTAAATTCACGATGCTTAGAATACCTTGTTCCGTTTGTTCCAACGCGTCGCGGCCTTGGGATTCTTGGAGAGCTCTTCTGGAGCAACTCGAGCTAGTTGCTTGACGGATACTATCTCTAGGATTTACTCTCAGCAAGTAGAAAAGTAGAAGTGTCGAATATGGACGCAGAGCAGTAGCTTTATGAAGTAAGACAACCGGGCCTTGTCGTCTCCTCTCTAGCTATTCTGGGCTATCAATCTTCTTAAAGGCTGATGACACTCGCTATGGGCGGCCATCATCGAGGGTGTCCCAAGGCGAACCCGGCATTTGTCATAGAGACTGGATATGCCTACATCGAATTCTGTTCGGCTTCCAAAGGTAGGCGCATTTGACAGTACGAAGGAATCTGATATCAGGGATTCGGCGCCTGTGTCTTCAGCCATCGTACGATCATTCTAACGCAGCCAAGATCCTTGCTTGGCTCAATCACTTTCAACAACTCCTTGATCCAGTAGGATCAGGCCATCAAAACAAGGTCCCGGGCGGACGACAATTCCCGTTTCTATTCATTGAATTGTGGTCCATCTCAGCTTTGTCCCATGTTAATCATGGCCTGTCTACTGCATGACTTACAGCCTCAACCAAACCATTTTCTCTGGTGAATTATAAACCAAGGAGGGTGACGGACGTACCTTCCTCTAGACTTTTGACGGCGGCGGGCGCGTGTGTTATAGCTGAAAATTTGGCTCAGGATTCTCAACGACTCATGGAAGCTCAAGTCGTCGAGCGGTGACGCACTGCTTACAAAGTGCTTCTGCAAGGCGCCGGCGTGGAACCCGGTCTGGTCGAACCATGAGGCGTGGAGGAAATTGGGAATCGGGGAGGGAGAAGTGGGAATCCTTTTTTTTATTTTATGGATCAGCTTCAGATACATAGAGGTCTTTTTTTGCTTCTCCTCCTCGAGAGGCCTTCTCCTTGAGGCCTGTTGAGGTTGGGAAGTGTTTTGAGGCACTTGGAGATCGAGGTTCAGCTGAGGGAGGAGAAGCTTGGGGAAGCTGAGCGTTTCAAACTGGGTAAGAACTATTTTTTTGCCAACACTTGCCAGATGCTCAGCTGGAAGATGTTGAATCTTATCCTCGAAGAGTTAACAACACATGCAGTCCCAGTAAGCATCCTAGTGCCTAGGCACAGGACGAAAGAGCGGGATTGTCCGGATGCTCTCGCCGACTGCATGGAGCTGCTCTCGCATGAACCGCGCCCCGGTCATGCATGCTCAATAATAGTCCTCCACGTCGGTATGTACTTCGACCAAGAGGTACGAAGCCATGCAGGAAGAATCATTCCATCCATCTCCTCGACGTCCATCTACCTTCCAGCTGGAAAAAGAAGATTGAACACACCGCAAACCGTTCGAATTAGCACCGGCCTGGTACCATTCATTACCCTGGCTAGCCCGAAATTTCCACTTCGCCTCGCCGTTTCTCCTGAGTCCTACTAGGCAGATGCAGTGGCTTGTGCAACTTCACAATACTATCTGACGGCGATGAGGCAACCTGACAAATCCTCCACAGCAGGGGGTTAGAGGACGATAGCCTCGACAGCTCGGAGCCGTCTTCCGTCACTATGAATGAGCACCACAACAAGGTTCTAAATAGACGCCCAAAGCGTGTTGTTTATTCGTCCCACTATCGATGAGCAAAAGCTAGCAAGACAAGAGAGAAAAGAAAGCAACTAGGCAAGGTGTCAAGTTCTTGGGGAATAGAGAAAAAAAGGCCACTCCATTTTTTTTAGTCCATCCTTCACCCGTGTGGAAGGATAATGACAAAGTACCGTCCCTCTAGTAAAACGCCGGTTTCCTTAATGCTTAGCCGTGACCTTCTCACCGGTCAAAGTCTCTATATAACTCTTGGCCCTGTGAATCCCCAAAGACATTAGTATGCGCTTTTATATTCAAAAGACCGCGAAAGGACAGGAAATGGGGAGGTTAGGAGAAAAACTTACATGTCACCCATAGCAACCATGCAAACCGTCTGCCAAACGCCAAGACCAATGCGAGGAGTAACGCCACGATACAGACCCTTGATACCGTTGTTCTGATAAATGTACTTGAAAGTGTTACCGACAGTCATCTTCTTAGGTCGGTTGGGATCGTCAGTCTTGCTCTGCATCTCGACGCGAATGACCTCGATGGGCTGGTTCCAGGTGCTGATACCACCGCCGACGGCAGAAGCGACAATCTTCTCCCAGGCGGCGAGCTTCTCCTTTTCGTCCTTGCCGGTGACCTTGCGGATGCCCTGCTCGACGAGACGGCTGAAACCGAATCGGCTACCCCAGTTGGTCATCTGGCGGATGGCGACGGCGTTGACGCCCTTGTTGATGCCGCGGATACCCTCCTTGCGCCAGATGCCCATGAAGGTCTCGAGCGTGGTGGGGGGCTTCTGGCCAGCGGCGGCGAGCTTGTGCTTGGTGATCTCGACCGTCTTCATGCAGGTGCAGAAACCCATGGTGGCGTAGGCCTGGGCGACACCTCCGGTGACACCACCGATGATGCCACCGCCGAATTCAGAGGCGCCGAAGCTTCGCGCATAGTATTCGGCTTCGGAGGCAACGAAAAGGAGCACCGCTCCCTTGGTCGAGGCTTCGATCCAGGCCCAAGGAATGAGACCTTGGTAGACTGTTGCGGAGGGAAGGGGGAAAAAAAGTTAGTCACCGATATCGCACTTTCACATGTCGAGAGAAAACGCGGATGCTCCACATCGGAGCAAGACGCGGGATTGTGGAGGATTGGCGAAGAAAAAAAAAAAAACAGAATAAAAAGATTAAAAAAAAAAAGGGGAAACAGGGAAGAGGATGAATGAACGCCCGATAGTAAGGCGATGAAGAAAACAAAGAAGACGATGAAAAAGAGAAGAGAAAGACTTACATCCCAGAACGCCGCCTCGGCCCCAGATGCGCCCAAGAGCAGTCAGGAACCCATCACCGCGGTGGGCGGCCATGGTGGTCTTGGTGACCTCGAGAGGCTGGCCCAGGGTGGTGACCTCGAACATGTTGAGACCGGCGCCCAGCAGCAAGTTGGAAAACTTGACGGGCTTCTTCTCCAGCTTCTTCGGTTCTGCACCGGGCGCGGCAGGCGCGACGGGCGCAGCGACGGAGGCAGAGTTGGCGACCATGACTGTTTCGGCGATTATCGTGAAAGGGGCCCTGACCAAGGGAATAGGGTGCTTCTTCGCAGGAAGGGAAAAATAGTTAGAAACTATGTAGTATGCAGCTTTGCTAAGCAAGAGTGGGAGGATGGGGGTAAAAAGGGTTCTAAAAGTGGGCGGGAGCCGAGGGATGGGGAGCTTGGAGGTTTTATTACCTCGGGAGGACTAGGAACGAAGTGCAAATGTGAAAGGCAGTTTGAGCACAGGCGGTGTAAGCACAAGTCACTGGAAGGACAGTTGAGCTTTTGAGGTGTCAGGGGGGGCGAACTTGGAGGGTGGGCAAGGGCCGGATAGTGGAGGGTGACTGCAAATTTAGTGGTGGGCGGCCGGTGATTGGGGCTTATCTGGAAGTACACTCGCTGTAACACGAAGCTGGCACACACACCTCGAACTGATCAATGCGGAAGGATTGATTGAGCACTTTACTGGGACTCGATCAATCAATTGATCAGGGAGACTTGAGTATTAGTCCTGTTCCTCGCGAACAATCAGAGGGCGAGCTGACAAAAAGCAGAGAATTGACGCGATCGGTCGGGAATGTGTTTGGCTTTCGTTCCATGTACGGCCAGCAAGCTCCGCGAATTTGTTTTACAGTCCATCCCGGCCGAGGCAAGATTCTATCTTCTTTCCCGTGTCGAGATAAGAGATTCTGCACGTGTTTCTACATCATTTGAAGAGTGGAAAGCAAAGCCGGGAAGCTTCAGGGACGGGCTGTGATAGCAGCATGCATAATGGCGACCGCCTCACGAATCTTGCTTCTTGTCCATTGATCAATGTCGTACAGAGAAGAAAAAATATCTCAAATGCCTGTCGGAAGTTGCTGCAAGTAATTGATGGGTTCATGAATACACCGCCAATACTGCTTCGTGCAAAAACGCAAAGGGCAAATGAAAAAGAGTCGCATCAAGTGGTCTTCGATATTCGCGTTCTTCCCCTCTGATGCTGCAAGCTCTCAAAGCTTCCAAGCTCTCAAGCTCCCAACCAGTTGGCACGCCGATGAGGCTTGCTTGGCGAAATGGGAATTCCCGGGATGTTGAGAGCTGACGCCTCAAATGGTTGAGAACCCCGGGCACAAATTCCAAGACAAGGACGGTTTAACAATCAGGGCCCTGCCACACCAAACTTGTGCCATCCGAACAAGTAATATAAACTAAACCATGACTACGAAGTACTTTGTATAGAAAAATACGAGCTTGCGTCATGGAATCGCATTCTTGTGTAGCTCTAGTGACGAGCGAAGACGTTCATCCAATTTGTGAAGATTGGCATTAGTGTGAGGCTGCCAATCCTCGATTTGGCGCAAGCTCCTCAACTTTTCCGTGTCCGCGCAAGCTTCGAATTGGTCATTCAACGGATTGCCGGGTACAAAGGTACTGGTGTACGGTGAGTTACACTCAAGAGCCGGCGGAGATAGCTGTGCTGCTGGAGTACTGGTACCTCGGCCATTATCCTGCGAGCCTCATCCTGTGTATTGTTAGTGTTGACAAGGACCAGCTCCCCGAACAAGCAATCAATCATTCCTCTGACTACTTCGTACAATGTACGAAGTATTGATTTCGGTAACGATGGTCGCCGTCTCAATTAATGCTGCCTGGAAGTCAAGAGTCCCTTGCTGGATCAATCCATTGAGCTAGGGAAAATATATTGGCGGGGCACTAGGATAGGGGTCCTCAACATTCGAGTACGAACCGATATTTTGAGATTGACACCTGAGATTTATCTCGTCACACAAGGGACCTGGCTTCTTGTCTTCCTGTCGCAGCGCCGTACTGATACCTCGCGGCGTGGTTAAGGAGGAGGCACCCAATGTTGGAAAAACCAAGCTTAGGTTGAGGCTGACAGCATGGCGTGAGACACAGTCAGCGACTCGTCGAAATGTTCATGGTCCCCCAATGATTCCATGCGCTCTGATCCCATCATGAAGGACCCTACCATCAAGGACACGGAATTTGGATGACAGGATCCTCCTTAAGTTTGCGCCGTCACCCATGGATGTCGCGCTCTTGCAAATGGAACAATATATGTAAAATTCTACTTTTCTCCCACCGGTTCTAAAGTACACTACACTCATCGGCGCAGTCTAGACAGGATATTAAAACAAAATCGGAAATCCTCAACGAATGCGCTCTGCGCCCATGCATCAATGTATTGTACAAACGCAGTGTGTATCATCGGGGTTGTCCCCAAACCCTGCCCTCCCTTTAGTTCTCGGTAAAACAAAAATATTAAAAAGAAAAAATTGTCGCTCCAAACTTCTCCTCCAAAAAGATCGGCGGCGTTTTGTGGTTGCACCGGATGTGCCCAAAATTTTACGGGTGTCCGATACTGTCCTTTAAATTGGGGTGGCGGTAGTTGTAGTCGTGTAGTGGGTCAATCCCTAATGAGTAGGCTGGTGCAGGAGCTGGCTGCACCATAGCAGTTGCATGAATGCTGTGCAACAGGCTATCCTGATCGTATTATACGTAGTTCTAAATTTAGAGCTTGTTGGTGATCTCAATCCACTTCTGGGTCGAGAAACTCTTGGGCCTGTAAAAAGCGCAAGGTCACGTTAGCAATCGTTACATGCTTTCATTGCATAGGAATGTTGGAAAGTGGATGCGGGCCATTGCTTACCGCTCAATGGGGGCGCCAACAGCGCGGTCAATGATGAGCTGAGGAAGGACACCAATGGCCCTAGAAACACCGAAGAGGACGGTGTAGTAGCTGGCTTGGGTGAGACCGTAGTGCTGGAGAAGGACACCAGAGTGGGCATCAACGTTGGGGTAGGGGTTCTTGGTCTTGCCGTGCTCGGTGAGGACACCAGGGGCAATCTTGTAGACCTGGCTGACGAGCTTGAACATGGGGTCCTCGGGCATCTTCTCTTGGGCGAAGGTGCGCTGCGCAGTGTATCGGGGGTCAGTCTTGCGGAGAACAGCGTGGCCGTAACCGGGGACGACGCGGCCGGAGTTGAGAGTAGACCAGAGGTAGTCAGTGATGGCCTTGTCGCTGAGATCGTCGCCAATGACCTTCTTCATCTCAGTGAGCCAGTTGAGAACCTCCTGGTTGGCAAGGCCGTGAAGGGGACCGGCAAGACCGTTGAGACCAGCGGCGAGAGAGAGGAAAGGGGAGCTCAAAGCAGAACCAACCAAGTGGGTGGTGTGGGCGCTCACGTTGCCACCCTCGTGGTCAGTGTGGATGGTGAGGTAGAGACGGAGGAGCTCAACGAAGTCGGCGTTGCCGCCGAAGCCGAGCTGGTTGGCGAAGTTGAAACCGTAGTCCTTGTCCTTCTGGACGGGGGCAACCTTGCCGCCGCCGAAGACATTCTGGTAGATGCGGGCGGCGATGGTGGGGAGCTTGGCAATCAAGTCCATGGAGTCCTCGAAAGTGTAGCCCCAGTAGTCCTTCTTGTTGATACCCTGAGCATAGGCCTTGGCGAACGAGGAGGTCTGCTCGAGCGCGGTGACGGCAAGAGAGAACTGGGCCATAGGGTGGAGGTCGTTGGGGCAGTTGTCAATCAAGTCCTCGACGAACTTGGGGACCTCGGCGCGGGCAGCCCAGTCGGCAGAGAGCTCACGGACCTGCTGCTCGGTGGGGACCTCGCCGGTAAGGAGGAGCCAGAAGAGACCTATATGCGCGAAAGAGCGTTAGCCTTCATCGTCAAGATTTGCGATCGATGTGCAACATGGCTATCTTTCCAAACTTACCCTCAGGGAGGGGCTCCTTGCCACCGGGAGCCTTGGGAAGAACCTCCTGGCATTCAGGGATGGTCTTGCCGCGGAATCGGATACCCTCCTCGGGGTCGAGGACGGATCCCTCCCAGACGAGGCACTTGATACCACGGGCACCACCATATACTTGGTCAAGGGTGACCTGATCTACGACCTTCGAGCCATGCTGCCTGTTCAATTGCGAAGTGGTCAGCATTCCGAATCGCCCCAGAATATATTTTTAGGTCTAAGTGGTTGTGAAAAGTCCAAACTTACTTGCGAAGGGCCTTGATCTCCTCAATCTTCTCGGGAATGAGCTCGCCGAATCGCTCCTTGAGGGTCTGTCGCAAAGAATCAGCACCGCGGTTCGCAAACCCATTGAGCGCAACGGGACAATTAGGCAGTAATCTAGAAGCTCGCATGTCATACCTTAGACTTCGCAGAGTAGTACCTGGCAGTCTGGAAAGCGGCTAGCTTGGTGTTGAAGGCTGGCGCCTTGGTGAAGGTAGCTCGGATGGCCGAGGAGCTGAGTCGCGAAACGACAGCCATTGTGAAGAATGTGGGTTGTGAAGGAGGAAAGGGTTTGATCAATTGCCAGCAATGACAGAAGGTAGAATGACTGCTCGAGGATGACGAACAGTCAATTGGAGGAGAAGTTTGGAACTGCGTGAAAAAAGGATGATATCGTGGTGGTGTAGTGATGGAAGTTGAAGCTAGAGAGGGACGAAGGGAAGAAGGGAGAAGAAGGAAAAAAAAAGATTATTATTAAACCGCACCGATACTCCGATAGGTCCGCTCGCCGCAAGCAATGTGATAGGGTAGGCAGGTCCGGCGGAGTACTGCCGAGTACAGGTACCTAGACTCTGCACTCCACGACACTACGAAGTCGGAGGTGGGTACGCCAATGTCGCAAAATGCCAACAGACCAACGGAAGGAGTGGAAAGGAGGTTGGTTGCCTGGCTAGTCAGGCTCTTACATCAACAGTGCCGAGCTGCCCACTTGGAAGCACAGAGACAAGGGCACTTGCTAGCCCCAACCAACGCCACCTTGACCAGGGGCTGGGGAAGAGGAAGCGGCAATTATTACGAAGTTGACCCATTGCAGCTCGATGATCAATTTTTACTTCGGAATTCGTTCTTCGTGCCCCTTCGATGGGGGGCTGAAAATCAACATTTGAAGCTTTCAATCGATGGATTGTACACTACCGAAAAGTACCAAGACCCGCCAAGGTCTCTCCTCTTTCCTAATCAAGTCGTGCTCCCATCCTCGGCAACGAAGCGCGAGAATCGTTTCCCGCTCCAGGAACGGACGACGACATTTGATAGATGATATTTACCTCGCCGAACTCTCTTTAGGTTCCGGGAGGGGATCATGCCAATAGCCAACCGATGGCAACAACACTGAGCTGTTGAAAAGCTTCAATTTTGGCTTGTGGCGCTTCGAACCAGCACTATGTACAAGTCCGGAATAGATCTACGGCTGATGACATGTTTGGGACACCCCGCGAGAATCACAAGTTGGGGAAAACTGCTAATGATGCAAGTTGGTGTCTTGGTGTAAGGTCGGACGTATGGATTCTCTCGGAGGATGAAGAAACTACGGAGTACACTACTACACGATGAGTATAGGCTATTCCCGGGCCCATCGAGTCTCGACCCGTCGGACGAGACAAATAACCCCTCGTGGCTTGTGGAAGTTGTGGAATCGTGTGGATAGAAAATCCCGCGGCACTCCGTTGCTGTCCACGGGATCTTGTGCTTTGGGGACTTGGGAGCTCCGTTTGTCCTTGATTTCCTGCCACGAAAATCGGGATTGCGGGACCCGAATTGGCCTTGATTCGATTGACCTTCTCTTTCCGATCATTCCGGAGAGCTTGTGACACCCCCATTCAAGAAATCCTCCGAGCCTAGCTTCGCTGCCCGCATCCAAAATGCAAAAGCTCCTCGGCGGTAGTAATCTAGTCTACGGTGCGTTTGCAAGAAATCTCTAAACAGACACTGTATAATATTTTCGAAATTGCACTGTTCTTCTCTTGCTTTAATAAGCATCGGCTATTCGTCGGAATATATTACCTATGCTGAACCCTTGGCCCGCACCCCTCTGATTTTTCAGGTCGCTGGTATCAGGCATGGTTACAGACCTCTTCTTTGAAAATCTTGCAACACTTTCCCCCCTTAACCTCCACCATCGTCACATCATCTCCTCGCAGCAAATCCATTTCGCGGCCACGTCCTTTCATCCTCTCTCATCCGCCGTTGACGTTGGCTCTGCCGGAAATTGTCCGCAGAATTTGATACTTGCCAATTTGATTCTATACGACTTGTAATCCCCTCGATTTCGTTTTCGACATTTCTCCGCCTGTTATCACAGACTTGGCTAGGCGCTCGACGAACAACGACACTTTACGACCATCTTCCATCCTCTCGGAAATCTTTTCGATCCAACACGAACGACCAGATCGTGGTGAAATCGCCCCTGTAAACTCGATCTGGACATACCTGTCGTCTTTGACTATCTAGGACCACTCAAACAAGTACACCTCGTTCTGGTAACCCATCTCACTTGCCCTACCAAGACCGGTTTTGTGGTCGCCTGTACACACTCTCCGGCCCTTTCTATTAAGTAGAGGTATTTCTCCGCTGGGGATATCAGGCTGCGCTGTTTGAATCTCCACAATTTGCGCTTTCGCCTAGCTGTGGCCAACTTTTCGGATCGGGCACGTGACCATAAGGACTCGACCTCTTCCAGGGCTAAACAGTCACAAGCAACGCCGATTGCAAGACCTAGAGTGGTTGGAACATCTTGCGGTGTTGAATCACAGTTACTCTCTGGCTGCGGCCCCTAGTCAAACCCGTATCGTGAGCGACAATAAGAGAAGTGACTAGAAGGAAAACGACTCTCTGTCGGCACCTCGAGGCCAACTTCGTACTTCCCTAGGCGTCCTAAACACTACATATCCTACTACCTGCGTACGATCCTATTAGGCCAACTAAAGGATCTAGACCAGCTGGAGCAAGGGACGGTTAATCAAAGGGACGAGAAGTATATTGAGCCAGAATAGACGATTCTGACCTGGCCGGGTGACACGAGTCCTTGCCTTCTGGAGCTAGACTGGACGAGGGATTGTGAATCTCTCGGCCACATCATTCATCCACATTGCTTCTCTCGAGGAGGCGATACAATCTCTAGAGACAGGGTCGACTATCCAACTCCTTTCACTCCCCCACACCAGCGTCTTCTTTTTCGACGCTTCACCTCCCGAACCAAATTCTAAACAACACAAGCGCACCGCTCCCCTTTGAGACCGCCTCAAAGGTGTCACTTGTATTTCCCTCAAGGACGTCAGGTCAGAGGACCTTTTTTTAGACGCCAGCCACTGGCTGGGCCACTCCCACCTCGCCTCCTCTGGGGTCTCCGGTCTTAACCAACCCTTTCCCTACCACGTATTTCATCCTACAAGCACAATGTCCGCCGTGGCCGAACTGGAAGCTGGCCTTACGGCCATGCTCCAATTCAAACCCCCCGGTGTATCCACGTCGAGGATTAAGAGCCTGACTGATCTTTGTCAGAAGAATATCAAGGTAACCACGGATTTACTCTCACTTAGGCACTCTGAGAGATGACATGACCGTAGCTAACATAAGCATCTCTTGTAGGATGAATCCCTTATTGTCCAAAAATTCTATACGCATTTCAAGAAAGCTCCGGGCACCCACAAATTGGGCGTCCTCTACCTGATCGACTCGGTCGTAAGGAAATGGGTCGAGCAGGCTAAGCAAAATAACCAAGAAATTTCTAGCACTGCCCAAGATGGCACGTTCGCTGCCGGTGTATTCAGAGTAACAGAAATCGTTCCGGCCTTGATGGATAACATTATCCAGTCTGCCCCAGCCGATCAGAAGGTATGTTTCTAGACTTCGCTTCATGATGGCCAGCCTCGTAGTCATCTGTAGCAGTGACGCCCCGAGAACTCTGCCTGAAAACTTCTTTCCAATGATCCTCTCTTCCGCCACGAAAGCCCCTTGTTCTGCTCGTAAGAGAATTCTGGTAGTTATGCCAGCACATTCCCTTTCACACATCTATCCCACAACAATGGAGAAAGAAGGCTTGGAGAATCGTGGTTGTGACGAAGAGGAAATATGATTCCTGCGAAACAAGGCACACCCTGAGCTGCTCACGTACTTACTGGATTTCTTCTCTCTGCTGTAGGATAGGATAAAGAAACTGGTCGATATCTGGGAACGAGCACAGACGTTCCCTCCCGGCTACATCGCCAAGTTCCGACGACAATTGGCTGATGGTGGAGCAAGTATGTATTCCTCTAAACGAACGACTGGTAACCCTATGTTATGCTCGGAGCATGTTTCTAGGTGCCCCTTCGAGGGCGATGATAGATAACTAACATAAGCTGTAGCCGTATCCACTACTCCCCCCGGCAGCCCTCCTCCTGGTCTGCCTGGCTCGGCGCCTGTACCAACCCAACGACCTGGGGCGCAGCCAACTGCTGCCCCGGTTCCCGCTGCTCAGCCTGCTCCTAGTGGCGCCAACATCATGGAGGTGCTGGCCAACATTGCCAAGCAGAGCGCAGTGAACCCTCCCAAGCCAACCGGAACCCCCCCAGTCGCACCCAGCACGTCCACACCCCCCGCTCAAGTTGGCGCGTACGGTCTGCCTCCCACCACGACTCCCACCGTTGTGGGTTACCCCCAAGTTCAACAGCCCTTGGCCGCCGCTCCGGCCGTTCCCACGACCATGCCCGGCTTCCCCGCCCAATATCTTGCTGGGCTCACCTCCGCCCAGAACCTTGGTATTCCAGCTCTTGGAGCGCCCGCGGCGTACCCTGCCGCTGCTATACCCCCGGCCCCCGCCCCAGCTCCTCCGGCTCCCGCAGCTCCTGCTGGTGCCGCCCTTAGCGTTGACCAAGTCATGCTGATCAACACCCTTATCAACCAAGGCCTTAAGCCCGAGCAGATCTCTGCCATTCTGGCAGCTATGTCGGGTACCAGCACTGCACCTGCGGCGCCGGCCATGCCTGCTTTCGCTCAGCCACAGAACGGCGGATGGGGACCTAGCGGCCACGGCGGCCATGATCATGCTCCTGCCGGTGACCGGAGAGGATACAGGAGCCGCTCGCGCTCAAAGTCACCCGACCGCTGGGGCGGTGGACGTGATTCGCGTGGTGGTTATGATAGGCATAACCGCCGCTCTAGCAGCCGAGAGCGGGGTGGTAGGGACCGAGGAGACTACCGTCATCGTAGCCCCATGGGACGCCGCGAACGTAGTCCCGGTGATCGCCCCCATGAGAAGCCCCAAAAGTGGGTTGAGATGGACCACAATCTGAGACCTGGCCACATCAAAGGTAAAGTTCAATCCTCTCCATTGCCCTGGTCTCATGTCTCCACATAACTCCTAGCTAACCATTCTTCTGCCTACAGTCCTGAGCCGAACCCTTTTCGTTGGCGGTGTTACGTGAGTTTCCTTCCCCCTTGTGCATATTACAGGGTGTTTTCTATTTACTAACGTCCACCCTATAGTTGCTCCCAAGCCGAGCTTCACGACCTTTTCAGCCGAGTTGGCCATGTCCAATCCGTTATTATTAATAAAGAGAAGCGACATGCTTTCGTCAAGATGCTAACTCGCGAATATGCGATCGAGGCCAAGAATAGTATGGGTGAATATAAGTCAGGAGGTTTGGCTCTTCGTGTAAGTGTCCTCCCACAAATCGAATGGCATTTTGAAGGAAGTGAAGAAACAGAACTAACCATTTTCTACTTTCTAGACTCGCTGGGGTGTCGGTTTCGGACCTCGAGATTGCTGTGACTACGAAACGGGTATTAGCGTCATCCCCATCGCACGACTGACCGAAGCCGATCGAAAGTGGCTTCTCACTGCCGAATACGGAGGAACCGGCGGCGCGCCCATTGAGACTGGGATCTGCGTCGAGGAGCCCGACATTGAAATCGGAGCCGGCGTTTCCTCCAAGGCGATAAGCCGTCGTGTCCAGACCGACAAGGGTGGCGCGCATGGCCCCAAGTCCACCCGACCTCGCGATGAGGAGTTCCACGGGCCCCCCGGCCGAGGCGATCGACCCCGACACCGTGATGTACGCCGTGATGACGATGGCCCTTCGAACCGCGACGGTCAATACCAAAACCCGTTGAACCCGAATCTTATCCCCCCCGGATATGCCTACGGCATGCAGTCGATGCCCACGTACCCAGGATATCCATATTCGCAGGACTCTAAGCCTAATGGCTCTTAAGAAAAATCCCCTTTACCAGACCAAGTCCCTCCCTTGTACGAAACTTTTGGGACTTGAGTAATAGTGGTGGTTTGCATTCAGCATCTACGACCTTTTCGTGGAGATAATCTCCAAGTCTTCTCATTTTTTAGTTTCTTCTTCTTCTGTTCAAGGGTGGTAACCTCGTTCCTTTCACTGCATTTTTCGGCTGTACAACCGGGAGGGTTTCAGGAAGCTGTTTGACTTCTGCATTTGGACGGTGGCGGCATCATGTTGAATTCATTGAGGAGTACGGATTGAGAGGGAAAAGAAAAAGAAAAGAAAGCAAGATAGCGACGTTGTTTTTTATCCATTTTATTCTGTTCTACTTATTGTTGATTGTTTTCCTGTGCGTATTTTTGCTGAAGCAACGGGATGTGTTGCTGTAAATGGTCTCTGAGTTGAGACGAGGCTGTTGCCTTTATGTCTCGGCGTATTTAACAATTGAACTTGGAATTAGCATGGTATCTTCTTTTGGTCCCGTCGTGTATGCTCTTCTCTCTCCGCGTAAGGATGTTCTGTTTCTCTCCTGATTCATGATTGTGATAGTCAAGGAAATAGAATGATGTTAGAACCAACCCTCAACCAGTTTCTAAGGGATACGCACATTCACATTTCATATGAATTGGGATTGCAATAAATTGATTCATACGAGCTAGAAGAGCAGAGGCACCTCGAGGAGGTCACTCAAGCTCTCTAATATATAGCGGTGTATGTCACCAGTAGGCTAAGAAAATTCTGAAAAGCAATCATCGCAACGGACATAGTTCCCTCCTCCACGATTCTTCGCTCTCTACCGTGAGGCCATCCTGTTGTCAAAAAAGAGGGGAAAAAACGCAATCATTCCTGGGACTCATCAAAAGCCAAAGAGCAAGCATCATCCACATCACCATGCAGTATCGCGCTCCTGTACCGCCGCATATTCAAGTTTCCGCTTCGAGATCAAGCCCATAATCCATCCTCTCCAACATCCACAAATCCACCTGCGAAGCCTCCAAATCCGCCTTCACCTCAGGCGCCAACATCTCCCAGTCCAAATCCTTCTCGCAGTTCTTCTGGTGCTGTTCGGCGGCCGCATAGCAAGGCTGCGTGGGCTGGGCATATATGAGCGCTCTACGCCGCCATCGCCAGCCCGTGCTTCGTATCGACTGGCTCGAAGCTTCCTGTTGATCCACCTCGAAGGAGCTCAGAAGGGGGCCAGTTGGGTCGTTCTCGGCGTGGGCCTCGGCGCGGTAGAGGTTTAGGGATGAGTAGTTGGGGCCTTGGAAGACGCCTAGGATGGGGTTTGGGTTCCGCACGAGTTGTTCGCGGGCAAGATATTGCCTGGCGCGGAGGACGCCCGAATCGGGATCGTCGTCGCTTTGCCAGCCTTCTGGAGGGGGCGGCTCCGGGTGGGGGATGTATGGCTTTGGACGACGAACGGGGCGTGTGGCTCTTCCATTATCGAATGGGAGGTGGACAAAGTCTCCGGCCATATCGTCTTCCTTATCCACCGAGAGTAGATAAACTCGGCCACTCGCGTCTCCGACGGCTAGTTTCGAAAAGTCGGGAGAGAAGGCCCCAGCAGACACGGGGCCAGTAACCTCTAAGAGGTCTCGGATCAAAGGGTCTTTGTGACGCACGTTCCAAATCTTGACGACCCCATCTGAACCCCCGGTATAGAGACGATCAAGAGTACTCCCCCATGCAGTAAACTTGACGCCCACGTCTTCTTTCTCCCTGTCGCCTCTGTATTCTTCGATAGGCTCCCCATGGCAGAGGATATGGATGGGCCTGTCTCCCTGAGCCGTGTCCCAAACGTAAACCTTTCCGTCAGTCGACGCAGCCGTAACATAGAAGAACTCCGGGCTGTTCGGACGAATCGTGAGCTCATTGATATCGAGCGAATAGCAGTCCAGGATATGCGTAAAGCCGTAGAACTCGGCTGAGGCGCTAATAGTAGCCGCGTTGTTTTCGGGCCGGAGTGGCGGGCTCGTGACACTGCCCGTTCTGCTCGACAGCGCGAAGACACGAATTTGAGTTCGGACGTTGTGCCCCGCCATGTTAACGGGTACCGAGGTGGCGACTATGAAGATGGGCTTTGTCGGGTGCCAGATCACCTCGAATACGTTCTGGGCCATGGGGATGCCCATCGAGACCTCGCCGCCTGTTCGCACGTTGAACATCCTCATCACGCCGGAATTCCTCCTCTCCTCTGGGATGTCATTATCGTCCGCGCTAGAAGCACGAGGTGAATACCCGACAAGCAGATGGTGAGCACATGCCTCGGCAAGGCCCCATTGAATAGTGGCAGGGTGGTAGGCCCAGCTGTCCGATTCCCCCGGTTGCACCTCGGGACCGCCGACCCTACCGCCTAATCCCCGGTAAGGACTTGAGGAGAGGTTGTCCGGGTCGACTACGCAGTACACTCTTACTGCTTGAACTTGAACATCAGACGCGGTCGCGACGAAGCGGGAGTCGTGCTTCGATACGACGACAAAGTTGACGTTCGCGTCATGCTGCCAGGTCCCCATGAGCTTCATAGACTTGCCCGTCTTGTCCACTCTCCACGCCTTGACGGTCTTGTCAAAGCTCGACGTATAGGCTAGATCTAGTTTCTCATCATACGCGGACGACACTACGGAGGCGTAGAGCCAGGGATCTTGGCTTCGCCGCATGGCCTCCGTCGAGTTTTCGCCCTTAGCGACTACAGGTCGAGGGATGCGGTGATCGGAAAACGCGCGGAGCGTTCCAGCGCTGGTGGAGCATAAAAGTAGATTTCCCGGCTTGTTGTATTGCTGGTTATGGGAGTCGGAATGTTCCGTGGTACCGCAGATGAAGCTCGAGTCGGATACCCAGGATATAGTTATGATATCGCCAGCGCAGTCTGTCCACTCTTGCCGCAGCTCGAGCTCGTCCTCCCGTACTAGGCGTACCTCATCCTTGATACCACTGACGTTTCCTCCGCGGCCGAACAACGACCGGCCTTCTATTTCCCGCTTAAAAAGCAGGGAGGATGTCCTGCCCGAGCGAGATGTTGTTCTGGCGGTGTCAAAGATATCACGCCGTAGCGTATAGATCCTTGGTCGCTTGGCAACTCGGCCTTCGTTGACATCAACAAGAAAATAGTAAAGGTCCAGTTCACTCCTCGCACAGACCGCCCCTTGCCTGTGGATCTTTTCAGGTAGCAGGCTGGCAACTAGTGGGCGTCTTCTCAATATCTTCGCGATCTCGCGTACCGGATTCTTAGGCGGCTTAGAGAGAGTGACCAATTCCCGCGCCTGTTGCCGGACATACTCGATCTCCTCTTTGCTAAAATCCACATGGTACGTATATGGTTCCTTTAGCGTTTCCAGGCCCAGTGACGCGACTTTGCTACTTCGCAGCGCCGTCTCGATAAGGCACCTATTTTTGGCATCGATATATGGTCTCTGCGGGCCTAAGGTGAACCACCGGTTCCGTGACCCGGTCGCACCTTCCAGCAGAGCACCGCTGGCGGATCCACCTTCCTGGCGTGCTCCTTCCTGTTTTTGCGATCGCCATTCGAGAGCTCGCGCCCTTGACCGATAATTAGCTGGAGAGACGTCCGAAAGCAGAATTCGTCGAGAATTCTGGGCCAAAGGACGTGGTGTCGGGGGAGGAGGAGGGTTTTCAGCTAGATTCGGTCCGTGGGCGTGGGATGGCGGTGAGTCGCGACCGGCTTCGTCTGTCGCCTGGGCGGATGGCAGGGTTAGGTCCTTGAATAGGACGAGTTAGCCTAGGCATCCGCGTTAAGCCGCGTGAAGGAAGGTCGCTAACTTACCTCGCCTAGCCCGGCATCGTAGATATCGTCCTCCTGTTTTATGTAGCTGTCTCTGACGAGGCGTCTCTTCTTCTTAGGGGGTTCGGGGTCAATCTTGATGACCTCTGGCTGCGGGATGGAGGGCGTCGATGCTAGCGTGCCGTTGCGGCTAGGTGCATGAGGAGGAGGAGGAGGAGGAGGAGTGTCGTCCGCCGTTAGATCAACGGGGAACTCATAGCTACCGGAATACGTCAGGACTGTGGCGGGCATGAGGCATAGAGATGCAGACTTATCAAGGCTGCATCTGCATCTTCCGATCTATGCTGCTGGATTCTAAAAAGAGCTCAGGGCGGATCCTAGTAGGGAGTTTGAAAGTTAATATAAAGTAAACTTAGACTTTAAACTCTTTAAATCTTACTAAGCTAGTATTACTTAATAGTAATAGTAATCTTTTAAAATTAAGTTTTATAAAATTAAATTTATTAATAAATTAAATATAAAAATTAAAATTAAAATTTTAATAATTTTAATATATTATATAATATAAATATTTATTATTATTATTAATTATATAAAACTTATAAAGCACGATTTTTTTATAAAAAAATAATCTTATAAATATTATAATTATTATTTATAAAATATCGTCGTCCGCCGTCCGCTACCCGCCGTCTTATCAAGTATCGCAAGTATCGCAAGTATCGCGAGTGTCGCCAATGTTAATATCATCAATGTCGTGGTCGCTATCGGTATCGTGGTCAAGATATTATGCTTAAGTAAAGCTCTTGCGGGCTCGACTCGGAAGAGGATGCACGAAAGAAAATTTCTAAGTTAGAAAACTCTATTTAGTGCCTAATAATGTTATAATTATCTTTTTCCTCTCTCTCTCTCAATTAAAAAAAATTGAAACTAGAATATTATTTTAATACAATACCAAGAGCAAGGAAGACAAACCAGGCGAATCCAATCGTGTAGTTCAAAGTCTCAATGAAGCAAAATACAAACGCGACTAGAGATAATTACTACTTATTTCATTAGTGGCCTTTTCATGTTGGAATGGAGAGCGTGGCCGGGTGCTGTTTGCATGCACAGCAATCCAGTAAAGTGACAAAGAGTGAAGTAAATTAGAAAATGGATTCGGGATATCAATCGTTTGGTTCCGGAAAGGTTTATGAGCCATTCCTCTCATGACGGAGCAAGAGAAAGAAGCGAGATTGAACTGGAAGCATGAGAAGAAACACGTCTATTAAGACTTCCCTGAGCTCTGCGTTTGTTCTTTTAAAATAACCCGAGAATTATCCGATATGCCAGATGATAAAATGAGCAAACCTTAATATCACTTCTTCTCCTCTTGAAGTACCTCAGCGCCAACATTGATCAATTAAGGATTGTTTCTACACACAAAGTGCCCATCCCTTAAAACGCCAGGATGAAGTATGCATCCTGGCTAATGGTGCGATTGATACAATCGGCCCCTTCTGACGGCCAATGAGAAAGGCATCCTCCATGAATCCTTTGATGCCTGTCTCATGGGATCATAATTGTGGTCCAGGCCCGGGGCGGGGCCGGGTGGGGGCGGAGAGCGGAGCACCGGGCACGTTATTGGTGGTGCCTGGGAAGTCGCAACCCTGTTTGGTTGGTCGCGACCTGCAACCGACATCAAGCAATCACTTGTGTAGCTGCAACCGCCTGTTCCATTAATAGAGCCAAACCCATTGAATTCTCGGCTGCCTGGGCTCACCCTTCCATTTGGTGTCTTTTCGTTTCTCTCTCTCTCCTACCTCTCTCTCCCAAGCCTTGCCCGAGCTTCCCAAACCCGATCAAGTTTCCCATCGCCTCGCTCACTAGCGCCTTGGGAGGTCTTCATCGTCCTCTCGTCGCTAACAATGGCACCCGTATATTTTCTTCTCGTTATGACCACCATGATGCGTGCTGCGGTGGGCATGGCGACATCGTGGGCTGGAGATCAATCTCGTCTACACGATCCCCAGAAGGCAGTGGAATCACGTAGCGTGAGTGTGGGCTTCAGTTTCCAGCCGTCGTATGTCGCCGGAACTGTCCTCTTCGAGGATGACGATGGCAACCTCGAGTGGCATACAGAGATCGATCGGAGCAGTAATGCGTACCAGAAGGTTATGGCGAAGTTGTCGCTTCCTTCTTCGCGCCACCTCGCGTACGTTACCTTCCGTAGCGCCGCTTGTCCTTCGGGTGTCTCCGATGGCTAAAACTCTTCCTAGTCCCCCATACGACGACATGGAAGAGATGTGGAGGGACCTGCCCCGCAAAGCCCTCCGAGAATCCCTCAAATTAGTTGGTCTTCCAGCATCTTACGAAGTCGGCATCCTCGGGCATGCAGCCCAGCGCCTCCGTACCAAGTTGGAAAAGACGCACAACATCCACATCGACGGTGCGGTCTTCACTGGATCTCACCTCACGGCGCTTTACCAGGACGACCTTGAGGACGTCGCCGCCTTCCTCAAGATCCACTATTTCACACCCAACTGGCAGTTCAGGCCTTTTGTATGGGAGTCGGCCTCTGCGTACGCCGGCTACGGATTTGGACTCTGCGAGCATTGGCGCGACGAGGCGATTTGCGAAAAAGAGATGGAGGAGATGGAGAACCTACCCGTCATGTCGGTGCACTTCACGCGCAACGCCCTGACCGTCGCGATGCCTGTTATTCATGCCGCCGTCATGGCGTGGGAGCCCGACGGCCGGCACTTTGAGAATTTTACGCTGGGGAGTGACGCCATTGTGAACTATCCCACCCATGACGCTTACTGGGCCGACGTGCGCGAGTTCCTGCTCTCGGTCACTTGGGTACACCCGGGCGCACGAGCTCCTCGGAGAATCATCGTGCTAGGCGACATGGTGGACGAGCATTTCCTCCGGGTCTTGCGCGAGACAGTTGTGGCGCATTGGGGGGACGATGAAGTAGGGCCGATACATTCGCACTTGGCCGAGTCGGCCTCTTCAAGGGGCGCAGCCGAGTTCATGCGCCGGGGGCCGGCGTCATGGGCTAGCATGAAGGGAGACGATGTGGAGCTCTGAATGGTAACAGTTGCATTTAGATTTCCTTGCATTTCCCTTTTCTCTTCTTTCGTTTACCGCCCGTCTCCCTCTCGATTCAAGGGCGGTTCGTTTTGAATTTGGGGAGTGTATGATAGTGTTTACTGTTATCCCTCAGTGTTAATTGTGTTGCTCTGTATATGGCATGCGACGAAACTGAATCGAGCCCAATATATCTATTGATCCGAAGGTATTGCCATGTTCTCCTGCTGGCCCGTGGCAGTAATATCACTCACCAAATCCTTTGAATCATCCTGGATTGTGATACTGGCGTTGGCCTGATAAGTCCATCACCATCCCCAAATCCATTCTAGGCAACAATTCCTCATTATTTTAGGTTTGCGGGAATCTACTGGCAATTCTATAACGTTATGCCTACCCAATTCGAAAATACATGGCAGCACGATCTGAATCAACGAGGCAACCCAAATCACAGCCCCGTGAGGATATAACCCGTTGGCCTTGGAAGCTAGAAGAACCTTGGGGTCTCACCTCCGGCCCCTCTCAATCCTGAACCCTTCCTGAATCTTGCCCTCTGGTTCCATATGAACTCATGAGAGTGACCCCTTCCGATTCTCAAGAGGGCTCGGAGTTCGGGATGTTTGTGGGGGCTTATTTCCAGGTTGAGGTCGACGCGACGGGCCGCTCAGCCACAGCGTCTCGTATCGTTTGCCAAATTGAAAATGGGTTGGCTTTCATTGCTACACCATCTTACATCTTCCCCCGCTTCTTGTCGCGGGCTGTGGGGTTTTGTTACAAGCTTCCTCTCCACATCTCCAAATCCCCTTTGCCTCAGTGCTGCTTCCGCGTCCTTCGAACCGGGCGCTCGTCACGAGGTAAAACTACCAGGATGGCGACGCAGCTGCAACCTAACCCATCCAGGCAAGTAGTTGTGAGGTTCTTTTCTTTTCCACCTTCACTCCCCCCCCCACAAAGCCAGCCTAGCCGGCTGATTTTCTTGAGCTTCACCTACACCGCGACTCATCAGCCAACATGTCTTTTTTCTTCTTTTCAGCTTATCATAAGCTGGGGTCTCATTTTAAGATACATCTCTTATATCGAATTCTCACTTTTCTACCTCTCTTTTTCTAATTATATTCCCGCAGCTAACATCCCTCATGCACCACAAAGGGTCCCGGGCCCGAGAAAGGCCTTTTACACCATCTGCCCTAAACCGGGAGCCGACATATCCCAGACTGCAGACTTCATCACGTCCGTGGTCCACGAGAAAGTCGTCTCCTGGACCGTCGAAGCTTCCCCCGAGGAGATTAAGCAGATACAAGCGCTACGAGGGCATCGGTCAGGTTACCAAGCTCGCTACCCCGTCTGCGCGCAGTGGCACGCGAGAAGATGCGCCTAGGACCGGCCCGTACGCTATTTTCCCCGTGGACCCCGGCAACAAGGTGTAGCTTGCCGTGACTAAAGAGGCCCTTGAGGAGCTTCTCGGGGAAGTCGAGCTCGAGCCCGCCCACCTCGGTGATGAGTTTGTATGGTGGTGTACATACATCACTCCTTCCCAAGCCGACGACGTTGAGAAGATACCCGGCGTATCCAGTGCTACCCCTGATCTGCCATTGGATCCAAATTAATTTTTATGAGTCACCATAACCGCCGCCATCGACACTGGATGTCGGGGCAGCAACGAGGAAAGCGAGCTCGTCTGCGCGAACCTAGATGACAAAAGTACGCGGGACTAGGACCACCTCAGGGACGCCGTTGAGAGGTTCTGTTCGAAGATTGAGGAATAGGGTAAGCTGGACAAGAACTTCGCGCTCCACTGCGTTACATGCGGGTACTGGTCATCATCGCCATGGGCACGCCGATCCCAGGGAAACCGTTTTCCAGGCGTTCCTTATAGGCGAGATTAGCAACCAGTACTGCTACATACGACCATAGCTCGCAGAATATTGAGGGTCCCGTCCGCTCCCCTGTACACAAGCTGCGAAGCGCCGGACTAGTAGTTGGGTCGGTGACGACCAGCGAATCCCCGGTGTTGTATGTTTATTTTTTTCGATCTTCTTTTTTTTTTTTTTTTTTTTTTGCTGGGAGATTTCTCCATTTTTCCCCATGTGCCCCTTTCCTATATTTATCAGATTAGGAGGGAGAACGGTATTCGAGAATGCTGAAGTCGTGAGGGAGTCAAAGGTCTAGGGAGGAGGTGGACCTATTGCACAAGTACACTAGTTTCTGATTAGGCTGGTTATTTTTCTTTGCTCTTGCTCAGTTGTTTTTACTTCCCATACACGAAGTCAACTTTAGGGTATAATTATGTTGGGTGTGTCGTTAGGAGCTATGCTTGTGATAGAGTTGCCGTCTGTTCGGTGTTGATGGCCTATGCCCGCTCGGTTACACCATGTGAAAGCTCCTAGGAGGTTCTTGCTCTGGGGGAGAGGGAGGGTCGATGCGGTTGAACGGATAACCACGTAAAGACTATACTCGCCAAGAGGAGCCCTAGTCCAGAACATTCTTGGTTTCGGCTTAGCTGCAAGAGATTTCAGTTACTAGATGAGAAGCAAAATTCAATAGAAAGGCACCACACATCTGGGATCGATGTCAGAACCATCTCGAAGCTTCCCAAGATCAACCAACATGCAAACACACAAGCGGACAGAAGACTAGAACAGATAAGTTTCATATAATAGTACTCGAAATTAGCAAAAAAAGGACGCGAAAAAAGAACTTGGAAAAGATGCCCTGACGCCTTGGACAGTTGTCCATTATGAACACAATTCCCAACCTCAACTCCTAGATTTCCCCTCCCTCCTTTTCTTGAAATCAGAAAACAAGATAGACGAGATGAGACATGAGAAACGGAAACAAAAGTATCCCTTAAAAGAGGAAAACTGCGGGAATAGGGATATCGATGACAGTACACGATAGTCTGGAATCCTCGCTGCCGCATGAGCGAAATATACCCGTACACAAATCAAGCCTCAAGAAGAAAACCAAGAGAGTTGACGAAGCTATTACAAGGGAGCAGAGAAGGAGAATGGCGGTCGGGCGGTATTTACGCCTCGACGCCCTTCTTCTTCTTGTGCTTCTTCTTCTTGGAGCCCTCTTCGGGCTCAGGCTCAACATCGTCGTCATCATCGCGCTTCCGCTTCTCGCCCGACTTGCTCTTCTCCTTCTTCTTGCTAACTTCGGCCGTGCCGTCGGCGTTGATGGTGATCTCACCCTTATCGAGCTTCTTCTTGAACTTCTTGACAGACAAGTTGACGCTGGCAGCCAGCTTCTCGTAGTCAGGCTCCGCGCTCTCGGCGGACTTGCCCTTGCTCTTCTTAGACTTCTTTTCGGACTTTTCCTCCTTGGACTTCTTCTTCTTCTCCTTCTTCTTGTCCTTTTCATCGTCGACGTCCATCTCATCGTCGGACTCGGCGTCGCCGTTCGCCTGGTCCAAGACCTCCTCAATCAGAGGCTTCTTAGAAGGCTTGGGGGTTCCGTTGGTGATGCCGTCGGCCTCGTCATTGTAGGCACGAGCCTCCTTCACAGAGAATTGGCCAGGGCCCTTGATCTGGCCGTCAGGACCGACTGCAACGCCCTTGGGAAGCAGAGGCTTTCCGTCGAGCATGCGGAGCCGGTTCTCTAACCTCGTCCTCTGCGTGATACCGAACAGGCTCTTCTCCTCTTCGTCCTGCTCCACAGCAGGGGTGGCCTCATCCTCCTCATCCTCCTTCATAAAAGGCTCAATAGCATCAATGCGCAGGCCAAGTGCTGTCTTAGCTGCAAGCATACGGGCAATCTTACCCTTCATCTTCTGCGACGCCTGTCCGACGAGGGACGAGTTGTATAGAATACCGTACTTGGGAGTATTATGCTTGGTCTTGAGGGCGCGGAAGAGAGCCTTCTCAGCGCCGAGAATCTGGATGGTGGATGCGGGAGACATGGAGAGATTCCTCAGAGATCCAGCATGGGCGATCAACTTGGCGCCCACGAGCCAACCAACAAGCGCGGTGAGGTTAGGGGCCAAGGCGCGCATGCGGTTCTCCAAGAAGTTGGAAATCTGGGACCGGTACTCGGAGTACTGAACCACCTGCGCGGCAAGCAGTTGGACGTTCTCCAAATCCTCATCACTGACGTCCGTACCCATACTAATCTCAGCGGCGGCCTTTACAGCTTCGGCGATTTCCTCGGGGAGGACCGTGGTCAAATCAGCCTCGGTAAACCCTTGTCGGCGGCCAGCAGTAATAATGACCCTGGCATAGGCTACATGGTCGCTGATGAGCTTGCCCATTTCGGGGAAGTGCCAGCCATACCACTCTCGGGTTCGCATGGCATAAACATTGAGCTCCTTATCCATGTCCTCAATAAGCTTGACGGCCTGGATAACCATGACATCGACCTTGTCGGCGCTGAACTTCAACTTGTGTCGGTGTACCGAGTGACTGAGACCAAGGGCAACCTTCTCAAAGGTAGAGGCAGACTCGGGGATGAGGGAATCTAGGTGCTCTCGGATGGCTCTGAAAATGTCTTCCGTCTTAGAATCGGACGAGGAGCTGGCGTAAAGGGAAGCCGCCTCAAATCCGGGAAGAGCACGGATGCCGGACGATAGGCGAGGGTCGGGAATAGCAATGGTCGAATCACCAGGGTCCTTGATATTCGACAAGAGCTCCGAAAGAGTCTGGGGGACCTTGCCGTTGACTAAAGCTGCGGCTTCTTCGAGGGCAACAGTTGGGCTGGTAAACTTTTCGAAAGACTTTAATCGCAGACTATCGCATATACTGTGTTAGGATTGGCCTAATGGCCTGAAACTAAAAGAGAAAAATAAAACGAGAGGCACTCAAGGGATTGAATATGGTACTCACGTTTCGGTCAGCGCCTCAACATTGGCGAGTTTTTGTCGGAGATCATCGCGCTTCAAAAGCTTCCTGTCGGCGGCCTTGAACAGACCATAACTGATTGAAGAAAAAGAGACAAATCAGCTGTAGGTTCAAAGGATATTTCCAGAGAAGCAAGCACTTACCCTGCCGGCGTGTCGGCAATAATGTATAGAGAAGGCATGGCGAGTGGGTGTTGAGGGACGCTTTCCCTCCTCTTCTGCTGCAATTGTACTTCTTTTCAATTCTTGAGATGGTTTCTGGCTTGGTCTTTCTCCGAATTGACAAAGGCCACCTGCAATTACGAGTCGATGTCGCAATGTTTGGGGTGGACTCGGAAAGAGAGGTAGGTGCAGGACTGGAAAAGAATTTTTTTATCGTCCTGGAAGAAGCTTGGTGGACCTTCCCAAACTATTAATTTTTTTTTTTTTTTTTTTTTCCTCTCTGCTACTTCTCTCATGGGAAGAACGCAAAGTCGTGGGTGGGCGGGGCCAAAAGAAAAAAAGAGTCGGCCGGCGGAATAACTATTTATCCAGCTGCTCATAGGCAGCCGTTTTCCTTGGCGCTCGCTGTCACCTGTGTCCACTTGATCACAAGGGATCAATTGATGTCCGCCTGTAAATAATAGCACTCAACAGCTTGCGAAGTCAGCGCCATCTCTCCAACTTAACGGATGAACAAGAATTACCTACACGCTAGCCTCTCTGCCTCCCCCATCATCTTAACGACTGTCGATATTCCTTCAAGCTGATTGCCGTCCCGATAAATCACCCTTCCTAGGCTCCCACGAAACAACGACGCTTGTTGGCCATCTGCCGAACCGGATCATTATCGTCATAACTTGCATCTTGGAATCAGCTTCGGTTGTTGAAGTATAACAAGCCAGTGCTATTGTGAGGCCCGAGCACCCTCGCAATGGAGGGCCTTTTCTTCAACGTCAATAATGGGTACGACAGCCAGTATCATAGAGTGAATTCACCCGCTCGTCAAGATTTTAACTTCATTCTAGATACCTCGAGGGTATTATCCGAGGATACAGGAACAGTCTTCTTACTGGGGCTATGTACAGTAACTTGAAGCAGTGCGAGACAGTTGACGGTATTGTCACCTATATCCCAGCCAGATGCGTCGTTACATCTCCATGTCTAACAGCTTGATATTAGACCTAAAGCTGCAGCTTGCTCCTGCCTACGGCGACTTCCTCTCGACGCTACCCCCGAACCCCTCGCCCGCTAGTCTCGCCGCGAAAACCACAGAGAAGCTCGTATACGAGTTCCGATATGTGCGCGCCAACGCTGCTGGAACCATGGCCAAGTTCATGGACTACCTCACATACGGATACATGATCGATAACGTTGCGCTTCTAATCACCGGCACGCTCCACGAGAGAGATACAAGCGAGCTTCTAGAGCGATGCCACCCTCTTGGGTGGTTTGAGACCTTGCCCGTGCTTTGTGTTGCTACCAATATCGAGGAACTCTACAACAGCGTGTTGGTTGAAACGCCTCTCGCTCCGTACTTTAAGGGCAGTCTCAGCCACCATGACCTCGATGAGCTCAACATCGAAATTGTCCGGAACACGCTGTATAAGAACTACCTCGAGGATTTCTACAACTTCGTCAACACACATCCCGAGATGGCCGGCACGCCAACTGCGGAGGTTATGTCTGAGTTGCTGGAATTCGAGGCCGACCGCCGAGCTATCAACATCACCTTGAACTCCTTCGGCACCGAGCTGACGAAGGCTGACCGTAACAAGCTCTACCCTTCGTTCGGACGTCTGTTCCCTGAAGGTACTTTGATGCTCTCCAGGGCTGACGATATCGAGGGTGTGCGGTTAGCTCTCAGCGGTGTCGAGGACCTCCAGACCTTCTTCACCTCCGCGCAGCTTGGCCACGGTCCTTCGGGTCCTGGTAACGCTGAGGGCCAGGAGATGGATGATGGGAACCCAAGGAGCTTGGAAGATATGTTCTACCTCAAGGAGATGAATATTTCCAAGTCTGCTTTCACGAGGCAGTTCTCTTTTGCTATCGTATATGCGTGGGTGAAGCTACGTGAACAGGTATGTCGCTTATTCTCGCCTCTTGTTGCATCTCTCAATCTGACTTTCTTTAAAAGGAAATTCGCAACATCACCTGGATTGCAGAATGCATTTCCCAGAATCAAAAGAGCCGCATCGGAAACTACATTAGTGTGTTCTAATAGCGGTTGGGTGCCTGCGTGTAGAAGTGTAGGAGAGAGAGCGTCTTTTCACAGTTGGAAGGATTTTAATGGCCCCGTAAGAGTAAGGGGAGTAATCCTCATTCAATCATAGCATAAGAAGAGTGTTTTTTTTTTTTTTTGCGGCGTCACAGGATTTGTTTGAAGGCCACTTCAAGGGTTGGGTTGGAGGCACTATGCGTCCCCGCTGATATTCTATTATCATGTACAATTGAAACTGGCCGGGAATACAGGTTTTACTCTTACAGTTCTTCTTTTTCTACAACACTTCCCAATCTTAAAATGAGATTTGTTCCTTCCACGTCGCAGGCGACAACCCCAGCTTCTCAAGCATATTAGTCCACCTCTCGCTTCCCCTCTCCCTCTTTTCCATATACCTCAATAACTTCTGTCGGCGGTGGCAGAGTACCCTGAGATTCCTCTTGTTGTGCTTATCCTTGTAACCCCTGTTCTTCTCGAGCTCCTGCGCGAGCTTGCGGATCTTGACGGTGAGGATGGCAATTTGCACCTCAGAGCTTCCCGTATCAGGGCCGGACCTCTCGGGCATCTCGACGGGGTTCTTGTGAATCGATTGAGGCTTGGGGGTGAGGATCTTGTCGGTATTGTGGCGTCCAAACTCCTCGATGCACCGTCTGATATTCGCGTGCTTGCGCATCTTAGAGCTCGCGTTATCCAGGGAGACGATGCGCCTCAGGGCCTCGACGGCACGCGCATGGTTCTTCTCGTGCTTCTGCTCGGCCTCGGCCTTGGCCGTTTCGTCCAGGCCCTCGCCCGCAAGGACGGGTTTAGTCATAGTGTAGGCGTGTTGGATGGCATGTTCGAATTCGTCTCGGGAGAGGAGGTGGTTGAGGATGTGGGGAGAGGTCGGGAGTTTCTTGGGCTCTTCTACGGGGTTTCCCTCCTCGTCCCTGGCTACACGGGAGAGCGGTTCCTGGCCGGCGGAATCGAACGACTCGGTGAAGGGCGTCGGAACACCCCAGATGGGCGATCCCCATTTCTCGTCACGCTCCTTCTGGAGCTCTTCTTGGCGTTGGAGGTTGGCGTTCTTGCGTTGCTGTATTTGGGCCCAGCGGTATGGGTCCCTCTTGGCGAGCCGCTTCTTCTCCCATTTTGAGAGGTTCGCGGACTGGATGATGGGGAGCAAAGGCGTGAAAGCCGGTTTGATAGCTGGTCGTAGGCACACTACGGAGGGGGAATTAGGACGTTGCTAAGAGAAAAAAGTATCGAAAAGTTAAACTTACAGGTCCATGTGCCTACATTGGTCAGTCCGGGTACTCTGGGAGGCATCTTGTCGTAGCGAATTGACTGCCTTGTCTCCCTGTTGAAGCAGTCGCAAAATTTGGATTCGCGACTTTCCACTCTTCCTGCAAGAATCGGTCGAAGTGGCGGTACCCAGCTTCAATGTCGGTAAATGTGGCTAGTGGTCAGCTGACTCAGGATGGAGATCCCCGGTCGTGGCTGATTCAGGTCCCTCTGTGCACAGACCACAGTACGTCCTAGAATACTAAAAACTGTGATGAGGGTTTACCAGGGCCACACAAATTCATTTTACAGCGGGGCATTTTCGCGAAGGCAGGGAAATATACATCACGAAGAAATTATTCTGGGTGAACTTACACTTTTTCATCATCTCACCACCACGTCCTCTTCCTTTCCCTTTCCTCACCGAACACACATATTCCTTCAAGATGGCCCCCGCCAACCTTCCCGCGATCTTCAACGCCACTTCCGAGGACATTGAGAAGCTCCTCGCGGCTCAATGTCACCTCGGAAGCAAGAACCTCCAGGTCCATATGGAGCCTTACCTCTACAAGACCCGTGTTGATGGTGTCAACGTTATCAACATCGGCAAGACCTGGTAAGTTGTAGCGGTTCCTTGGGGAAGAATGCGCCCGCGATGCTCTCTCTCGAGATTGGCAATTTTTTTATTTTTCATCCGAATCGAGCGAACTTCGCAAGGCCCAGAATACTGACAGTCGAGCGCAGGGAGAAGATTGTCCTCGCCGCCCGTATCATCACCGCTGTCGACAACCCCGCCGATATTTGCGTTATCTCTGCTCGTCCCTACGGTCAGCGTGCCGTCCTGAAGTTCGCCGCCCACACTGGAGCCGTCGCTATTGCCGGTCGCTTCACCCCCGGTAGCTTCACCAACTACATCACTCGCTCTTTCAAGGAGCCCCGTCTCATCATCGTTACCGACCCCCGTACCGACCACCAGGCCATCAAGGAGGCCAGCTACGTCAACATCCCTGTCATCGCTCTCTGCGACACTGACTCCCCCACCGAGTACGTCGACGTTGCCATCCCCACCAACAACAAGGGTCGTCACTCTATCGGCCTCATCTGGTGGATGCTCGCCCGTGAGGTCCTCCGTCTCCGTGGTACCATCTACAACCGCGAGACTCCCTGGGACGTCATGCCTGACTTGTACTTCTGTAAGTTCTATGTTATATACCCTTTGTGAAGTGCTGTCTTTCCTGATGGAGCTTGTTTACTAATCGTAATGTTACAACAGACCGCGACCCTGAGGCTGAGGCCGAGGAGAAGGTTGAGGAGGAGAAGGCCGCCGTTGAGGAGGAGGCTGCCGTCGTCGACACTGGCTTCGCTGCCGCTGCTGGTGACTGGGATGCTGCCCCCGCCGGCTTCGCTGGTGCTACCGCCGCCCCTGGTGGCTGGGACGGTGCCGGTGAGGACTGGAGCGCTGCCCCCGCTGCCGGTGGTGAGTGGGGTGGTGAGGCCGCTGCCGCTCCCAAGGAGTCTCAGTGGTAAATTATCTTGACTCGGAGCAAGGTTGTCTGGTCAGGCTTCTTTTCTAGGCCAGGAGGAAGGTGGTGATGGATTGGGCCCGTTCTTTTCATGCAAATAGTGGCATCCTGGGCGAAGGGTACACTTGACCGTACTAATGAGGGAAAGATACTCGCCTCTGGTCCAGGGAATGGATCATGGGGGGAGGGAATGCCCTGTATGGTCAAAGGGGTGGACTTGATCGTTATCCCGCCCTTCCCCTTTTGAGATGTCCCCAAATATCCTACAACTCCTGATCAGGGAGCCACTCCGTAGAAGTAGTGGGAGAAAACAAAAGCTAGTATCCGCGCACTAAAAAAAAAAAAACAGATAAAAAGGTTGAACGCGAGTTCCTCGATTACACGTTGCGAGTTACCCGGTGTCTTGGTTCGTAAAGGCTCGACGGGCTTTGCCATTGATCCAGTCGTGGGTCCATTGAGGTTCATCGTCGGCGTCCCGACTCTCCCAGATTCATGGGTCAAGTTCCTACGAGCACAACTCAGGTAAGACAAACCCGGTGATCAAAGGCTCGGTGAACTGTGGAGTGTAGCATTTGAAGCTAAGAAATATCGCTTAGCTAGTAGTTGAGTGTGGTAATTTTGTCGTGTCTCAGAAAGTCTTATTCCTCAGATTGACTAATCAATTTCGCTACAATTGTAACTGGTCGGCACAAAAGTATCGTGAGAATCTGGGAAGAGTATTTCGAAGCGGGTAATTATGCCGGGGTGCTGCGAGTCTCAGTGCAACAGAGGATGGGACCTGCATTTCCTGGGCACGTGCTCAATGTCCTATCTTGATTGGCCAATTCTGTGGCTGGTGCTGTCCTCTCTCGGCTGGCTACTCGCAGGATACCGGCGCTAGCTAGTGGGGCAGGTGCTCCCCGACTCTCAACCCAAACAATAATAATAACCTTCAGTGTGGAGTGAACAACAGGTAGTTTCTTCCTTCAAAGGGAGCTCGTGGGTACATCTTGCAATATCATCCCTCGTACCTGTACAGTTACTTGGGGGGTTGAAATCCACTAGAGTGACAGAGCTTCGAGTCAAGAGGGTTTATCGCATGGAGACAGAATAGCGAGAAATATTTTCTCTCCTCACCCGCTCGTCACTGCTGCCGTGAGCTTCCAAGGTTCCCAACGAAGGCCCCCAAACTCGTATTCTCCATCGAGTGTATCAATTCTGCCAGGCTTTCGGGGTGCAAGTGAAATCCTTTTTCTATCCTACCCATTCTCTGAGAGACAGTTGACGTCACATCTTACGTACCTTTCATCCTCCTTATCCTCGCATTCGTAACATCTCGCCCACCCCTTCTGCGCCAGCGAGATGAAGTTCGGCAAGACCCTCAAGGAGTCCATCTACCCTCCGTGGAAGGACGAGTACATTGACTATGCCAAGCTCAAGCTTCTCCTCCGCGAGAGGAGGTCCGAAGAGGACGAGGACATCCAATGGACCGAGGAGGACGAGAAGCACTTCTGCGACGAGATGTTCAACGTTCAGCTCGAAAAGGTCACCAAGTTCCAGGAAACAACCTTCGACGCCATCAGGGACCGAGTAAATGCCGCTTTCGAAACCGTACGTGACCTCGCGCCGAAGGACGGACCGGGTAGCAGCAGCGGCGTACAGAAAGAAAGGTTGAAGGAGCTTGAGAAGGAGCTGGACAACATCACCAAGGAGATTCGCGAGCTCAAGGCGTTTACGAGTATCAACTATACCGGGTTCCAGAAAATTGTCAAGAAGCATGACCGCAAGCGAGGCGACAGATACAAGGTTCGGCCGATGATGCAGGTATCGCTTCAGAGCCGACCGTTCACATCGGAGCCGGCATACTCTCCACTGCTGAAGAAGCTTTCCATCATGTACTTCATCATCAGGCAGCACTTCGAGGGCGAGACCACGGGAAAGGAGCCCGTGCAGCCGGTCGATCTCGAAAACGAAGGCGAGGTTCACAATGGCGAGCGATACACGGCCTACAAATGTATGATCATGACCCCACCACCACCCACCATAACACTCGTATATTCACATCTTGTCTCTCAACAACATCTAACATTACGAAACCTCTATAGTCTGGGTCCACCCTGATAACCTGCTGGAGGTCAAGACCTATATCCTCCCCCGGTTGCCCGCACTCATCTACAGCACGCAACAAGCGACAGAATCGACGCCTAGTGATGACCCTACCATCACATCGCTCTACTTCGATAATCCCAAGTTCGAGTTGTATAACGCAAAGATCGATCGAAAGTCGACGGCCTCGTCGCTCCGACTTCGCTGGTACGGCAAGCTGAATTCTAAACCCACTATTATTCTCGAGAAGAAGACGGTCGACGACCAGAACGGCAACACCGAATTGCGAATGTCAATTAAGGAGAAATACATCCTGCCGTTCCTGAAGGGCGAATACAATATGGAGAAGACGATCGCAAAGATGGAGAGACAGGGCCAGCCGGCGGAGGCGGTTGAGGCTTTTAAGAAGACTGCTGACCAGTTGCACGACTTCATCCAAGAGCATGGAGTCTCGCCTATCATGCGCGCCAACTACGTCCGAACTGCGTTCCAGAAGCCTGGGGACGACCGTGTTCGTATTTCCATCGATAGCGATGTCGCCTTCATCCGCGAGGACACGCTTGATGATAGCAGGCCGTGCCGCAATCGCGATGAGTGGCACCGAACCGACATCGATGATAGCGGGATGACTTACCCGTTCAAGAATGTTAGAGAAGGAGAAGTCTCCAAGTTCCCTTACTCCATCCTTGAAATCAAGATCAAGGGTGATGGAGCTCGCAAGAAGCCGGCTTGGGTTGAGGAGCTTATGGCGTCGCATCTTGTGCACCCCGCCCCGAGATTTTCAAAGTTCCTCCACGGTGTGGCCTCTCTCTTCGACGACTACGTCAATTCCTTCCCGATCTGGATGAGCGATCTCAATACCGACATTCGCAAGGATCCTCGCAAGGCATTCGAAGAAGACGTGCAAAGGCGTGCGGAGAAGGCCGAGGACGAGCAGGTGGTGGGAAGCTACCTAGGCACAAAGGTCAGCTCTTACAGGCCTGCCCAGAGCTCGCCGGTCACCCAGTCGTATCTCTCTGAGCGACTGGGTTCCGAAACTCGCACCGAGGAGACCCTAGGCGCCGGACAGGAGGCCGAGGGAGAGGGCGAGCCCAGCCAACCGAAGAATTACGGAACGCTTTCGTCCATCCTGCCGAGCTTCTCGCTCAAGCGCTATTCTCTTGCTAGGCGCGGAGAGGAAGAGCCCCTCCCCCAGGGCGTGGTGGAACCCCAGGTCTGGATCAAGAACAAGGGCGAGCTCAAGATCGAGCCCAAGGTGTGGCTCGCAAACGAGCGCACGTTCCTCAAATGGCAGCATATCAGCATCCTCCTTGGCAGTTTGGCCGTCGCCCTCTACACAGCGTCGGCCGCGGGGACGGTCGCCCGCAGCATGGGAGTGTTTTACATCTTCGTGGCCATCTTCGCCAATGTTTGGGCCCAGAAGATGCTCAGGGTGCGCAGGAAGATGATTGTGGAGAGGAGTGGAAAGGATTTTGATAACATGGTTGGACCCATTGTTGTCAGCGTCGCACTGGTTGTCGGTCTGATACTCAATTTAAGCCTCCAGGTAAGATTCTCCGGTCTCTGGCACCTAATGGAATTTGTCTTGACTCCGTGTGTGTTTCATTGCTAACCTTCGGGGGACGTGTTGCCTGGGAACAGTGGAAGCAGGCATTAGCAAACATGAGGGGCTTGACGGCGCTCGCCGATGTTGCCTAGGTCGCTAGGAATAGTTTGGATGTAATTCAAAGGGAAAAGTGCGTTTTGCATTTTAAACAAAATTGTTCGTCGCCCACCCGTTTGAGTTTAAAGCAAACCTAGGGAAAGGGGTTTTAAGTTTAGGTTGCGTCATTTCGTTAGGCTCCGGGCTCTCGGGATTTCAAGAGAAAGTTGAAGAATGATTCAGTACCCGCTGCATTAGGGAGGGAGGCATGAAGGCATGGAGGCATGGAGGAGGGAGCATCGTGGAGTTGATCATTGTTGTCATTGGAGAGTCCTCTCATCGTTTGTATAAATAGGCACCCAAGGCTGGATCTAGGATTCTATGGTTAAATTTTATTTCATCGTTCTCGAAGGTATCGTATTTGCCTTGCATTTCCCCTGCGGACCCGTTATATGCTTCCCATTCTTCAACTTGTCAATTTTCTTAGCCATCACTTCCAGAGGTCTCTCAACACTTCCACATACCCATTGAACTAGCTGCCTTTGGTCCTCCTAGTCCTTTCCAGGTCGGCGAGCTATTTGGAGCCGCGGCACGACGTGTGTTCGGACCTAATTACAACTTCTCCGTTCATGCCCCAGCCGTCTCAGCATTCCGCACCAGTTAACGCTTCTAGCTTTTCTGTCAACTCTGTCACACGTTTCGAATTCCTCTCGCTATTCCTCTTGAAGAAGTGGACAAGATCCTGCAACTCCTTCACTTTCGCCTCATTGTCGTTCACTTCGCTCCGCATCTTCTCTTCAGATTGCAGCTGGGACTCAAGGCTCGCGCACCGTTGCTGCGCTTCCTCGAGCCTCGCCTCAGCACTCGCCCATTCATCCCTCATTTCCACCAGAATCCGTTTCTCTTCGGCCAGTTCGGCCTCTAGGCGGTCAATCTCAAGTCTAAGTGCCGCATCTCGTTGTTCCGTTTGCTGTTGCTTTGTTCGCTGAGTCCTTGACCCCTCGATCCCCGGCCCTAGCCTGGGTCCTTCCGTCGGGAAAATCCGGTTTTCTCGGAGGAGTAAAATCTCCTCGTCCTTTAGGTCGAGGAGGCAGTTCTTCTCTTGTATAGTACATTGGGAGTTGATGTAATCCGCCAGGACTTGGTCGAGCATCAGTTGATTTTCTGCGAGCTCTTTTTGAAGCCGGGCGATCTCCTCTCTCAACGATCGGTTTTCGATTTCAATGTCTTGTTCCTGCGATGTTCCGCTGTCGGAATCGGTGGCCATGGAGAGGTTTAGACCCCCGTTTAGTACGGGGCCGGGGGAGGTCCGCATTTCTCTGGTTGTTTTCGGGTTGCTGGTGAGTGCAATAGATTATTTTGCGACAGTGTTCAGGTATTCGCACGAACGAAGCTGTTTTCCGGTCCCGTCTCGACGATAGAATCTCAGCCGGCATCAACGCTGACCGGGCGATACAGGAGTAGCGGTCCAAATACCGAGCCCAAGACTTTTTTGTAATTTCAATAGATGGACGGACTCATGCGGTGTTCCTTTCCTAGAGCCGGGTGCAATTCGAAACCCCGTGGGTAATGCTGGGCCTCCCAGCGTTGGCCAGGCTCGGACCTTGTGGGAAAAGGTGTGGGAAGTTGGCCTGCCGCACCGATCGCCAACGAATCTATTGATGCATCTCGGTTAGTACAGTGGATGTAGATGTACATCGCATGCGCTGGGCCTCTTGAGACAGAAAAAAACATGATCGTAGCCCACAAACGCCCAATAGCATGGTCTATCAACGGATTGATTTATCTATTAGGATGCCCGGGCTTGGGTGATGAGTCCAATGCCCTAGCTCCAAACCTGCTCCTTCTTCGCAACCTATTCCATCATACGCCTGGCCATTTACCTCCCTCTTCTCATCGCCTTTGCTCTCTCTAAGATGAGGTCGCCCGCAAGGATGGCTCCATCATCGCTGGTCGACGAAGCGTCTGTCGTGGAGCTGATGAGGGATTGTTCGGTAACGAGAGAGCGAGCAACACATCTGATTCAGGTACAGAAGCAGCGAGAAATCTCTAGTCGTGATACCGAATGCAGGCTCATCTCCCCTCTACTCTAGATTTCCCAAAACGACCTAAGGAAAGCTAGATCTCACCATCAGCTTTACACCAAATATCGGGATACTCTTCAATCTGGACAGTCCTTGCCTAACGAGCAGAAACACTCGCTGAATAGGCCGTCATCCCGCTCAAGATCCCCAACTCTTGCTTCTCATCGAAGAAAAGGTTCTCTTAACTCGGGTTCTACCCGGAGCAGTGCTGGATCTTTCAGCCCGCTTCCAGTATTTCCTCCCCGATTGGTGATTGCCCCCGTAGCCGAGAAGCGCGCAGTTACCTCAGACCGCGAGGATCTGCTTTCGCGCCTCTCTCTACTGCCGAGCTCTAGTGGCTCGGCCGTCAACACCGATCAAGGGAGTGTTAATGGCTTTGCAATACCTCCTATCGGTAGTGGCGAAGAGGCATATTCAGCGTCCGTCTCTTCAGAGGAATCGGACCCCCTAGAGTCAACAGACTGGGACTTTATTCTTCCAGATATCCCTCATCCCGGTCACCTCCTCCCCGATATGAGCGACGGCCAGGGTCCAGATGACTTCGACCTTGAGAAACTAGTAGGGGCTGTCCTCCACGGAGAGGACCTCCAGACCGTGAGCAACTACCTACTCTACTACAATGACAGGACGGTGAGGGAGCACCTTCAGGAAGAGGTACGCGGCTTCCACTCGATCTTCTACGTCGTCGCATCCAACAACACCGACATCCTCAAGCTGTGGGTTTCGCATGGTGCAAGTATTTCCGTCACACATAAACCTTCCGAAATACCTCTCCTCCCCTTCGCTATCGTGAATGGCGTCAATATCAAGGGTGACACAATACCCATGGTCACTACTCTCCTGAGCCTCGGTGCCAACCCCCGGACTATCCCTGAGAACCTGTATAAGGACTTTTATAACGACGATGGCGGAAAGCTGCAAGTCTTCTCTCCTGATGATGACAACGTATGGTACACAGAAGCAGCCCATAAGAAGCTCGTTCAGGCCCTGAACCTAACCCATCGCTATCTCCTCGAGCGCTCAACGAAGTTGAAGAAGGCATCTGTCCGGCATCGCCAGGTTGCTAAGCTCCGCAACGCCGAACCCATCCTCGGCGTCCCCTATTTCCTCATCGGCCAGACAATCGCTGCCAGCCGGCTCTCCCAGAAACTTATCAGCCACTTGATGATCCCTCATCGCCGTCCCCTAGTCCTGATCTTCGCGGGCCCAAGTGGGCACGGCAAGACGGAGCTGGCGCGGCGGATGGGGCACTTATTGGGCCTACCACTGAATATTGTGGACTGTACCATTGTTAACCGCGAGATGGAACTCTTCGGTCCAAGGCATCCCTATACTGGCGCAGGTGGGGGTACTCCCCTGAATAACTTCTTAGCAAACAATGCTAGGCAGAGGTGTGTTGTGTTTCTGGACGAATTCGAGAAGACAACGAAAGATATCCACCAGGCTCTTCTGGTACCGTTTGACAATGGTGAGTGTATATATTTTAGCCATCAATTGATGTTACATGGCAAACTATGGGAATTAAACCTAACCGGAAATGTGCAGGCGAATACCAGGATCGCCGGAATCTGAGCACAGTAGACTGTTCCAACACCATTTGGATCCTCGCCACCAACGCCTTCGACAACACAATCACGAGCTTTTGCGATCGGAACCCACAGATCTTCAGTGACAATGAAAAAGAGAGGAAAGTCCTCGTCCGGAAGCTATCGAAGACTCTCAAAGCAGATTCCCTTCAGCACTTCGGCGTGAGTAGCCGTCCCCATCTCGAATTATAAACTACTTTTAAAAACTGACACGAGCCGGGGGTTTAGGCACCCATAACAGGCCGCATATCGGAGTTCATACCTTTCCTCCCTTTCTCGCCAGTGGAACAAGCTGTCGTGGGCCACAAATTCCTCCTCGATCTGATCAAGAAGGTCCGAGCCCCTGTTAGGCTATCCAGGACGTCGGCAACATCTCCCCATGAACAGCTCCTGGGAAACGTCAATCTCCAGGTTAAAAGGGATGTAGCTGTTTGCAAGGTCCTCGCCGAGGAATACAGCCCAGACCTTGGCGCGCGAAGCATGATAGCGGCGGTAGAGCGTGTGAAGGAGCTCCTGATAGATTTGTATCTGGATGAAGATGATGAGATAGTGGAGGATGGGGGAATGGATGATTTCCTGTTGGATATCCATGGAGGAGAGGTGGTTGTCCACAAAACGAAGGGAGAATGACGTGAAATGGTTGCATGGCCGGGTGAAGTATGTTTCATTACGATCGATATCTATCAGATTGGCTCGCGTGTTAGTCCTACTATTCGAAGGTGTACAAGCGCTGGATTCGTGACCAAGACATGAGTGAGGCCCGACCAAAGAAAGATAGTACTGTATTGATGTGAACCTAGGACATCTATGAATCCATCTTTACCCCTTGTTGCCAGATCCAATGCCCTAGTGGTAGAGCATACTCCAAAGTCATCTCTGGAGCTGAGACTTCATAGGATCTACCAATCTACAGTTCGATCCTGCGATAAACTCTTGACGATTGATGCATCGGCGAGTGTGAGATGAGCAAAAACGACCGAATATTGCAACATGAATAAATCCGCGGCATCTCATTGAAGAAACTGTCCGTTGGGCCTCTCTGGCCAGTCCAATAACTCCGGCACGTTGTTGAGCCGACAAATGGAGAGTCTCAACTGCGGCCAATGTTCAAGTGTCCAGGCCGGAGTATTGGTAACTTTGGGGTACTTTCCACCCTTGATGAGGGAGGTGGTGATAGGCTCTCGTCCATCCAAGTATCACAGGATGCCCACAGGATGCCTACGGAAAAGCAGGCTGCCGTGTGACGAAGCATCCTAAAGCAGCTGCGGTTGCAGAGGGGAACTAGGTTTGAGAATAAAGTGGAAAAACCTCATGTGCTGATTGAGTACTTTGTAAAATAGAGATGCATTCGTCCATAGGTCATGTCTGCCCGATGAGCGTCGAGAGAGGGAGGCCCAGGGCCATTCCAATATGGAGTGTCTCTAGGACTCATCCCAACACTTCTTAAGGGAGTTCATGATCGGTAATATTTAGATGCTTCTCTTCCTCTTCCCCTTCTTCTCCCTCTTCCTCTCCTTCTCCTTCACTCAGGCCTAGTGTCGTAGATCCAAAATCCAACGTTCTTCTTTTCAATACCCAGGCTTCACAAATGAGTAAATCGTTACTATTGCGTCCCTCCCTTGGGGAGAACGTTCCGCTTGGAACCCTCTATGATGCCAGGACGGACAAATTCTTTGCCCGGTCCATCGTGGCAGGAAGAATACCTGACGAGGCCGTGTTTTTTTCCCGGAACCCAAAGATCGAGGTGAAGACTACAATTGGGCCGGGCTACCAGCAAAAATTTGCTCTCTTGGATTTCAGCCCCGACTTGAGAGCCAGCTACTTCGCCGACTACCTCAAGGTCCATGGCTCAGCTGCTTATTTACACTCCTCTCGAGCCTCAAATGGATGCGTGACGGCAGCTCTCCTCCACAGGCTCTCTACATGCACTGAGCGCCTCAATTTCTGGAACCTAGACGAAGCGGACTTGGACCTGCAAACCCTACGGGATGTCGAGGCGACACACATCGTCACGACGGTAGAGTGGGGTGCGCGAAGCATCGTTGAGCTCCGGCATGGCGGCACATGGGACGATAAAAAGGAGGCGGAGGAGATTGTCCTGGCGGAGGTCGAGAAACTTCAAAAATCACTTAGCCCGCTCCTGATGGGTGACGGTCATCCTCACGAGGAACCGTTGTTTCCCTCGGCGGTTGCATGGGACATTCGGATATTCTCCGACATGATGGAAGAACCCATGATCGCTCAGGACCTTTCGGAAGCCTATGAGTTCCTTTCCATGCTTCCTTCCCAAGTCCAGCAGTTATACAGGGGCGAGGGAATACCCATCAGTTACCGACTCGTGCCACTCAGCATGCTGGGTGAAACAAAGTTGAGCCTCGATAACATCTCCACATGCGAGATGATTCCTCTCAGTACAGACTACGTCGAAAGACTAGTCTCCATGTTCGATATCTCGGAGGCTGCCTTCCAGACTCTGGCCAGCTACCACGCGTACATCTCGAGGCACCAGTCCTTCGTCTCTAAACAGCACCTGCAATCTGTCGAGGAGAACCTGAGAATTGTCAGCGCCGAGTTCGGCTCTTTCGAGCACCAACTTTCATACTTGGTCAGAGAGGTGCGAAGCGGTGTCAGACCGGCGTCAGAGCTCGACCGGCTGCTACAGGACTTCGCCGACGCCGACTCGAGCCCTAGTACTCTTGCTGCCGAAGGCGCCGAGGTCAGGGCCAAGGTGCAGTTCGCGGCCGCAGTCACTTCGAAAGGCGGTATATACGTCGGACACAACGGCGTGAGCCTGGATTCCGTGCTCCGCGAGAATGCCGCAAAGGATGTCTACGTGATGTCCTACAGCACCGAAGCCATGGCCGACCAGCATGCGTGGAACGCCAACAAGAACCTTCTCTTTGAGCTCCTGGAAACCGGGGGAAATAGCAACGTGATCGTCATCGTGGACAATGGCAGGACTGAGGACAGCGATACGGGTAGGACCTATGCCCTCCCGGATGAGGTCCACATTACGCTGTACCGGAACGGAGCGCAAGTTACCGATGATTTTCGCGAACGGTGGGAATTCATGGCCGACAAGTGTTTGATACGGTACAAGCCCGACACTCTCGAGAAAGGCAACGTCCAAAAGCCGATAAAGCGCCGGTTCGTCAGGATCCCATGTCCCGGTATGCAGTGTGGAGCCGAGATCTGTAACTGGATCTGCGGTGAGTGCCTTTGCTCAGTTGAATTCGGGTATACCGACCAATACATCTACTGCGATTGCGGGAAGAGCGGCTACGCAAACTTTGACTTCAAGTGCTGCTCGGCCGACCATGGATCCAACTATTTCCGGTACAGCGACGACGAGTTGCTTTCGCTCCTTCAGGACTTGGTGGCATCCGACTACATCAACATCTTGATCCTTGGGGAGACGGGCGTTGGAAAATCGACCTTCATCAACGCCTTCGTCAACTACCTCACTTATGACTCTCTCGACCAGGCGAAAGAGGCAGACCTTACATTGGTCATTCCCTGTGCGTTTTCAACTCAGGTCATGGATAGAGGGAGCGGCGACATCGAGGAGTACCACGTCAAGGTCGGGCATGATCAAGGTCGAAAGGACGAGTTTGACGGGAGCAAGGGGGATTCCGCGACTCAACGGACCACGGTCTATCCGGTAATGATGGGAAACCGGACAGTTCGACTCATCGACACGCCTGGGATTGGCGACACGCGTGGTCTAGCGTACGATAAGAGGAACATGGCCGACATCCTCGATACTATAAGCGGCTACGACCACCTCCACGGTATCTTGATCCTGGTGAAATCCAACAATGCCCGGCTAACCATCACGTTCGAGTTCTGCATGAAGGAGTTGCTTACGCATCTGCACCGAAGTGCGGCTGCTAACATGGCGTTTGGTTTCACCAACACGCGCATCTCTAACTACTCACCCGGGGACACCTTTGGCCCCTTAAAGGCCATTCTTGGTGAGCACAAGGACGTGGGCATCGCATTGACATCCCACACCGTGTACTGCTTTGATTCGGAAAGCTTCCGCTATCTTGCGGCCATAAAGAACGGCGTACCGATGCCCAATGAAGAAGACTTCCGGCGTAGTTGGCAGAACTCGCGAGACGAGACGCTCCGGCTGATCAACTACTTCGCAGAGAGGACGCCGCATCCGGTCATAAGTACAATCAGCCTCAACGGTACCCGGAGACTTATTGCCGAACTGACAAAACCAATGGCGGAAATATCCGCCGTCATCCGGGTCAATATCGCCAACTGCGAAGATCAGATGGAGGACCTCCAAAACGAGAGGCTTTCGGGCAACATGTTGCGGCAGCGCCTTCACATCCAGAAAGTTCTCCTGAGAAAGAAGGACCTTCCTATGCCACGTACCGTCTGCTCCGATGCAGCCTGTCGCGAGTTCAAGGACGATGGTACCGGGACGGGCACGGTTCGAACCATCTATACCAGCCATTGCCACCCCGAGTGCTACCTCGATAACGTGAAGGTTGAAGAAATCGCCCACCCTGGCCTCATCAACTGTGCGGCCTTCGGTGGCAACAACACCTGCCATATATGCTCGCACCACTGGCAGCAGCACCTACATATCATGTACGAGCTTGAAGAATACACGGCCACAGTGAAGGACGAGGGTATCGCGACACAAATCAAGAAGCACGCCAATGACGTTACCCTCAAGCAAATGGCTGTCCAGACGCTTGAGCAAACCATCAAGGAGTATCAGAGCGAACATGATCAGATCAGCAGTGCCGCTGCCCAATTCGGCGTCTTCCTGAAGAAACATTCCATCACCGCCATCAATGACAAGACGCTCGAGTACCTCGACTACCTTATCCAGGAGGAAGAGGCCAAGGTGCAACACGGTGGGCGCGACCAGAAGCTCCGCGGCCTGCGGCTCGACAGGCAGAAGCACATCGAGCTCGTCGAGGTGATGGAACACAACATGAAGCACGACCCGCAGCAATACCCGGTGCTCGACGAGCAGGGTGTAGACCGCCTCGTGAGTGAGCTTTACGGCCTGAGGCACTTCGGGGGGAACCTAAAGAATGTCAAGAATGGCATTGTGGCGTCACACCAGGCGACGTATAGAGAGATTCCCTTCCGCATGGCGCATAGGAGGAGTTCGGGGTATGCTAGTCACAGTGGGCACGGCAACCACAGTGTCCCCATTGGACCAGATCCTAGCTATGGAGACCGGACCTTGGTTCGTCGTCGTAAAGTGGGGAGAAGGCTTCCGGAAAGTAATAGTGTCGGGGCGGTGGCTGAAGCAGGACATGGCGGCGCCAGGTCTAGTTCATGGCTGCTTTCTCGGCTGGGACGTTGGAGGGGACTTTTTTAGTTGGATTGTTCGTGTTGGGAGTTGTTGAGGCCTCGCTAGATTGGACGGATTTCATACCTGCTGGAGAAACTCCTCTCCAATTGATTGATACACGACTTGAAACTGTGCGGAAATGATTGAAACTCCTTTTCCACGAAGAGAAATCCCTTATTTTAATGATGATATTTTATTAAAATCGTGATTAAAAGTAAATCCTTCAATTTTAATAGGGAATAGACGAAGTCGATAAATTGTCGTCTGTGAGGAGGATTGTCATGGAGTATTACAGGTGGTGACACCTGACTGAGCCATCTTCCGGTTTAATAGGTCTCCACGCACTCCGCCTGGCCATGTGGGATGAGGGAATGTGGTGTGGTCGCCATCCTTTATTGTGGATGGCTGAGAAACGGGCAACAACATGGAAGCTTGGGCATCCTCGGATTTGAAGCTCCACTCACGTTCCACTGTCTACGTCAGCACGATTTGTCCCAAGATGTGTGGCAGCAAACAGCTTGTTGAGGGGGGCTGAATGAGAGGGCGGAGCGTAAGCTTTTTGCCCTTTTGCCCTGATGCACCTCGATGCATGCTGCGCTGTCACGCTACCTGCCACCCAGATCTGGCCCCTTCCTGCATCTCTCTGCATCAGGCTGCCTCCGAAATCGAACACTGGGCTGAAAAGAAAACAAACAAGCAGTGGAGCTTTCGAGAGGGTAAAAAGGTCAGAGATCAATCCGAGATCAGATCACTGGTTAGGAGTTGGAGATGTCACTGGCATTGGACACCAAGCGGAATCGGACAATGGTACGAAGTTATGTGTGTCGTCGATCGTCTCGTGCGAGATCAACGTTGTTTCCTCCCAAGGGTTCTGCAGGTCGGACTTCGGATAGCCTATGAAAGTGTCCGAGATAGCTTGGGATGGGGTTTTCAGGATATGGCCTGCAGATGGATGATTCTTTCCTTTTTTCTTCCATTTTTCTTCATTTTATCCTTTCTCAACGCTTTAGCCTTTCATTTTTATTTATTATTATTATTATTTTTTTCCCTGTTTGCTCGTTAGCCTCCCTGCATTTCTGTGCTGCAGGGCCTCCGTGTTCCCCGTGTTCTCCTGTTCTCCCGTTCTCCAAGTGTGTTTCGCAGACGCAGGACCACTTCACCGTCTTGCCGTTTCCTTTGTTTTCGTCCGTTCATCGCTGGTCTAAATGGTCTAAATGGTCGAGTGTCACTCTGACTGCAACTGCAAGCTGTGTCCCTGCCCAGTCGACAACCAGTCGAGGCAACAAGGACAAGGGAACACCAAGCAACGAGCAACGCACAAGGATTTATAAATTCCGGTACATCTCGAGCCAATTGTTTGGCCCATAGCTCCTTCCGTATTTTTCGAGCTCAAGATCCCCTCTCCAGTCTTTCGTGCCTTCCCTCCGCTCTTCAGGTACAGATAGCTGTACTTCGTACTTGGGTGCAGAACCACTGCAGAGTACCTGGTGACCTGCTCCCTATCTCAGCTCGCAGAACCTATCATCGGCGGCTCCTTCCCACTGACCGAATTAATCTGTGGCAACTCCGCTACAATTTGAGCTTGCCCCGTTCTTTCCCACCTCCTGTGCACCTCCTGCCAGCTCATCTCACCTGCAGCCGAATTGAGCCTTACCTTTTTCTAACCTTTTCTCTCTTATTATTCCAATAGTCTTTATTGTCTTCTCATTTCTCCCGCCTTCAGCCTCGTCCTTTGTACTTCTGTACTTCATCCATTGTATCCGCCATCCTGGAATTGTCCTCCACTATTTTACTTCTCCTCCTCCCCGAGTCCCCTTCCCACCACTTTTCCACCGAATTGATACCATTTCCTGCCGGATGGATACTGTATTTTCGGCGTTCTCCCCATCTTGCGGCTCTGGGACTGTAACTTGATTTCTCTCGTCTCTTTTTCCCTTCTTCTTTTCTCGTTTTTTTTTTCTCCACATTTTTCTCTTTTTCCTTTTCGTTTCCTCGATTTCCGTGTGCCAGCTCTCTTGTCGTTTCCCCTCGAAAGCTACTGCTTCTGTGTGCTAATACCTCTTGTACCATTATTACCGTCCTTCTTAATCACTTAAATCTCGGACTCACTTTCAGCTTGGGATCCTGCCTGTCAATGGTCATTCTTGCCACAAACACGCCGTCGTCCAATATTGAAATCCTGCTGGTCCTCCCTCTTTGCCCACAATGGCGGCCGATCGGAAATCCAGGGAAAAGGAGAAGACAGGCTTCTGGAGGAGTCTTTTCCGAAGCAAAGGCGCGTCACAGCCTACAAAGTCGGTAAGACAACCCCCCAATTCGAACACGATTCTCTCTGGATGGGATGCCATGGATGGCACGGATCAGCGTGTCTTTTCGCGTCATACCACACCACACGCCACACAATTTGGACCTCGCTTCGGTTCCTCCCGCGCCCCACTTGAGAAACGACGAGATGATTCAAGACAAGACTAATCACCTGAAATGTAGCCAAAAAAGTCTAAAAATGCGAGTAACGGAGATGCTGTCCTCCGCAGGCGGAGGGCAGATGCCGGTGTTAGTCGCGATCCAGGCCGACCCCGCCGGCGGCCCCGCCCAGCCGAACCTTCCAAATCCTCGCTAAAGTCCAAGGGCAAGGGTCGGGAGGATCTACGCGAACAGGCCTATGCACCCTTAACCGAGTGGCCTCCCCCGGGCTTCTCCCGTCAGGACGATCTAACTATGAGACACGCCGAGGCCCTAATCTGCCGAGGCGCTCCCATCCATATTGGACACCTGAGAAACATCCCCCACGCCCCCGACCACTACTATGCCCTTTACGCGACGACGTCCTCTGATACTAGGGATAGTGAGGAGGGCGACGCCGTGAGCCTCCACGGCATCATGGCCGAGCTCATGACCATGCGCTTAACGGGCCGTAGTCCGGCTCGTCTGCCTTGGGAAACCTTGGAGCAACCGAGCTGCGCCTTTAGCTTTGGAAAGTCTCCGGGAACTGTGACCTTGAACCAGTGGGTCTCTTTATCCAGTGCTCTTCCTCACGCTATCCCTTTACGTGACCCAGGTGTGCCGTCATTAAGAGAGGTCGACCTTACAAGAATTTTTAAACGGCTTAAGGAGATTGAGATGGGCGTCGAGGATGACGACCACTCCATGTACCGAAGCCTTTACAAACACTTCTTGCGAGACGCCGACAAACTATTTAGCCTCCATAAGACGCTCGATAGGCAGATTACCGACCTTATCCAAGTTCTATCCAAACCCGAGTGGATAGACTTTACCAACCCTAAGAACCAGGTCGTTACTCGTTTTATATTCGACGCCGGCTATCCGAACTACGACTTGTACCAGACCTTCTTCCATCAGCTGTTGCTGAGTCTCGAGCTCGACCTACGCATCAACTCAAGAAGGCATAGCGACTGGGCAAAGGAACGACTACTTTCGCAAATCCCGCCCAGTATTCTGTGGAATGTTGCCCTTGCTAGACGGTGGCTTAAGTTCATCCGGATAGAAGGCTACGGTCCCACCGCTGACCATAGTAAGCCCTTCCATCTGCGCTCCCTGGGGAGAGACATCTCCTTTCTCTTTTTATTACTGAACTAACTGGAAACAATAGTTAAACTGCGATACAGGCTAAGGAAACGCCAGGTTAAGATCCTGGAAAAGTTTGCCAGGATCATGAAATGGCCAAACCTCGACGAAACCCTTTCCAAACTCCGTCAAAAGAACACGGATTCTGCCTTGGATTTCGTCAGCTCAGATGCCATGGCTTTCTTTAGCGGTCTCGTGCTTCCCGGAGTAAGTCGGGCTCCCCTGGTATTCCCCAAAGAGATATATCTATTTGCTGACCGAACCCTGAAAATGCAGCCTACATTCCCATTCCTTATTATGAACACACTGATAGACATGGACCCGGACAAGGCGACCGACGAACTCGCCTTGCTTACGCACCTCTACCCTAGCTGTGGATTCCAGTATCGCAATAGCTACACGTACTGGACCGCTACATGCATTGTTGGAAAGGTCCTGGCGCCGACCTGCAAGCTCGCCGCTGGCTGGGTCGGTCCTGGCCGTCCAACCGCTGACCTCGCGCGCACTCAGATTGCCCGTATCCGATCGCGCCAACCACGACAGCACCTGACGCCAGAAGACGTCACCTCCATGGCTGAGCGATCCGACCCACTAGGCCCGCCCGCCGATCTCATTCCCGTCAGCGAGTATAAGCTCATTCTACCAGATCCAGACGACATCGTCGATACCGTGCGAATCGAGCGACTTAGTTTCCAGCCTATCCCAACCCGCTTTGAGGATGCCGGCCCTCAGTGGTACGATGCTATGATCCAGTTTGCCATTGACGGCGTGTCGTGGCCTCTGCGTCTTGCGTACGACGTGTCATTCGTGTCGGCGTGGCCGTGTATTAACGGGCCCCACCCACTTTTCTTCGACTACGCGTACTCCATCGTCCGGGCCGATCAGATTGTTAATGTTCACGACTGGGGAGGCCTCTACGGTATCTCGAGCCCCAACGGAGCCGACTTGAGGGCGCCGGACGGGCACAGTTACCCCCGAGAAATCGATGACGAAGAACGGGTCCTAGTAATCGAGGCTTTTGGAGTGCGAGATAATGAGGTGTTGGCGAGGGCATGGTGTGCCCACTGGGGCCTCAGTGCAGTTGTTGCTGATGTGAGAAAGACCTGGTAAGTCCTATGGTACTACTTCCAGCTGTGCTGTTTTGGAGCATGATCTAACTTGATACTTTGAAGTGTGGCCTGCGCAATCCGTGAGGCGTATGCCGCCACACTGACTGTTGTCATCCTTGTTGATGACCAACAATATTTAAATGAGGATGACTGATGGCGATGATAATGGGAGGATGGCATTCGAAATTAATTATTGCTTGTTGAAATGGGGCGCCATGACGGTTTCCATCATCACTGCTAAAGTATCCGAGTCGACACAGCCCCAACAATGATGGAGGTAGTAGCATGACTTACAAAACAAGTGCAGGAAAACTGATACCCGGGGAGAGAGGAAACACAAAAGGGAATGGGCAAGACGCTAACTGAACACTAGAAGGAAAGGTGGCTTTTTTTTTTTTCCTCTTTCATGATAAGGCAGGAGGGAGACATGATTATGGATTATGAGCAAAAGAGAAGATTATACTGGATTGGAACCTTTCTTTTCTTTTTATGAATGAACGAGGAAATGGATTGCTGGGACTTGACCGTTTTCTCTCCTTTTGTTCTTTTCTTTTTTTCCATTCTTGATCATTTTTCGTTTTCCTTTTTATGAAACAACTTTTTAATCCCCGTCAAGGAGGATGAGATGGGTTCCCCTCCTCTTCAAACATCAATTTCTCTTCCCTTCCCAACTCCTTACGCTCATTATCAAAACTCTCCTTTGTCTTCTTCCCCCTTTCTTTGTGTCTATGGATACCCAAGCAACCCTGGTTGAAGAAATGGTTCCCGGAGGCTTTCCTGTCTTGGCGTCTTCTCTGGCGGAAACGGAATGGGAGTTCTATCAAGACATAGAATGTTATCTTTCGGGCGGCCGTTTTATATTTTTATTTTTTGTTTCTTTTCTTTCCCCTTGAGTTTTGGAAATTGGCTCTTTTGCAGATGTATCTCTTTTTTTTTTGGCACTTCTTTTTCTGTTTCTTCCTTTGTTTGGAGGGGATCGTATTCACATTACTGTCTAGACACTTCAGATACGAAAACGAAGATGAGGAGGTCTTTCTTTCTTTAGCTTTTTTCCTTCTGGCGAGGACGCGTTTTGTTCTGTCTTCTCTTCCCCCCCTTTTTTGATATTACAGAGTGATTTGCTTCGAGTCGAAGAGTCGACAAGGACAACAAAAAAAGTGTCCAAGACTCAAAACCACTGCATCTACTTTAACAAACATGAACAACCTCCATGAAAAAAAAACCATTAAACAACCCTTCACCTTCCCTTTCCCTTCCATAACTGTAATTAACGAAAAAAAAAGAGGACCCCAATAAAACACCTTTCCATTACTCCGCCGAAGCCCTAGCGAGAGCCTCATGCAAATGCGGCGGGAACCTATACCTCAACTGACTCGTGTAAGCCGTGAGGTCCAACGTCATCTGGCGCAGCTGGTCGACGAGCATCTGCCGCGACATCTCGTTGCCCGTGAAGTGGCCCGCGAGGAGCTGGTCGCGCTGCTTGACGCAGGCGTGGATGGTCCAGAGGAGGAGGTTGGGGACATTGACGGCGACGGTGGGGGAGAGGGAGGGGAAGCGGGCGGCGTGGTTGCGGATCGTGGAGGGGTCGCCTTTTGCGTCGAGGGGGAGGATGTCGAGGGGGAGGATGCGCTGTGGTTGGTTAGGGTTAGTCTTTGCTTAGTACAGGTGTAAGAATAAGAGATAGAGAAAGAAATGAAACTTACGTCAAGGCATTGAGCCCACTGTCTAGCCTCAACAAGGGTCTTAATCGAACTCAACTCGAGTAGGATACGACAAGCAACCTTATTCTGCTCCTGGATTCCGCGGTGGAACATAGCGTCACGCTCATACATAGCCATCATGGTCTTAGCAAGTTCAACGGGGTCATCAATGGCAGCAAGGCTCAAGCTGCTTCCGGGCTCGGCGTCCTTGGCGCCAGCTGCGGCACGGGGCTTCACGGGCATGAGCACCATGGGCGACTCGCCAATGTCCATGGCGATGGCCTCGCTGAGAGCGCGGCTAACGATGGCGACGACGGTATCATATTCGCCGGCAAGGTGGTAAAGGAGCACAGCGTCGGTAGTGCGGCCCGTCTCCTCAGCGAAGCTAGCAGCCTGAAGCGTAACGGTATGGATGAAGTCGTCCTCGTCCGAGAGGCCAATAAGGGCACCGCGCAGCTCGATGGCTCCCTTGATTCGGTGGCCGTCGGGGCGGATGTCGCCGATGAGCTTGCTAAACTCGCGGGACTCCAGGACAATCTCGCGCAAGGCCTCGTGGCAGAGGTTAGCGTGGCGTCGGCCAGATTCGCCAGGCAGGTCGGCGTTAAGGCAGATGAGGGTCAGGTAGTCGACGGCGGCCTCAACGTTGGCGGCGCGGAAGTCACGCGTGTAGTAGCCTAGCATACGGCCAAAGTTGATCTGCGTGCGGCTGCGGCTGTCGGTGCTGCGCAGCTCGTTGTCGGCCGTGAGGGGGTCGCTGGGGCGCAGGAGGCCGTAGTACTCGAGGGCGAGGGCGAAGTGCACCGCGTCAACGTACGAAAACGGATACAGATAGGCGACGGCCTCCTCGAACTGACCCGAGAGGACCAGAAGATAGAAATACATGCCGAAATTGCCATTGTTGTCCTCGGAGGGGGACTTGGGGAAATGCTTGGATCCAATCTCTCGCATGCTGGCCTGCAAATCCGCGAGATCGTACATCTCGCTAGCAAACTCGACAGTCCTGTCAGCCTCGCGGGCGAGGTTGAACTGCAGCCAAATCCAGTCGTGGATGTCTGACTTCAGGCCTTCGAGGCTACGGTTGTTAATCTCGCAGCGACCAATAATCTTGTAGCAGGCCATCCTGAAGGGATCGATGGAGTTCTCGGGTGCGTTCCGTGATCGTTGGGTGTACTCGCTAGCGCAGCGTTCTTGAAGGAGCCTCTTGAGCCGCCTCTCTTCGCTGGACGCGTAGGCGTTGAGGTAGGTGGAAAAGGTACGATCAATGCCGCGGAAACTGTTGAGGTTGTCGTTGACATATCGGGCGGCATCCATGACATGGCCGGACCGGAGAAGATAGAAGACGATGGCCCACACGTACTCTCCCTGGACCTGCTGAAGTTCGGAGTTGTCGGGGACGAGATCCTTACGGGCAGACCTTAATCGGATATATGCCTTGACCTTGCTGACGATATCAGGGCGACCGCCGAGATTCGCCTCATGGGGGTGCTTAGCAATCAGAGACTCCATCTCGGCGACGAACTGGTTCTCGAGGAAGCGGTTGGCGCCCGATAGGATCCTCTTACGCATGGCCGAAGACTCGGGCGAGTTCTTGTTGTCGTCCAAATACATCGACACAAACTGCCTCTCCTTGGCCGTGGCGTTATTCAGAGAGGTATCCGCCTCTGGATTCTCGCCAACAATCTCCATGACGGCCCTGTAGGCCTGTGTGACGTGGGAGGCATGGGGTTCGGGCGATTTCTGTTCAATCTCGGCGAGCTCCGACAGGATGGGGTAAGGGTGCTGCAGGACACGAGCCTTGTTGAGGTTGGTGACCTTTTCGGCCAGCTTGCTCTGCTTCTCGCGCAGAGCACGATCGTCAGATGACTGGACGCCGCCCAGCTGGCGCGAGGGCTCGCTCGGGCGCTCGACATCGGAAAACTCGGGCTTGTGGCTGCCAATGCGGGCGGGGGCACCGATGACGGAGCGCTGGAGGCTAGAGTTGCCGAGAATGGTGCTCCTGCCGGCTCGCGAGGCAGCACCAGCCAGCTGAGACTTGCGACGAGAGCGACCGAATCCGGCCTGGGTTTCCCTTCCAGAATCGCCGCCCGTGTCTCGCTGCAGGATTCCAAAGTGTTCGTAGATGCGCTTGCGCTGGACTTCCCACTCCGCGGCCATGTTGTCCTCGAGGAAGTTATCAAAGGCCTTCGCAGACCTCTCGAGCCCGTCCTGTATCATGCCCAACGTCGTCTTCTTCTGGAGGTTTTCGAGGTACGTCTCGACATCGATCTCGGAGGGGCCGCCCGTCTCGCCAGCATGTCGATCAACCTTGCTCGGATGAACAGAGAGGGAGCCTAGGTCCTTCGCGGCTGCGCCGAGGTCAATACCGGAGGCGGCAAGAACGTAATGAGCCCTTCCGTCGACAGCCTTTTCGGGGGTCTTGCCTCCAATCTTCTTGAGGCGTTGGCGGAGGTCACCAAGACCAAGCTGCAGGTGCGGCATGTCCTGGGTCGTTCCGTCGGTGCGTTTCTTGGTCATAGCGAACAGGGTATCAAAATAAGCGCCGGCGGGCTGTTGACCGTTCTGCTGCTGCTGTTGTTGTCCCTGGTTCTGCGTCAGACCAAGGCTAGAAGGGGCCGTTCCCAAGCTGGGGACCTGGGGTTGGGCTTGAGCTTGAGTCTGGGCACCGAAAATGGAAGGCTTCGGGGTCGTAGTCGTAGCTCCAAAAGCGGAGGGTTGCGTGCTCGCCGCTTGTCCGCCGAATAGAGAAGTCGAAGGCTGAGTCTGGGTCGTGGCTGGGGCGCCAAACAAGCTGGCTTTCGGGGTAGTCGTCGAAGCTCCAAACAAACTACCTGCGGGAGTTTGGGTCGTCGAGGCAGCGGGCTGGGTCGCAGTGCTCTGGCCAAACAAGCTTGGTTTCGTAGCGGTCGATGCACCAAAGAGGCTGGATGCGGCGGGAGTTTGCGAGGCAGCGGTTTGGCCGAAGATGCTGGAGGCTCCAGGCTGGGAGGCTGTCGACTGGCCAAAGGCCGACTGACCGCCGCCAAACAGCGACATGGTCTCTGGTCGTGGGGGGTTTCTATTTAATTTTTTCTCGCGACAGATGGAGTTTCCGTACAGCTCTAGCTGTGAGTGATGGAAAGGAGGTGGATGGTGCCTAACGAAGGCATTGAACAGCACAGTGGGCTGCACAGGAAGTTGTTGAGAGTGGTGTGGTCAGGAAGGAGATGGAGCTGTTGCTTTGATGCTCAAAGTCGCGTCTGGTAGAAATTTATGGGTACAACAAGCATTAATGGATGCAGAAGGTACAACCTGGTTTAGTTGCTAGTTCGGTGACTGGCCAATAAGACGCTCACAATCACCAAAGCCTAGGCAACACAACAGCAACAGCACAACTTCACCGAAAAACATCACGGGAATTTAAAAGCAAACAAAATAAATCAAAATAAATCAAATCAAGAAGAAAATGAATGTCAGCATTATGAATAATCCATTTGAAAATTTAAACCTAAGGCTCCCATCTTAGATCCCATGCTTCACTTGCAGAAGTGCTCAAGACAACAGGAAATGCTCTTCTATAAACATCAAACCATAGCATTAATGTTTCCATCTCCAAAACTTAACTTTTTTTTCCTTTAAGATACAATATCTACTTGCCAATGGCCTCATCAACCTTCTTCCTATACTCCCTCTGCGTCCGACACTGCTCCAGAAAGATCTCATACTTCACCCCAAACAATCTCCTCTCCGCCTCATCTTTCTTCGGCCACACCACGCTCCCGGCCTTGCTCATCCTCCTCATAATGGCCCACAAGTCCTCCGTCTTCCCCTCCGCATCCGCCCCGGCTGCCTTAGCCCCAAGCATAGCCGCTCCATGAACGACAGCGGCACCGATATACTCCGGGATGACGACGGGCATATCGCACACTGTAGCGATCAGGTCCATCAGAATCTTGTTCCGGCACTGGCCGCCCGACATGAAGATGCTCGAGATGGAATGCCCCGCGTCGTTCATGGTGTCGATGATGTGACGCGTCTGCATGGCGATGAATTCCATCGTGGCGTAGTATAGCAGCGCAAGACTGTCCAAGCTCGTGTCGCTGCTCATGCCGATAAGCGCGCCCTTCATGTTCGGATCCGCGATGGGCGAGCGGTTCCCCCAGAGGTCGCCGTAGAAGAAGATGTGCCTCGCTAGATGGGAGATGCTCGGCGCGTTGTTCTGCTCTGCTAGCTTCGCGAGGTGCTCGTTGAGATACTCGTAGATGGACTTGTCGCCTAGACCACCCTCCGGGAGACCTGACTTAGTGATGTATGCGGGATGTGTCTCGACGACGTGGCGGAGTAGCTCGCCCGTCGCTGACTGTCCGCCCTCGGCCATCCACTGGCCCGGAATGAGGACGTCCCTGTAAGGTCCCCAGACGCCGTTGACGAATATGGGCTCCCTCGACATGACGAGGTGGCATGTTGATGTACCAGCGACGGCGGCTAGTCGACCCGAAGCCTGATCCAAGTCGCTTCCTCCACTGCCTCCAAGACCGTCAACCTGAACACCCACCGTGCCAATCCATCCCGCGTAAGCATCGATGACGCCGCTTCCGACGGCAACGCCGACAGGAAGACCCAACTCCTTGCTCGCCTTTTCATTCAACGTGCCCACTAGCTCGCCAGCACTAAGGAACTGTCCATTCTGTAAAAGAGGAAACCCCCACAAGTCAGCAAGGATTCTCCGAGCCCGTAAAAGAGGGGGAGAAAGAAACAAATACGAGGAGGCAAAAGAAACGGCTCACCACCCTATCAACACCGCCCACTCTTAGGAATTCATCCTCCACCAACTCCCCCAACCCAATCTCCCCATAAAAATCCTCCCGCCACCCCTTCACACTCCCATCAACCCCCACGGGCACATACCCCTGCTTACAAACCGCGCTACAAAAGCTCCTCGTCTCCCTCCCCGTAGCCAAATGGGTCAGCGCATCCGCCAAATCATAAAACTTGCACCGGGAGAACAGCTCGGGCGGCATGTTCCTCTTGAGCCAGAGAACCTTGGGCATCTCCATCTCGATGTTCATGGTGCCGCCGACGTAGCGCAGGAGGTTGTGGCCCGTGGCGTTGATGGTTTCGGTTTCGGACTCGGCGCGGTGGTCGAGCCAGAGGATCACGTTGCGGTCTTCGCCGGAGGCGTTGGTGAATGAGGGCCCCGTGACGGAGACGGGGGCGTCGGTGTCGTGGGTGAAGACTGCTAGGGAGCAAGTTGCGTCGAAGCCAATGCCTTTGACGGTTGTGGGGTCAATGGCGGAGGTTGCGAGGATGCGGCGGACGCAGGCGCAGATGCAGTTCCAGATGTTTGTTGTGGATTGTTCCTGATGAGAGGCGCGGAGCTTGTGTGAGGAGGGGAGCAACAACAATAAGCGCTGGTAGGCTGGGGATGGGGATGGCATACGTAGTAGCCGACTTGGGGCTTCCAGAGCTTGATGTCCTCGGATGCGATGGCTTTTATCGTGCCGGATGCATCGACAATGCAGGCTCGCGCCGAGCCCGTCCCAACATCGATGCCGATGTAGTGGTCCTGGTCGGAGGAACTGTTAGCCCCAGCGCTGAAAAGTGTTTGAGATTTCAATTTCGTCTCATCTCACCTCTGAAGTAGGCTGACTAGAGATCGAATTCAAAGATTCATCAGCTATGGTTAGCGATCGTTCCTCTCCTCGTCCAGCTCCGCTTTCGCAATTCTCATTAGAGTGTGAAGGGATGAGAGTGTCGTTACTTACCCCATGATGTCACAGACCGGGTAAGACGATCAAATGAGCTCTTGATCAGTGAGCAAAGGTTCAGCAGAAATCGAGGAGTGAGCGAGAAGTGTTTGAACAGATTCTCATTAACGGACAGATAAACTCGGGGAAGGGGAAAAAAAAAAAAAAAAAAGAGAACCCAACAGTTGATCACTTTATCAGGGTCCTTCACGCTCGCATGCTCGACCTTAGCTATGTAGGAGCGACACTTGAAGCTCATTGGAACGGCTGAGTGCAGCTCTAGCGCGGAGCTCCTCTCAATCCACTTTGTTCACTATTATTTAGCCTAGCGTAATGAAGTCACTAATTATATCACTGACGTGTCCGAGAGACTGAGACCCTGAACCCCGCGTTCGGTCTCGGCTCCTTCCCTCCGATATATCAGTGACCATCACCAAGTTCGAGGAGTGGCGAGCGGGAATGGGAGTGGGAGGAGCTTCTCATCAGATGGCCATGGTCACTTGGGAAAAGTAGAAACAAAAATCTTACGATATTCCAATCGAAAAAATAAGTCAGATAAAACTTCAAAACGCCCCGTCTTCCATTCAGATTCTCCTAATTTACAGAACATCGAACGAACTAACCAGACGCAACCATCGACACCTCACATTGATCAAATCAAAAAGAAGTTCAACCGCCCAGAACCCCCTCCCTTCCCCATTTTCCCTAAATGCCAAAAACAATGCTCTCGTATGTGCTTTTTGCTTTACCGCAAAAACCATCCCGCAGCCCTTCATGACGAATAAAGGAAAAAACGAAACAACTCGAACAGGGACGGAGAAAAAAAAAAAAAGGCAAAGAAGAGTAGCATAAAAGAGGAGAGAGTAACACAGCCATGGCAATAGTTGAAAAAAGTCGAGAAGAAAAAAAAAAGGTGAACTGCAGAGAGGAAAAAGGATACAGATCAATTACGGATTAAAAAATAAAAATAAAAAAAGGAAATTCCAGATCCGGAGATCTGCCACGTCTCATTTATTTTGTATCCCGAAAAAAAGAAACCGTTCGCGCCTGAGGAATGCTCCTTAATGATGTCCTCTGCCCGAAGGGTCATACCGGTCGTGCGGCCGCATCTGACCCTGCATCCTCGGATCTCGCGGGTCCTTTGCGCTGCGTGGATCCATCGCCATGTCTCGCATCTGCATATCCCTCGAGTCCGCCGCCATCGACCCGTACGCCGCATGAGGAGGAGGCGGTCCGCGGGCATCATATGCCGAGACGGGTGTGTAGCTGCGTCCGGGCATGTCCCTCGCATCATGCGGGCCGCCTTGTCCGGGTCGCAATCCGTAAGGAGAAGGCGCGTAGTGGGAAATCGGCTCTCGAGATGGTGGCCCGGCATGTGAAGGAGGGTACTGGCTCTGCATGTGGCCGTGCGGAGGAATGCCGCTAGGCGCAGGAGCACTAGAGGGAGCGCCTTGTTGAGCCATGGATGTGGGTGGGCTACCGTAGGAGCCCGGTCCGGGTACGAGTTCGCTGCGCAGGCCGCTACTATAGTGTTGTTGCTGAGGGGGGGTAGGAGACCAAGATGTCTGTAGAGGAGCCCCGGCCCCTGGTGCGCCCGCTACCTTCACTGGGTCCCAGGACTTGGGAGGTTGGCTTAGGCTCTGCATTGGCTTGGGAGTAGCGTTGACCGGCCAACCTCCTGGCTGTGATTTCTGAAGCCCAGAGGACATCATGGCTGGGCTCTGAGGAACGTGAGACTGGCTAGATGTAGACCACACATCCCTACTAAGCGGCGCATGCTCAAGGGGTCGAGATGTGGGGGGGTGCATTGAATACTGAGCGGGCGGCGGGGAGGCGGCAGAGCTATGCGGCTGCGATCCATATGGTGCATAACCCGTTTGGCCCTGATAAGCCACCGGAGCCGCTTGCGAATGGGTGAGACGGTGAGCAGCCTGAGCCGGCGTGCTCGGGGCTGCTGTGTGATGCTGCGCATAACTTGTCTGTTGGTAGTAGTTGTGGCCGGGACCCATGGGAGGTGGCTCGTGTCTCTGAGGAACCACAGATCCCGGTCGTTGAATATTCATGTGTTGTCCCTGTGGCGAGGCATACGGCTTCAATGGCGGCATGCCTGATGGAGTTGGTGCGACCGAAGTGTGCGAGTATCCATAGGCAGCAGCCTCCTGCTCCCTGCTCAACTGCGAGTTCGCTGGTGGGGGGGCTCTAGGGTGGCCCTGCATCTTTTGTGGCTGCGGGCTTGAGATGCCCATGCTGCTGCCCATCACATCGCCAACTGCCTTGGGTGCTGCCGGCATCGGTGCGGGTGGAGGGGGCTCGTCGTTCGGCACCTCATTAAGCAGTGCCATCAAACTTGACTTCTTAGGTTCTGGTGCCCGGGCAGGCGCTGGCGCTGGCGGAGCAGGAGTTGGTGCGGCGGCTATAGGTTGAGATGGCACAGACGCTTGGGATCGAGCAGCAACATCTCCGTATTGGTCGAGAGGCCGAGGGCGTCCATCGTTTGGACCTTGGCTCATACTGTAAATACCTGTTGGCTCTGGGCCGCGCCCGTAACCCGTCGGGCCCCACTCTTGTCGCTTGGCAGGTGATGTAGGCCGAAGGTCAAGATGACCTTGTGGTGGTCTAGAAGGCGCGTGCGCTGCATAGTCATAGGTTCCGGTCGACGGGACCGTGTCTGGCTCCTGCTTAAGATGGACAGGTCCGCGTTGGTCGATTGCCCTAGGAGCCTCCATTTTGGTCCTGTCCCTGCCTGGCTCAGCATGTGGCGGCGCTGCTTGAGGGACCATAGAGGACGGTCTCATCGGAGTCAAAATGCGTGCCGGCTGTTGCGCCTCCGATTGAGGCTGCGCCATCGCCATGGGTGCTAGGGGTCGCCTCGACTGTACTGCTGGTGGTGGTGGGGGTTGAGATTGAGCTTCGGGTTGCTGTTGCTGCATCATGCTGTCAACCGCCGGGGAGGGCCTCATGGGTGCCAGTGCACGTTTAGCCTGCTGCGGTTGCTGATCGACCTGCTGAAGGACAGCCGCATTACGTTGCTTCGCCTGCAACGAGTCAGCTTGCGGCATAGCCGGTGCTGCTCCCTGAGACGCAGGAACGGCAGACGGTCTCATCGGTGCCAGGGCGCGCTTTGGAGGAGTTTCGGTACCATGCATAGCTGCTGCCTTGTCCATCGGATGTGCTTGTTGTTCTGCTGCTCTCTCGCCAGGGTAAGGATAGGCCTTGACGCTAGGAGATATTGCCTGGGGAACGCCGGCGTGTGCCTGGGACGGATGGACTTGTTGGGGTATCTCCTGTTGCAATTGCGCAGTCGTCGGCATGGCTTGCGCCTGGTGTGATAAGAGCCCGCTATGCTCAGGTGGCGGTTGCTTTTGCGGGGAATGAAGCGGCGTCTGTTGGCCAGGGCTGGTTTGAGGCAGAGGCACTATGGGAACCCGAGACGAGAATGGCTGATTCGCCAACTGTGGAAGGTTACCTCCAGCCTTCGCTGCCTGCACAGCTTCGGATGGCGTAGGCATTTCGGGGTTCACAGGGGCAGCCACCGGGATCGGACGGCTCGTCGAAGCCGTGTGATCGTGTCGTTTCTTCGACCCAGTCGCCAAGGGTGGAGGTGGATCCGGTCGTTTCTCGCCTCGCCGACGCTTCTCATCTGCCTCTGCAACCATCGCCTCCCAGCCATCGTTTTTGTCCTTTTGTCTCACGAAATAATTCTTGACCTAAAGTTGTCAAAAACTATTAGTTCCCAGTTCACTTGGTGGTCACTCGTACTGTAGGGAGGAATGACAGAAAAAAAGGGAGAAATAAGGATGCTTACCATTACAGGGGTCTTGGATCCCATATGGCCGGCGATCGCGCTCCAGTCCGTACCAAACGCTCGTAGAAGGTGAGGAAATTCCGTAATTTCCGATACGCTCCAATAGCTTGACGCCTGGGTCTGTGAGCGGCGTTCCGGCTGGGGTTGCACCGGTGGTTGCGCAAAGCTGAGTGTAGACATAGTCGGCTGCGGAGGAGGAGGCGGTGGTTCGGGACGAAGCTGTGGAGGTGCGAGAGCAGAGGGAGGGGCCATTAAATCTGCCATTGATGACGCTTGGGGTGCGACAACTGGACGCTCTAGTGGTGTCGCAGGTGGAGGGAGTGGTGGTTGCTGAGCAGTAGCATCCAAGGACGGAGGCTGGATCCCGCTGGGCTGCTCATAAGTGACTGGCAGGCGAGGGGGCTCGGCCGCGCCCGTGGGTGTGGGAGTCTCCACAGTCTGCGCACGAGAATTGGATCTGGATCGTCCGCGACCGGTGCCACCGGTAGTTTGCGTTGCTGCGAGTGTTTGGCTTTGCTTCGCCGCCTTAGGCTCTTTGTCTTTGGCCGCCTTGCGCCGACCCTTTCTCCCATCCACCTTCTCCCCGGCGTTGGCACGCCGCCCCGAGCCGGACGCGACACTATCGGAATCGGCCGTGTTGTTCTGCTCGAATGAGAAAGTTGGCGCCGCCGCCCTACGAGGTCGCCTCCGTTCTCCGCCTTCCGTCGCTTCGGCGTTGTTCTCCTCCGTCTCGTGATTTTCTCCGTTTCCGAGTTCGGACACAAGTGCGCTGGTCTTCTGCTTCCCACGGCCGCTCTTCTTTCTCTTCCTGGGTTGCTTCTTAAGCCTCTCCTTAAGTTTAAGCTCCTTCTTCTTGAGATAGTAGAATTGGATGCAGGCCTTAAAGTCCCTCTTCGGTATGCCCTCGGCGATGACGCCCCACTGCTTGGGCTTCTCCATGTAGCGCTTCTCAAACAGCTCAACTTCTTCTTCCGTGAAATTGGCAATCGGCGGAAGACATGCCCAGGCAAACGCGAGCCTTTCAACGGGTACGAAGCCGGAAGTATCGTAGAAGAGTTCGTTCTTCATTTGCTGTTCGTCCCAGTACATTGGCGGAATGATTGCCTCCTTCTCGCTGCGGTACTTCTCTTTCTGGATCTGGATCTCACGTTGCCGGCGCTCCTCATCTTCCTTGATCGAGGCTTGTATGACCCTCTCCAAATCTCTTTCGGTCGCAAACCGCCTCCCGCTACCTCGCCCCTCTGGTTTTTGCTCAGCATTTGCTTGCGCCGCCGCGAGGCTGTCATTCGCGCTGCTAGTGCCAAATATCTTGTCGCGGGTTTTTACTGCTACCGAATCGTCCGATAGGGTGAAATCTAGGTAGTGTCGGTAGTTTTGGAGATAAACTAGGCTAAGTTCTTGCTGCTCTGAAAGCCTTTCTAGACTAATCTTCTCCAGATGGTCCAAGATTAATTCGTCGACGGCCGAGTCGGTGTCATCCAAAGTTCTCAAGAACTTGGCATCCTTGTCCCACGCCTTGCCGTGGAAATTGGGGAGGCTGTCAATGGGAGGTGTCTTCATGGTCTGGCGGAGGGAATCGATCATCATCGCCTCGGGGTCATCGGATTCGGTCTCATCGCCGTCGTCCTCAACCTGCGAAGGAGGTGTTGGAAGCGGGCTGCCCCCGTCCGGCGGTTGTACTGCACCATCGGGAATGGGCAAAGGTCCCGCGGAGCCCGTCAGATCTGTAGGCGCCGCCGCAAGACTCTCCTCCTTTGACGGGGCTGCCTCGGGAACGGGCGGAGCTTCGGCCATAGGCACATCCTCGGATCCGGGTTGGACCTCCTGCTTTACAGATACTTCCCTAGAGGGACTAGACACGCTCATGTCCATTTCTTCAGTCTTAGGAAGTGGTGGGGCGCTAGAAGTAGCCTTCGTCTCCGGACGAGATTCTCCCGCTGCGGGCGCTAGTACCTTGTCGAGACTGGGTCCCTTCGAATCGCTCGGCTTTGATATCTTCGCGGATGTGCTGCCCTCAGCCTGAGCCTTGATCGCTGTAGGTGGGACAAAGGCAGCCGCCTCGAGCTCAGCAGGGATAGGTCCCAGAGACGCCGTTACCCGATCGTCCTCTACTGCGACTTTAAGGGCCATGTCATGAGACAAGCCTGCAAATCGAGTTGCCACATCCCAGGGGGCGTCCATCCTTTCCAATTCACGAAGGGTTGATTCGGTCTTGGTAAGTTCATCAGCGAAGTAGTCGCCCATATCTTCATCATCGTCGGATTCCCAGGATTCCGAGGGAGGAGTGGCATCCTTTGGTGGCAGGGAGAACCTTACGACAGGAACTCGTAAGAGGGGCCGCTTGGTTGTACCAGACTTCGGCGCGGATTCGCGTGCTTCGTGAGCGTCGTCCTTGGTTGCTGAGACCGTCGTGGGCAACGGTCCTCCATCGAGTTTCCGCTCGGGTTTCCGCTCCTCGGCTTTGACCGGCTGCGTCTCCATACCCGCCATTTCGACATCCTTGCTCTCCGAATGAGGCACCTTTCTCTCTCGATCAACTGGTGCCCTCGCGGGGAGAACATCCCGCTCGTGTCGGGCGCCGAGTTCAGGTGGAACTGACCGGCGAAGGGGTTGCGCAGGGTCGTTGGTTGGGCTAAGCTGCGATTCAGGCTTCGCATGACTGCTGCGGGGGCGTCTCTGATCTTCGCGGTGGTAATCCAAATGGGTATCATCCTGGCGCATGGGGAATGGTCGCTGCTGTTGGGCGAAACTTTGGGACCTCATAGTCTTGGGCGATTCGGGAATTTTCCTGCCAGCAATATTCGGATTGATCCATTGCTTGCTCGACGGTCTCGACGGTGGATTTGGTTGTGCTCGTGGGCCGACGGGAATTGGCGTGCTTGCATCGGGAGGATGGGACGGTTTAGTCTGGGCTGTCGGCGAGACTTGAGGTTCACTTCCGCCAGCCGAAACAGGGCGCTCAGACAATGCTCTTGGGCCAGTTGGAGGAGGTTTTCCAGTTCCACTGGCCGGTTGGGGTTCTGAAGAGCTCAGGTTCCGGGGTGGTACGGTGCCGAATGCTGGAGCAGAAGGGGCGATGGGAGGAGGAGAAACGTCTTTGGTGACCGGTGGCTGTTCATGAGGTAGGGAACTGCGATCGGGTTTAGGTCGAATGTCCCGATCCCGGATATCACGATCGTCCCGATCTCGACGCGCATCCATATCACCGTAACGGTCTCCCCTGTCACGGTCATCTCTATCCCTGCCCCAGCGGCCCTCCTGGGAGCGACTGCGCAGATGGCCGTAACGATCATCGTGATAAGATCCCCGGCCACGTCCTCTATGATCCCAGTCGCCACGACCACGGCCGCCGCGCCCTCGACCAAACCCTCCCCTTGAGAAGGTTGACATAAAAGGTGGGTCCGAGGAAGAGGAGCCGGCAGACGGAGGTCCGCCATCGCGAGATCCATGTCTCGCCCTCTCAGCGTCTACGCCCAGTGGTGGCTGATCACGGAAGTCGCGCAGTGGTGGAGATCGGGGTCTTCCAGGGGATGGGCGGCGGGCCCTATAAGAATCGCGTTCGCGCCACTCCCTGTCGCGGTCTCTATCCCTCTCACGGTCTCTGTCCCGCTCACGATCGCGATCACGATCTCTATCCCTCTCGCGGTCGCGGTCGCGATCTCTATCGCGCTCCCGACTTCTGTCGTCCCTGTAGGGGGGATCTCTTCGTTCACGGAAGTCATCGCGGTCTCTCCCCCGCTCTCTGCTGGTATCACGAGACCAAACGCGACCACCTCTCCCCCCCCTGCCTCCCCTGCCTCCTCGTCCAAAGTCGGCATAAGGGCCACCGCGATTCCCGGTCTGGTCCATTAAAGCCTTCGGACCTCTGGGTGGGTCACGGGGGAGAGAATCGCGAAAGGAGTCGCCTCGAGGTGGAAAAGGAGGTTGGTTGAAACGCAGCTCGCCAGAGAGCCGGCGCCTGTCTCCGTCTCCATACTGTGAGCCTCTATCATATCGATCAGGGGAGCGTGAACGGGAACGACGCTGCTCCCCATCATAACGGGGATGTCGGGGCCTAAGAACACTGAGTCAGAAGCAAATCGATAGGATAAGAAACGAGCCATGACGATTAATCATCCACCCATCCCAAGGCCCCAAGCTTAACGGACCAACGACTGAATGGACGGCACTTAAAACAAATCAAAAAGGTAGACGAGAAGCGGCAGAAGAAACCTGGAATAATGGAAGCCGGAAACACCGACTAGATGATCACAACAGACTGAGGGGATAGTGATGGGTAGCAGGAGGTAGCATACATGAAAAATGAGTGGCGTACGGCCTAAATGCCGCCGTCCCGAATAATGTTTCTCCCCCAGTGAGATCAAGCCTGGCGTCTTCGCATAGGGAAAGAAATAATTGCTAAGGTGATGCCGCGAATGGTGTTGGGAATTCGATGGATGAAAGAACAATGTGAGGCGTCGCGTGGAGTGGCGGCAAAGACGGGAGGTGTCAGGACAAAGCCACGGGGCTTTTGCGTAGTCGGTGCAGTGCGGCTTGGCGTAAGAAAGGGCACTGATTGCAATGAGAAGAAAAGGGTATTCCTCTTTTCCCACGTGTAGGAGTAGGTATTGCAGTGTGATGATGGCTGATATGCTAATCGCAGGCAGTCCTTGACGAGGTGTTGAGGTTTTGAGATTGAAGATTGAAGGTTAAAGATTGGGCAAGTGAAAATCGAAGTGGTACAGTCCAGTGTTCAGGTCAAACATTAGCACGGCTGTTTTGGGGGTACTTTGTACTTCTTACTGTACGTTAGCGTCGTACTAGCGGGAAAAGAAGAGATCAAATGGGAGGTGTGGGCCATAAACTAGACAGGCAAGGAAGGGCCCACTGGGGCGTGTACGAAGTAATGTACATGAAGTACTTCGTACGATGGAGAATTGAAGGAACATTGAACAGATCAAGATGCCCAGTATGAAGTACGTACCTGTGGAGAGGAACCGATGGGGGTGGCGTTTAAGCTACGAGAAAGAACAGATTTGGTCGAAAAACTTGCAGGGTACAAGACCTCACCCTATAATATAGAGAAAGAGACGCCGAAAAACAAATTTCAGCCAGTACCTCGAAGTATTACCGTGGGGCCTCGAAGAACCCGCCACCCCTGTGGAGGGACTCGGCGCCATCAACACCTCGAAGTAGTACATGGGTACTTCGTACTCCCTGGACATTCTTTGTTTTCATGCACGTTTTCGAAATGGGATGTTCACAGCCTGGCAACACTTCACAAGAACGACACAACGAAGCAAGTCATGGTGTCGACTCTGGAGAGGTGAGAATCTTCCATACAGTCATTCGAGAAGCAAAAACTACATCTACAGAGGTCCCATGTCCAGGGCTAAAACTAGATGCCTGCCTAGAGTAGAGTTCCTGTCACACGGATACCACAAAGACGAAGTAAACGTTTACTTTGTACTTCGTACAAGAAGAACTTGAAAAAAGCTCGAAAACTTGTGCTCAATATCCTTCCGGCGCTAAACTCCTTGTATGAGGTACCAAATGACAGCCTCCCCTGCACGGTCCAATTGTCTTGTTTCAAGTTCCAGAAGACAATGATGGATTTGATTAGGTAACCAGCCAACCGAACCTCCGAAGACCGAAACATCAAATTGAGGTGTCAAATGATTGGAGTGCCCCAGATCCAGAGAACGCAGGGGCTTCACGGGAAGGACATGCAATCCTGGCGAAACGGATCTCAAGAATATCATGGGCGGCGGTTTCTGGAAATTAAGAAGTACAAACTCTCAGATGGCTCCCCCCATTCTATTTTCTATGCTTGGCAAAGATTTTCTCTTCAACAGCCGACAAACAAGCCTTGGCGGCATCAAGTCATTGTTGAGAGGTGGACAACAATGAAGGTGGATTTGTAGTGATGCCCAGATTAGTAACCAGTCACATTGATCAAATTTGTCCCAGTTCTCCGAGATTCAAGCCACTCGTGCTATCCCCAGTTCCTGGTGACTACACATCAGGATTTACTTTTTTCGCCTCCTACCGAAAGAGCCCGGTCTTCTCGCATATTCAGTCCAGGGAACAAAATCTGATCTAATCACAACTGTTGGCTTTGGCCGTGTTGGGTCGGGCTCGTGAATATGGCTGGTTCGCAGAATCAACCCCCCACCGCAGCCACGGACGCTGTCCTGGTATCATCCGATGAGATGCCGAAAGATGCCCAGAAAGTTGAAGAGCTCGATTTCAACAAACTCAAGCGGCCCATCACCGCCGAGGACCTTCTAGACGGAATGCGCCATATGGGATTCCAGGCCTCTTCCATTGCGGAGGCCGTGCGCATCATCAATGACATGGTAGATCCACCCCTCCGAGGGCAAGGCTGTGCCGGATTTTTCTTTTCCTTTTTTTTTTTTTTTTCCCCTTCAAATCCGTGTCGTTAATATTTGCGGGAGAGCATACGTTTTTTTCTAACCATAAAGTTCACGTAGAGAGCTTGGAGGGATCCTGAAACGGGAGAAAAAACGACAATTTTCCTTGGGTACACTTCGAACTTGATATCTTCTGGCATGAGAGCTGTCCTCCGATGGCTAGTTGAACACAAGCATGTCTCCTGCATCGTGACATCGGCCGGAGGTGTGGAGGAGGACTTCATCAAGTGCCTAGGCGATACCTACATGTCATCATTCAGTGAAAGGGGCGCCGAATTGCGACGCAAGGGCCTAAACAGGATTGGAAACCTCATCGTGCCAAACGCCAATTACTGTGCCTTTGAGGATTGGGTCGTCCCCATCCTAGACAAAATGCTCGAGGAGCAAGAAGAGACGAAGAACTCGGAAGAGCCTATCAAGTGGACGCCATCCAAAGTCATTCATCGCCTAGGGAAGGAGATAAACGACGAGAGATCGGTGTATTATTGGGCATACAAAAATAATATCCCAGTTTTCTGTCCCGCATTGACTGACGGGAGCCTTGGTGATATGCTTTACTTCCATACGTTCAGATCCTCACCCAAGGCCCTTACCATCGACATAGTCCAGGACATCCGAGCGATAAATACCATATCGGTGAGGGCGAAGCGGGCAGGCATGATCATTCTCGGAGGAGGCGTCGTCAAGCATCATATCGCTAACGCATGTCTCATGCGCAATGGTGCGGAACATGCCGTTTACATCAACACTGGTCAGGAGTTCGATGGCAGTGATGCCGGTGCGCGTCCCGACGAGGCCGTTTCGTGGGGCAAGATTAAGATTGGGGCGGACCATGTGAAGGTATGTGTATGTCTCGGCTCGCTTAGGGATACACGAGGGAATTGACAGACTTGCAGGTATACGCCGAAGTGACCACGTGTTTTCCCTTCATTGTGGCAAACACATTTGCGAAAGATTCTCAATAGGCATGTGCGATTGAGTGAAGATAGCCGGCCTGACTCCGAGTTTCAGTGGGAAGCCTGCTTCCGTGTGTCGAGGACAGTTGATAGACTCATTGTTAACGTTGGTTAGGAACGGATTATAAAAGTTTAAAACCCCGGAGATTAGATCAAATGCATATAGGCGCCTGATTGATTTTTTTCCCTCCTTCTGAAACAGAAAATGACATGCCACTGATATTTATATGGACTGAGTGAGATTGAAAGTTTAAGTGATGGGAGTGGGTGGGATCAGTGATCTCGACGTCTTGGTTCGAGGTTGGGCTGGGCTTCTGCTTAATAAGCAAGAGAACATCCAGCGAGATGCTTGTCGACTTTGCCCCGTTCCATGGTTCGTTCCCAACAGTCGAAGTCACCTCCTCTTTCCGAATCATCGATGGCCTTGTGCATTCTCGACTCGAAGAGAGAGTCTTGTATTATCACGCTACATGTTAGCTATGACCGACGTCGCCGGCTAACGCGTATGCATATTAATACCTCTCTCGACGCGACAGAGACTCATCGGCCACCATGATCCAACAACCGAAACAATGTCAGGAGCATATATCCCACCAGTAGACAATACAGCGACTCAGCATGATGGCACCGATGACCTGTCTATCAACAACACATTCGCCCGGCGCGTTTTAACGCTTCTCGCTCTTAAATCTACTGCGCGCTTCTATCACTACGATGGCCCCTGTGTTCCCATTTCCAAGAACCACATAGTCAAGACTGGTCCGTTCGTTCACCTCATGGAAGGTGCTACGTTGAGCTTTGTCGCTGCGAACACCTCGATTCCGGTGCCGCGTGTATACTGCTCATTGTCCACGGAAACCGGGACTACATTGTCATGGAGCGTATCCAGGGAATCACACTGGCAGAGGCATATGCGTCTCTCTCCGATGCCGATCGCGAGAGTGTCCTGGCACAACTTCGGGCTATGCTGCAGGAGTTGAGGAAGCTTCCTGCCCCCGCTGGCGCTGGCGTGCAAAGCTGCGTTGGAGGGTCTTTGCGGGATTGCCGTATTCCCCACTGCAGACCGCGCTTTGGGCCATTCGACACCATCCAAGACTTTCATCTCTGGCTACGTGAAGGACTTCGTCCGGAGGACCACCCGGTCCGGGCCGCCAATGACCAGGAATGGGAGGATATTAAGGAGATGGTAGCTAAACAGGACGGACCATGGCCGGCACCTGTCTTTACGCATGGAGACTTGAACCCATTCAATATCATAGTCCGTGAGAACAAGGTTGTAGGGATTATCGACTGGGAGTTTGCCGGCTGGTATCCTTATTATTGGGAGTACACAGCTGCGTGGTATGGGAGTCTGACTCGACAGGCATGGCAGGAGATAATTGTCAAGTTTCTGGATACTTACCCTGAGGAGTTGAAGATGGAAATTACGCGGCAGAAATGGTGGGGAGAATTCTGATCAACTCATACAGAAGCTTTGCGGCTGTATATCTATCTCGCCCGCTAGCCAACATCAAACCTAAGGCTTTGTTGGAAGCATGTCTGCTAAATCGAAGACGAGAAACGGCTTGTCGACATCATCCGCAAGGTACCCGTCGTCCAGAACGACCCAAACTGGCGGTGCCGCACCTGGGTGTCTGCCGTTCTGTCGAGTCTTCAAAAGGATGGCAAAGCTGTGGGGACATCGCAGCTGGACTGGGCAAAGATCGAGGCGCTGGCGAGGGAGTACGTGGCAAAGAAGATGGCGGCCGGGCGATATTTGAAGGCGGAGGAGATGTTGTTGCCGAAGCCAACGTGGGACATGCTTGAAGAGAAGGAAATTATATCCTAAGCCGCATGTGGAATTGATGGGTATGAATTAATGTATAGCAACCGTGATACGTGCCAGCAGGTTGACGGTGCTTTCACATTAGTGACACCCACTTCCTCATAGACCCAGCCGTGGACCGGGTGGTTCTTGACGTGGAAGTGTGTGCCCCGGACCTGGGGCTCGCCTTCGTATTTGGGGCCGACCAGAAAACCCTAGTGGTATCTGTAGAGTACAGTGAGTCAAAGGACAGTGAGTCAAAGACACAGAAGGAGATGCGGGACGGTTCATGGTCTGTCATACCTTCGCTCTTCGTTATTGGTGACCCCGCTAGGGTAGAGGGCAATGTAGAGTCTTTTCTTATTCGAAACCATCGTTATCTCTTCGGACGACAAGCCGAATGTTGGTGTTATAGGAGCAGATATAATCGAGGGTTTTCTGAATAGATATCAATTAGAGAACTTACAAGCAATGCTCTGAGGACAACAGCTTGAAGACAACAGCTTGAAGACAACAGCTTGAGGACAACAGCTTGAGGACAACAGCTTGAGGCACACGCACATTTATACACCCTTCCAATTTGCTCCCACGGATTGCCTCGATCCACGGCTAGGGATGTGGCGCTTAATTTGCGTCCAAGGACCTTTCGTCGTAGCCACCGGGATTCCCATTGAAACGGTCTCGAAACGATAACGATAGTTCGGGCGGGTAGCAAGAAGGCTGTACTGTGATATCGCGGGCCGGATCCATCTGAGTGATCCGCTAGAAAATGGTAGATTGTTGTTACAGGGTCACTATTCGAGGCAATGTGGAATTACGCATCGGAATGAGGATTGATGGACTTAGTGGTCACAGCGGGGCAGCCAGTTGAGGCTACTTCGAAAGTTGGGGCGACAGACAGTGACACTGCACTGTGCGGCTCGATGCAGTCGCCGCCTGCAAAAAACAGTGCTATGGTAAATTTCCCTCCCAAAGGTCAACTTCGACTTCCCACGTCTTTGCAGGTTGTTGCGATCTCATCTTGCCACACGCGCCACTCGCGACTTCCCCGCCGAAGCAAGCTGCGCCTACTTCCACAATCAAAGATCCAACGGAGGAAAGCGTGGATAAGGATGTCGGCCATTTACAATCTCGAACCGCAGCCCACGGGCTCGGTGATCCTCCACACGACGATAGGCGAGCTCTCGATCGAACTCTTCGCGAAGCAGACCCCATTAACATGCCGCAACTTTTTGCAACTTTGTATGGATGGCTACTACGATGACACGATATTCCATCGCCTCGTCCCTGGTTTCATTCTTCAAGGTGGCGACCCTTCGGGCACTGGTCACGGCGGCGAGTCGATCTACGATGGGGGCGCTCTCAGCGGCGACCTGGATCCGTGGCCGATGGACCTGCGTCGGGGGAGGAATGCGGGGCCGACTGGTGTGGGATTCAAGGACGAGTTTCATTCGCGACTAAAGTTCAATCGACGAGGTCTTCTTGGCATGGCCAACGAAGGGATGCCAGATACCAATGGCAGCCAGTTCTTCTTTACTCTCGACAAGGCGGAGGAGCTGACGGGGAAAAACACATTATTCGGTAGAATCGCTGGAGATACGATATACACCCTCGCTAAGATCGGAGAGGCAGAGATTGACGAGGCGACCGAGCGACCACTGTACCCTGTCAAGATCACGAATGTGGAAATCCTTATCAATCCTTTTGAGGGCATGACAAAGAGGGCCCGGACAGCGCCAGTAGTTCAAAAGACCGTCGTCGCGGAGAGGAAAAAGAAGAGGAAAGGAGGGAAGAAGCTACTTAGTTTTGGCGACGAAGAAGGCGAGGAGGAAGAGCTTCCCATCTTGAAGAAGCCAAAGTTCGATACCCGGATTGTGATGGACCTGGATGACGGTGCTGACCAGCCTGCGACTACCCTGAAAAAGGGAGAAAAGAAGAAAACTAAGACTGCGGCGTCTGCGGACAAGGTATCACCAGTACCAAAAACGATGGAAACGAGGAAACCTACACCCACCGAATCGGACCGACAGAAAAAGAGCCAATACGAATCCCCATCCCCTGAGCGGGAACCGCCAAGAAGGAAAACGGAGCTTGAACGGACGAACGATGAGATTGCAGCGCTTAAGGCATCCATGAAAAGAACACCCCATGTGACGGAAGAGGTGGACAATAATAAAAAGAAGAAATCCGCCTTGGAACAAATGCTCTCAGGGACAGCCGTTAAGGGCGGAAGAAGGCGCGGCCGCCAGAACGCCAACGAAGATCAACGGTCAGTCGATATCATGAAAGGATGGGAACTGAAGTTGAAAACGGCACAACCGGAAAGAGAGATGGCCTCCCGCAGAGCTGTTGAAGAGAGTAGCAAGGGGAAAGCCAGTGCAGAGGATGACGACGAAGGAGACAAGTGTGACCTACACTTTGTGCCCAATTGTCAGAGTTGTCAGGCTTGGGATAAGAAGGAACAGGAGCAAGACAGCGGAGATGAAGGCTTCATGGCACACATGATGAATTGCAAGGCAGACAAGTTAGGGAAAGACCTGAGTTACCGCAAGAAGGCTGAGGAGGAACTCGTGGTCATCGATCCAAGGGCGAAGGCGCAAACTATCAAGGAACAAAAGAGAGCAGAGAGAGAGGCCAGAGCAGGCAATTCCGGTCGCGAATGGGATCGGGCAAGGAATGCTCAGATGGCTAGAGCTGCTGCCACAGCAGGCAGAGGAACCACATAAGCCAGCCGCCTTTGGCTCACGAAAACTTACGTTGATATTGTCTGTTCACTACCTGTCGACTAGTAAAACAATGATACCCATGAACCTCGACTAGTCTTATCCGCCCCTTCCGTTGTGCCTTTGTTTTGGTTCTTTGATCTGAGAAAAGGTTTTATTAACTATTGCTGCAATTGGCCCCACCCCTGCCATGATCTGCCACGATTTAGAAATGTGAGCAGAGGCCATTCGGCTGGGGAAGCTGTCACTAGGCCTCCGGCTCGGGGTATCTAGAATGTTCTGTGAAGATAGGCAACATTGAAGGCCAGATCGTTCTTTCCCTGGCGATCGAGAATTACATTTTTAAGTTACGTGTTCATTTTCGAGTTGGGAACTCGCCAGTTTCAGCAGACAGGTAGGATGGGAATGCGAGCAAGGCCAGGAACAATTAATTCATCAATTGATCACCCAAAGGAGACGTCATACACTAGAGGCAAACCTTAATACTCCAGCTTTTACTACTCTGCGACATTGACTTTGGCAGCAACATCACTTTGGGGACCGTCCTAGAACCACTGAGCCAGGGGACCACCTAGATTAAAATCTAGAGGCCTGGTCCAATCACGCCTTAGATAGAGAAGGTGCGAAGGCAGCAAAAAACTTCGGTCTATCGCCACGTGATTCCTTATCGATTTTTCTATCAGTCTCAGCTGTGATTGGGCGGTTAGTTAGAGGGGGAGGAACATCATAACGAGCCGAGAAGGTTTCCTGCTCTCAGGGCCTGGTCTGACCTTTGTTCCATTCAACTGCTCTTCATTGTCTCTGCAGTATTCCAGAGATCCTTCTAGGTCGAGCGACGGACGATATATCGCCATTTCTGAACTAACCGGTGCGACGAGGCCGGGCACCGCGCCGCGATTAATCGACCTGCTATAACGAGGCACTATGACGACAGCATAGCAACTTGTCACGCCCTGCCGAACCAGAAGATCGGTCGAAAAGCTCCCTTGTCGCGCAAAGACAATTTACAGTCGGCAAAGAAAGCCTGGTTTCCACCATTATCCCATCCCATTGAATATCCCTGCGAGGCAGAAGGCTTTCCCTTTGAAACCGATCACACCCTTTGTTTCTTTTATTGTCTGCGCTGCCATAGACACAGTAGTGTCTGCCTTGATCGTTTCGCAACTAGACACACGAGGGGATATCACAAGGTCCAGGGCGGATCACAGCGACAACAGGGACTCCTGTCTGCTCATCGGTATATATCGCGCCATTCATCGCAGTTGCGCAGATCGCGACTTCTTCACCGAAAGCACACCCGCCGGACCATCCGTCGTTTATTCCTGCAACATTTATACCACCAAAAAAACGCGCCATATTTCACTAGAATTCTATCACGTCGACCCTCTCATCTCCCTTTCCGCCTCATTCTCACTACGTCCTCGAATTGCAGACATACGCCTTCGATAGGCGTCACGTTGCGACACTCCCTGCTTGGTCCTGTCCAAGGCGTTTTCGGCCTACATCGTTTGCATGCAATATCCCATGTCTTCACCGAATCAGAGGAAGAGGCCGGCTCCGGGTGCATCGCCATCCATGCCTATGCAGCCCATAGGCCAGCAGTTTTCGGACGTAGACCCTCTGATGAGATGGACTTCACCCGATAATTCTAGTAACTTTGTCGATGACGGCTCCCAGGGGCTGGGCTCCTTTGGCCTGCAGCAGCCAGTCCCACCCCACTTCCCTCAACCCATACCCGCAACTCCATCCAACATGCTGGCGCGACGCGTCATGAATCGCGCATTGATCCCAACTGGTTCCAGAGCGAGCTTCGACGCAAATCCGGACCCTTGGGCCAGTCTGGTCCCAGCCGATCCCTCTACCCTGGATACGACAGTAAACCCGGAAATGAGCGAACAGGAGAACTTGCAACACCTTGAACAACTAGCCCTCAAGGCAAAGAGAGATGCTGAGGCGAAGCGCAAACAAATACCGCCGTTTGTGCAGAAACTCAGCAGGTAAGCCACGTTTTATACCTTTGGTTATGTCTCTCTCTACTAGCGCGATGCTAACAAGTGTATTATCAGCTTTCTCAATGAAGGGAAGAACGAAGACCTAATTAGGTGGTCCGAAAAGGGCGACTCTTTCATTGTTGTAGACGAGGAGGAATTCGCAAAGAAGCTCATCCCTGAGCTCTTCAAACACAACAATTACGCATCCTTCGTCCGCCAGCTGAACATGTACGGATTCCACAAGCGCGTTGGCCTATCAGATAACTCGATGCGCGCGAGCGAACGGAAGAACAAGAGCCCCAGCGAATACTCGAATCCTTACTTCCGGAGAGGACATCCCAACCTGCTTTGGCTTATAACCAAACCAAAGAGCAGTAGCAAGGCGAAGAAGTCAGCCAAGTCTACAGACCCAGAAGTCGACAGTGATGAGGACACTGGGTCGCCAAACGGCCCGTCGTACACAGCCATCCCTGGTGGCATGTCACTCTCCGAGACCGGCGCCGGCTTGAAGAAGAAGGAACTCGCTTTAATCCGGGACGAATTCAAGAAGTTACGCGAGCATCAGCAAGTTATCCTCCAACGTATGCAACGGCTCGAACAGAACCAGCAGCGCATCGAACAGCAACAACGTGCACAGCAGCAAAAGGATCAGCGCGTAGACGAAATCTACCGCCTGTTCATGCGTCACGAGACCTCGCTGCAGAGCATGATGCAAATACTCGCTTATCACTTTAAGAAGACCTTGGAGGATAACAAGTCGGCACAGCAAATCAAAGACATCATGGCTACGGGGTTCCTACCAGGTGGTCACGGGTCTCACGGCATTGTCGAACTCGAGGACTTCGTGCAAAACCAACCCAAGTCACCGACTCCAATGGGTGTACCGAAGAGAGCGCGAGCGCTGCTGGAGGCACCACCCACGATACCAAAGACTGGCAACGTCAGAACAGTTCCCGCATCCCCCGCATCTGCCCAAGGATTCTCCGCTCCTGAAATGGGTAGCGTGACGGAAATATTGGACGCGTCTCCAGCCGATACCACATCTCCACCATACCTCCCTACCTCCCTCTCCCCGAACTCGCAAGAGAAGCTCTTGAGAATGTTCCAGGACGCCAATGCCTCGGCAGCAACGGCGTCGATGTCCTCCGCTCAACCCAACCCTTTCGCACAGGCCGTACCACAACCATCTACGCGAATTAACCCTCCGCAACAAATACCTAATCTTCCGCGGGGTTCTACCTCCACTACCGCATCAACCGTCAGCCTTCCTCCCAACAGCCTTCCCTCGGCGAGTATTCCCGTTTCCGCACCCACTACAGGTCTTCCTACGATCCCATCCGTTTCCGCGCCACCCGTTATGCCAGTTTCCTCAGCTATGCCTTCCAACCTTGGCAACCTCTCGGGCGTTGTCCCCGATCCTTCCCAGTACTCGGCGTTAACGAGCATTCCTCCCGCCGTGGAGAATATCAGCTACAACTCGAAGGAATACGAGCACCTTAAGAAGTTGCAAGCGGCACAAGATGCCCAGATCCAACTCCTCGGATCGAAGATTGCGCCCCTCAGCCCTTCGGGACAGCTCCCCGGCTTCGGCGGACCAGGCGACACCAACGAATATTTCTCCGGCGCCAATTTCGACCTCAACGATCCCACGTTCAACGAGTTCATCAACTCCGACCCGTTTAGCGGCGAGGGTGCCCCGGACCTCACGAACGCCGCGGTCCCGACCGACGACTTTGGGCACGATTTTGATTTTAGTCTTATTGACCAAGATGGTGGGGTCAGCGGCGCCAACGCTACTGATGCGAAGAATATTCCGAGTCCTAGCGGGACTGAGGAGATACTTCGCGACGACATCGTGGACAGCCCCGACCGCGGCTCTAAACGACGCAAAGTCCAGTAGGAGGGATATGCTGAATTGGATGCCAGTGGCCGGAATCGCCTCTCGACGCAGCCTTCGTCTTTACCTCAGCTTGATGGATACTGGAACCGCTGAGACGGTTTGCTTCGGGAGCTTTGTGGCGAGATTATGACAACGGGCTGCAACGAGGCTGATGTTGCCAGCTGTATACTGGAGGGCATATTATCGGTAAAGGGCGGCATTTTAAGATGAGCTTTGAGTTATGTTGGAAACGGACGGGAGGAGCGGGATTTTTCCTTGTTATGCAGAATCAATGGAGGAGAAAGCAAGTGGGTGGAAAGGGTGCGCGTCTTCAGTCAGCAATTCATACATGATGATGATAATCAAGGAAATGGTTTTGATACCCAATTCACCAAAAAAAGAGAGAGCATGGTAATACACGGAAAGCTCGGGTTCTATTTTCTTCACTTTGTGTTTCCTCCTTTTTTCTTTTTTTTCTCTTCTTTTTCTTCGTTTTACAGTTGGCAGGTCTCAGCCTCGTAGAAAAAGAACCGGTTTTACAGTGCCTTCCACTATGGATGACGTTTAAAGCTCTTTGGTGTTTTTCCGTTTTTTATTTCGTCGTGTAAGATAGCCTCTTGCGTGCTACGAGGCCTCGTGTATTCATACTAAACCTAAGTGTTGGATCGGTCGAGATGTCTTCATGCGGGTCGGGTCGCTTCTCGACCAGCGGTCAAGTAAAATGAGACGGTTGAAATCCCGAGGAAACCGTGAATATTGCTAATGTTCATTGTCAAAGTCTATATACTACAGACAAATCTCAATGACACATAACAGGATGAAATCCTCTCTGTCTGCTCAATCTCCATTTTTCGAATCTATTTCATGCTAGGGTATATCAAATATGGGCTCTTACTCTCTCCAATGAAGTCGCCCTGAACATCAAGTCATACACTCCAATTACATCCTTCCTATGCCGATTCCCAGGAAGCAAAGGCAGAGGTATTCGTTAGCTCTTTGCCTTGCCCAACTTTTCCCTCACCTCCTCAAATCCCCCATCCTCTAAGAGAAACATCACGACGCCAACGGATTCGCATGAATCGTCACACTTTCTATCCTCACCTCCTCCTTCGGCCTATTCTTCCTATCCACCTCCACCTCCTCCATTCTCTTCAAAGTCGCAAAACTCTCATCCCCCAAAACCTTGCCAAACACGGTATTCAACCCGTCCAGGTGCGGCGCCTTATCGAGCAGTATAAAGAACTGCGACCCGTTCGTGTCGGGACCCTTGTTGGCCATCGACACGACGCCGCGGGCCGAGTGGCGCAGGCCGGGCCGCAGCTCGTCGGCGAAGGTGCCGCCCCAGATGGAGCGGCCGGCTTTGGGGTTTTCAGGGGTGGGGTGCGCGGGCCCGCCGGTTTGGATCATGAAGTTGGGGATGAGGCGGTGGAAGGGGGAGCTGTCGTAGTAACCTGAGGCGCAGAGGGCGAGGAAGTTCTGCAAGGGGAAAAAACGGTATCAGAGTTAGACTTAAAAATTCCCGATAGCTAGGGAAAGGAGAGGGAAGGGGAAGGGGAGGGTTCGTACCTCTGCGGTTTTGGGGACGCTTTCGCAGAAGACTTCGATTTTGATGTCGCCATGAGTCGTGTGGAGAGTTACCGACATGGTTCTTCGTTTTCGGCAGACTATTTCTCAAAATTTGTTGGTATTATAACTGTATTGGGGATGTGTTGTTTCGGGACATTGTCGTTGTCTAAGATCCAAGGCTGTAAAGGAAGCTAGCTACAATTGTAGCTGATGTGGGGTGGTGGACAGAGCTTGGAGCTCTGAACAATGATGGCGATTGATTTTGAGGTCTTGGTCAGCCTTGCAGGCTAGCAATGGGGTGGCGTCGTTGGTTGGTTCCGAAGGGAGGATGAAATGTACTTGTACTCGCACTTTTCGAGCCTTGGCAGATTGGCGATCGCGTGCGGAATACCAGATGTTCAAAGTACTTCACATTTGACGTTCATGGACTGTATTTTCAAGGTACTCAGTACGGTCTCGCGCCCATTCCTGTGTAATGTCGCAAGCGTGTTGACGACGTAATACTCCGTACATGCCTGGTCAGCGAGTCGTGCCAGTCGAAGGGCACAATTGTCGAATGCCTTCTTATCTTCTTATTAACACCACCATCCAGTACCTCTGTATCGCTAACGGTGTTCCGATGTGCATCGCTTCTCCCACTCAAGAGACATGATTCCAGATAACGGACTGATATCGCCAAGGAATAAGGAAACTGGAGGGGAGGAAAAGTTTATTTATTATACCCTTGTGAATATGGATGGTCTCGAGGGTAACATCGCTAGGCTGGGTCCGGATATCTTGGCGATATTCCAGCTTGCCGCATACCTCAACTCGATCTGATGCTGCCAAATGCCGCTGTTCCGCTGGCTATTCCAGGTCCAAGCATTTGATGTAAACCCCACGGGGCAGAAAGACCACTGCCAAACGGATTGGCTTCACAGTGGTAGCTGAAAGCTTCAAGTGACATTGTGACATTCAATGCTCAAGTTTTGAGCTCTGCCGTTTTGTGAGTTCCCAACCGAGTAAGCTGACCGAAATATTACTCTTCGTAGCCCTCGCTGTGTAGATTGGTGCTTTAAACTCTCGCAGGTCGCTGTCTCATATTAATAATTCTTTGCAATATCCTGTCCTGTCCATGGAGCAAGTGTCATTTGATCATTTGCAATTGAAGAGACTGTCTTTTCCCTACAAAACTGAGAGCCATGAATGATACTTGATCAATCGCAAAATGTGTGAACAATTAAGTAGTGATACAATACAATACCATACCACACCGCTACTTTACTTGCACTTCGTAGGTCGTGGATTGATCCTTGCCTAGGCGATCCTGGACCTAGCAGCAGTGGGTGTTTTCAGCTACTGGGCTGGATGGGATGGATAATAGACAAGGGATTAAATTAATTTGATGGATCTCGTCGAAAATCCAACACAGTCTGTGCTTCGACGATCCTTTTAGATCTCGTAAGGCATGGGCTGCCACTGCCACTGCCACTGCCGCTCTGGTCCAGTCCAGTCCAAGGAGGTGCGACAAGGCCAAGGCCCATTGTCGTGATCCAAGTAAGGTACCAAAGTACAGGTACGAAGTACAAAAATCTTGCTCACCTGACTGAACCGGACAATGGATGCACCGGCGATGGGAGACCGAGTTAAAGAGCTCTTGTCGACCGTGGATCTAGTCAAAACGAGGTCAAAACTTCCGAAAAACCATTCTTCATGTTCCTGACTTGAATGCCACCATCGTTTCCGCTCCTCGATCTTATTATAGTTCGCCTCGGACAGGGTCACGTAGGAAATGCGTAGGGGGCTGCGATACCCCACCTTTTGGTTGGGGAACTCCAATCTTACTCTTTCAAGGTAGTTTAAAGTGGTGAGCACCAAGTCGAGCCGTGCATTTTCTCAGTGGACGGGAGGACGCGAAGTACGAAGCAGGGAGCAAATGTAGTGTACTTCGTACCTTTGTACATCCATCTTGGCCTCAATCCTAGCTAGTTTATTTGGAGGAGTCGCCTTAACTACTACCGCAAGCCAACAATAAAATCTCCAACACAAGACTACGGCTCCTACCGCGTTCAAGTAGTGTACGCGCCAAGTTCCAACCTCCACTTCTCCACCCATCTCCTGGGGCTGCGTTTGGTGCCGTTCCTTCAGCCATCTGGTAAGGTGCACTACCACCTTGGATTCGCCTCAGCCTGCCTGCCAACCAATCTCTGCTGTTGACAGTTCCCAGGTGCAGGAAGGGGGTCTAATCATCGAATCCGGTTGCACAGCCGCCTACCACACTCTCATTTGCGCCTGCAGAGCCAACCCATGAACCCAGAGCCCGTCAAGTCCCATTTCTCTTCCACCCACCATCTCACCAGCCCTTCCAAGACGATCCCTTCCAGGACGAGCCCGCCGGATCCAGACGAACGTGAACTCGGCATGCAAAACCACACTTACCACCTCTAGTGCCCTCCATCCTCTCCACGAAACCCTTCGATTCAAGCACGCCTGTCAACTAACCATCGTCGAACCCACGTGGGCTGACCTCCGAACCAAATAAAAATAAAAATCGTGAATTGAAAGCCAACTCGTCTCGTTGCCACGGCAAAGCCCCAGGCCGCGACCACGACCCCGACCACGACCAGGCCTACACATGCGACGACATCCACCGACCAGAGCTGAAAATACCCTACCCCGCCGCCTATTCCACGGAGAGGAATACCGTCACCGTCCCCCGCCGCCCCAGTAGACCTTCTGCGATCCCGTCGATGCGACGAGGATGGCGGCTCTCGTGAGGGTCTCGGGGCCGCCCAACAGAAGCTTTCTAGTCGGCTACCCTGGAATATCAGCTACTTTGGTGAGTCGGAGTTCCCTTCTGGTTCTTCCTTGAGGCCCCTTGCCAGAGACTATGGTGTGGCCTTTGCCACCTTCACCGTCGACAACGACCTATATCCTACAGCCCCGTCCTGGGACTAAACAAACCGGGCCATTTTTGCTTCTTTTTCGAGCTCAGATGGGTGTCTGTGCTGACTCTTTACTCCCCTCAGCCGCGGATCGAAGGAAAGGTAGAAATCCGCCCCTCGCAGGGATACTCGGCTCCCGTTGCCATTTCCCTTGTACGAATATGTCTTCAACGTCGAGAAATGATCCACCCCGCTGCCGAAAACGTAGCCAAGCGTCACCTTGGATCCCCCAGACGAGAAACCGTCGATCTGGTTGGCAAGGAGATGCTACTCTATAGGTGTTCGACGGGCAAGGAGGCCGATATTGTCGTCGCTATGGACCTACCCTTCGTCTTATTCATACCTTATGGTCGAGGAGGAGAAGAGGCGAACCGAAAGATACCCCCCGCATCGCTGTCGCTCAGCAGCCGCACCGCCGAGACCTTTTACGAACTTGTCGTCACTGTACAACAAGGCCACACCCATCAACACAAATACGCATTCCCCATAACAATCCAACGATACGATACCCTCTCCACCTTTGGCATGTACAACAAACCCGAATACAAGACCGCTGTCTCAGACAACATCGTCACTCTAGGCATGTCGTTACCGAGGTGGAGCTATGGCCCTTCAGATCCCTTGACCGTCTACGTAAGGTTGGCGCCGAATCCGGATTGGATGAGCAAGGCGAAGAAGGTCACGGTGGACAAGCTCACAATCACTATCGAGGAGGAAATTACCTATAATCCCGAGGGAGATGAGCCCACGAAGAAGGTTTACAAGCTTATCAAACACACGCAACCCGTTAAGGCGAAATTGTCAGAAGCTGGGTATACGACTAACTTAGGACTGGTATTCCCGTCAAAGTCCATCCGCGATTCGGAAGGAATAATACGCCGCGAGAAGCCGGGTTTCCCTCTGTACGAAGTTAATTCTTTTACTACAACTTCAACCCTCTACAGAATCGAGTTCTTTGTGTGTATCAAGGTTGGTGACATCCTTTTTTTTTTTTTTTTTTTTTTGTGGCTTCCGCTCGTACGCCAACCCGAACTTCGTACTAACGCCAAGTCGACGTACAGGCTCACCTAGGCTCTGCTCGAGATATCACCGTCCGTCAACCTATTGTCATCTGCCCCATGGACCATCAGGAGTGCAAGGAGATTCTAGAGGCCATCGAGCAATCCGCCAAAGATGCTGCCCACGTCGACCCTAGCCGCCCACCGCCACGACCAACGATAGTGAAGGCGACCGATAAAAATGCCCTCGAGGCTCTAGGCCTTTGTATGGTCGGCGGCCAGAAGAAGCCCCTGATTGAGTAGTGAGCAAGGCGGTTGCTTTACGAGATGTTGCGACCGCAAGCTTACGTTAAGGCTCCCCCAACGCCGCACCTCTTGAAATCCCCGCGTCCCTGTATGACCGGATCAGTCAGGGCGATTCATGGCGGAGCTGCTGTAGCGGAACCGGGTCCGCCCGTCGGAGATGTATTATCACTCTGCTTGGGCCGAAGAATATGTCTGGGCGGACGTCATCGTGGCACACGGAATGTGAATACCGCGCTCTGTTCCAGAAATGAACGACTACGCCACCAGAAATAACGTGGCTATCTTATGTGAATGGTGGGTTCAGTGGGATACGACCCTCCCAGGCGGCATCCGCTTACAAGGTCCGCAGGCTTCTTCACGCGGCACGTCAAAGATGAGGTACAAGGACAAAGAAGGGCGGCGTAAACAAGGAAAAAGGAAACGGAAAATTGGGATCTGAGAAGGGCGTCCCATACGATGATGACTTCAGGCTGATGAATGTTTGGAACAAATCTCTTTCTGTGTGTAAGCATATGCAAGGCGTTTGAGGCGATCGTACTGAGGGTTCTGCAGGGTTGAGTTGATCACCTCAGGCAGGGAGTTTATCCAAGGTTCGGCATATTTGGGGGATTTTGTTTTGCTCTTTACATTGATTCGGAGATTCAAACTTGATTTCTCTCTGGTCTTTCTTTCCTTCTTGATTGTAGGTCGAGCTGATCTCTAAAACCTTGTCGTGAGATAAGACCCCTCAACACGAGCTCTTGCAGTTTCAAGGCTATCCTGGACAAGAGGAGGGAGTTTGAGCTTCACGAGTAGACCCATGTACATAGTAAATTAAGAGATTATCATCAGTGTTGAGCAGATGCTGTATTGTTCGAAGTGATCTGAAGGGCATTCTTTGACCCCCTCCATATACTGTTCCCATTCAAATAGAGAGAGATATTCAAAATAAGGCCATTGTGCTCACATCTTATTCTTTGTTCCTCGCTTGGACTTGACAGCTCGACTCTATGTTCTAGGCTCTCTTTCTTGAAGCTGTATTCATTCGATCCCTTCTCGTCCCCGACCGCCAATGTCGTTTGTTAAGGGACTGGAGCACGTCAATGAAACAAGACCGGTTGCCCTACCCCATGTTTCATCAAACAGGCGAAGAATGAACAAAGAAACCAAAACCTTGTCCCCAGGATCTTAACGTAGCGCTGAAGGCCTAGGAGGGCTATGCCTGGAAGGATAGTATAAAACTCGTTTGCTCCCCTGTGGTTCGTCGTCCACCTCTCCCCATCTCTCCCATATCACAGGCGCGAGCCTTCTATACTGCTATTCAATACCTTCGAGAGGAAACCCTCAAGTTGGGACTCATAAACTCATGAAACGCGAGAGTTCAGTATACCTATTGAACGTTTTGGCCTTTTCGGTACCTCTCTTCTCATCCTATCTATCTCGAGAAACTAAGCTCAGCTTTCCGAGCTCAAGCCCGAGTATACTCCATCCCCAATACAAACGCCGCTTCATTCCCCTCCAACCACAAACGGCCTAACCAAGCATTCCGAGGCCATGCCGCCAATACCCCTTCCCCCTTCCCCTAAACCCAAGGATAAACGGCACCGGTGCCGCCCAAAGGGCAGCCGTCCGGTCGCCGTCCTCCCCACCATCCCTGAAGGAGACGCCTCCTCTTCTCACCCACCACAAGAGGCCAAACAAGTCCGCTGGGCGGCTAACCTCTGCATCGTTAGGGAATACCCTCTCGACCTGGCCCCGGGCACGCTCCTGAAACGCGTGCCACCGCGGGACCAGACTGCGTACCGGATATACGTTGGGCGAGAGCGAGCGGCGGCGGAAAGAAGGATGGCTACTTATCCAGTTCTTCCTGTGCAGGAGGAGGACCGAGGTGAGTGGAATGAGCGGGTTCCTCAGGGAGCGAGACAAGGTACGTGGTCCGCGAGGACGTTTGAAGAGATTCTGCAGGGGAGTGAGCAAGGGCAGAGGGAGGTTGGTGGTTGGGAGGGGGAGAAGGACATGCTCAGGTATAGAGGGACAGAATTTACCGGGAATCCTTTCGGGGCTGTCCAGTCTATTGAGGGTGGGGCACGTCCTGAGCAACGGTGAGTTTTGCGACTACTGAGGACGAGCACTACAGTGGAGGGAGGCAGCACCGGGGCGGTGGTAGTGGTGGTGGTGGATGGGGGAGGAGATTGTTGAATAGGTTGGTGTTGCCCTTGTCCTGTTTTCCGTTTCAGAGGGGTGGAGACGCTGAGAAGAGAAGGCGGAGGGTATTGACCAAGAAGCCTCGAAGGTCGGGCGAGACGGACACGATGTCGGCGACACCCGGAGAAGGTCTGACTGGTACGTCTGCTCCTGTGCGTTCCTTCCGGGGCAGGGAGGATAATGCCCTGTACACGGCGCCTCGTGTATCTGACTATGAAGCTCCTCCAACTATCCTAACAGAAGCCACAGGGCTAGTTCCCTGCCCTTGCTGCCACGCCCGGCATCAGCCCCTCCGACGACCGTTACCTCTGCGAGAAGGAAAAACGGATCGATCAACGGGTGCGACGAGTTCCAGTTGGGGTACTAGCATGAATGCATCGCAGGCCGTCGATTCGGATCGAAGATATGCTCCGGAGTGGGTCCAGCGCGGAGCTGGCCCCGCATCCAACTCCACAATCCCGGGTTCGAGCTACGCCAGGCCGATCGCTCTCAGTGACTCCAACTCATCCGAGTCCGAGTCCGAGTACGAGTTCGTCGACCTTCCGCGCGTGTCCACAAAGAACAGTAGGGAACCCCCGCGGCAAGGAGACTTCGAGCCCGAACCCGAATATGGGTTCGTTACACTCTCCCGTGTGTCCACTAGGGATCCTCCCGTGCCACAAACACCAAGACTTCGACGCGGTGGACCGAATAAGCCCAACTTAAGGACAACGGTGCCACACACCGCCCGTCAGGCAAACCGTCCACCTCGACCATCGAGCTCGACCGCTCCCCTCCCTTCATACCGCGAAGCCTCTCCATCTCCACCTCCCCATCGGCCTCAACCCCCGCAACATCTTCAATCCCTACTCTCTAACCGACAACGACACCCACCTCGCAGCCCTCACCCATTCACGCAACCTCCTAAACCAACAACCACGCTCCGACGATCCCCAACACCTCTCCCCCGCCGCTGCACACACCACAAACTACAACCCTCCACCCCCAACCACCACCCATCACCACGCTCCTTCAGGTGTCCCTCCTTGCCCCTCTCATCATCCGATACCTCGAGTTCTCAATCATCCCCGAACCCACAACTTCGGCGCGGTAGTGGCTCCTTGCGCAGGACCTTCGCTGGCCGCGTGGGGAAACTCATCGCCCGGAACACCGTCCCCGTCGCTTGCCTCGCTGTCGTCGGCGCTTTGGCGTATCAGGCTGTTTGGCAGGGTCAGGGCGTTGCTGGGAGTACGTATCGTTTGAGGACGGAGGAGAGGTTGTGGAGTGTTGGGTGTTGAGATGTCGTGATTGGAAGTTCTTTGTCTCTCCCTCTTGGCATTTTGCCTAGATTTTGATTTCATGTGATGTTTGCGAATACCGAGGTAGATTTGCCGTGGAACAGGTCGAATTGGGATAGAAATTCTAGAAACAGAGTTAGTAGATGGTTGCTTTTTGCTTTCCTTCTTTTGTGTAATAGATTGCAGAGCATCATAGATCAATGCGAAGAGAAAAAGTGTCCCTCCACTTCCAGCGCAGCGCGGAAGGTTTGGGCGGATGGACACAATGAAATTCCTTCTAATTGATAAGCACCGTTTATTTACACAGCCGCCTTATGATGCCTAGCCTCCCTCGAAAGCGAAGAAAAGTTTGATACAATTATCGATCCCCGTCTATGTAGTTCCGAAACCCCCTTTTTAAATACCCAGAGTGAACTCGACACCAACATCAATATCGCGGGCTAAAAGAGAAAAAAAGAAGAAGCAAGTCAGCAAACGTCAAAAAACAAAAATAGAGAGAGCAGTCATGTGACTGGTGACTGAAATGTAATAGACCTACCCATCTTGACGACCTTGGAGAGTTGTACCGACTTCTCAGCGGCATCCTGGAGGTCATCGATGGAGAAGATCTTCAGACCGGAATCGCTGATGAGGCGGTGGGCCTCGGCCATGTTGGTACCCTGGAGACGGGCAATGATGGGAACCTTGAGGTTAAGAGTCTGAACCGTGTTGATGAGACCGTGGGCAATGAGATCGCAGCGGACGATACCGCCGAAGATGTTGACGAAGATGGCGGTGACCTTGGGGTCGCTGGTGATGAGCTCGAAGGCCTCCTTAATGGCCTGGGGGGTAGCACCACCACCGACGTCAAGGAAGTTGGCGGGCTGGCCGCCGTTGAGCTTGATGATATCCATGGTAGCCATGGCAAGACCGGCACCATTGACGAGGCAGCCGATATCGCCGTCGAGCTTGATGAAGTTGAGGTTGGACTCGGCGGCCCTCACCTCATCGGGATCCTCCTGGGTGGTATCGCGCCACGAGAAGATCTCCTTCTGGCGGAAGTCGGCGTTGTCGTCGAAACCAAACTTAGCGTCCATGCAGAGAACCTTGTGGTCGGTAGTCTCGGAGAGGGGGTTGATCTCGATCTGGGTAGCATCCTTCTCAAGGAAGATCTTGTAGAGTTTCTGGACGGTGTCCTTGGCATCCTCGATGCACTGGTAGCTGAAGCCGAGGCTGTTGGCAACATCGTAGGCGATCGCGTCCGTGACACCCTCGTTGATGTCGATGTAGGTAGTCTTGATAGCCTCGGGGTGCTCCTTGGCGACGCCCTCGATATCGACACCACCCTGGGAAGAGGACACGATGACGGGGCACTGGCGGGCACGGTCCATGAGGATGGCAAGGTAGAACTCGCGGCGAGCAAACTTGCGCTCGCAGATGTACACAGCACTGCAAAGACGGCCGCCAGCGCCCGTTTGCTTCGTTATCAGCTTGTGGCCGATCATCTGCTCGGCGAACATCTCCGCCTCGTGAGGAGAGTAGATGACGCGAACGCCTCCCTTAAGACCGTTATCGAAAGTACCCTTTCCTCGACCACCGGCAAGAACCTGGGCTTTTATCACCATATCATCGGTGCCGATCTGCTGGGCAACTTCCTTGGCCTCGTTCGCGGTGTGAGCGACGGCGCCCTTGGGAACTTGGACGCCATACTGGATGGCAGTTAGCTATTCGTTCACACAGTCCTGCGAATAGAGATCATGTTTGTAATCTCCGGCCGAGGGTGTTCCGGGCATAAGATATCGGGACGGAATGTTCGGCAACAACAGTTGCATGTGAGTATTACCTCGCGCAGGAGCTCGGCAGAGCGATACTCGTGAATGCTGAGATTCCTCGATTGTTGAGCAACACCGGGGACTCTACGGAAAGCGGGATTGGAAGCGAAGAGCTGCGATGCAAAAATGAGACGGTTAGCTTATGTTGGGGAGACTTGGGGAAGCTGTTCGGTGCTGCAGATATGCACCGAGATAGGGGGCCCAGCAGCTTATCGCGTACCTTGGAAGATCTAGTGGCCGAGGCCAAGACCCGGCTGCCACCGAGTTTGAACATAATGAAGAAAAATATTAAGGAAAGTAGAGGATATGTGTAGAAGAGCGGAGATGTGTCGAAATTAGGGGTGAAGAAAAGTGGATGTGAGGTTGGGGAGTTGGGAAACTTGGGAAGGGAAGCTCTGAAGGGATGAAGATACACGAAGACTTTTGGCACCGCGGAGACACTCCGATGACAATTAGTCCGAAGCACAAGCACACATTGCAATTCTTGTTGGATTAGCAACAAATGTAACAAATCGACGTCAGCCGGGAGAAAAAAGGCAAATGCTCGGAATTGGACGGTTTTGCATGCGGGAAGGAGCCAATGAAGTCGGTCTTTGACGGCACTACAGTACAGTGTTTTACACAGTGTCCCGGCGAAGGGCCGAGTGCACCAATCAAATTGCACGTGTTGCCCTACTTTGCCAAGCACCGCATGCTGCAGAGCCGGTACCTCTACCGAGCTCTCCTTCCATTTTCCTATCACGGCAGCTCCAAACCTCCCGAAGATGTGGGATTTCTCACTAGCGCTCTCCGATGAGAAGCGCAGGTTGACCACTGCCCTTTGGCATCGGCATTTCGAGCTCTCAGGGACGGTTCAACATTACTGATTTTAAGACCCCCCCTCGTCCCCAGAAACACAAGGTGTTATCTCATCTTCCTTTACTCCCTCGCTTCTTTGGGATAATTTCGTCCTGATTCGTCCCTTTTTTATTCTATTTTATTTATTCCATCGGCTCCGGGATCAAGATTCACACCCGACATATTGAGCGACCAGTACCTGTCCATGCTTCGGATGTCCCGAAAATGACGATGAACTCAATTCTCAACGCCACAAGTCCCTCAACAGACGCGAAATTCGCAATATTAGAAACCGACGACTTGGAATACCATATTCCTAGTGTAGTAGCCTGCCACTGCCCATACCTGCCTAAAGTGCGACACGGGTAGTATAATCCCCAGATGGAATATGCCCAAAGGGTACAGATTACTGTGTTTCATGATGGACCTCGGTCTCGCAACTCAGTCACTCACCGTCGCCGATGGCTTCGAGGCAACGCAGGAGATTCACACCGAGTCAAAGTAGGAAGAATAGGAAGGCGTAGAAGCTTCCGAAGCATGTGACGATGCCCTGACCTCTTTAACAACCCTTGCGACAAGCCTTATCGCACATTGAGCAGCGGGGAGTGTAGCCCGACACTCTGCCTACGTTACTCGCCGGGTTTATTGCGGGCTTGCCGTGCTGATGAACCTGACAGGCCGATGATCCCAAAGTTTTAGCTTATCGGATTCAATTTTAGTCGCCGCCATCAACCTACACATACACTTACATCTTGGTTCCATTCCATCGATAACAAAGTACTGGTCTGCCTGAGTACGACATCTACCGAGGTATACTCATCTCAGACCAGCCTTTGAGGCATCGACATCGGGAAACCCCAGATGTCGCGGAGGACCTATATATATATATATATTAACCATATCCCGATACCACACGTGGTTGCAGAGTCCTTAGATTCTCGAATCCGGATTATCCTGCGTCGATTGTTTGGGGGTCCCAGCCCCTGGGATTGTTGCAGAAGGAATGATTTAAGGATACGACGCTGCTCCTTGGGTGGCACCCGTCCCCGCCCCGCCCGGAGCCGGAGCTGAGTCGGCTAGCGCTGGCATTGGGGCACTTTGGCACTCTTCAGTTGTTCATCAAAGCAACGCATGCGAAGTACACCCCCACACCTGAATATGCACATATAGTCACTCGTATCGAGACAATCCCTAACCCGAGCGAGATATTTTTATATTGAAGTATCTCGTTAAATAGGAGTAATACATTGTTAGGATGTTTTTGTTTCACACCCAAATATCCAAGCGATCCTTCTGCAGCAGTGCCACTCAATTGGCCAGTTTGATGGGCTTCTTGTCGCCCTCAAGCGGTCCGACATTGAATCATTGATCAATTTTTTTTTTTTTTTTTTTTTTTTTTTTTTTTTGTATCAAGAGCCTTATTTACAAATATTCCCGCGAATCATTCCAGGGGCTGCCGCCTAAGAGATGTTACTACATGCACTGGCACCCCTAACCTTGATCCCACTTGACAGAAACTGATGCTGGAAACTGCTGCCCCCCTTCTGGTTACAGAAATGGATAGAGAATGGCTGTATGGACGATGTCAATGATCATGAAAAAATAGTCTAGGACTTCTCCCGTTTCTAGTTCCTCTTTCCAATCCGTTGATTATTGGTCCAACTTTCCATTTCCGATTGATTTCTCAAATTCTTGCCAGGTAGTTCGGGTTTCAGTAGAGCCAGGGTTCAGAGTAATCCATTTCAGACAGCGCGTCGCCGTAGTCACCATGGCTGATGACGAACTCAACCGGCTGAGACAGCTTCTTGCTGCGCAGCAGCAGCGTATTGAAACGCAACAGCAGTAGATTGAAACGCAGCGGCAGCATATTGAAGCAACCGAACAACAACTTGAAGCAGCTGCAAAACAACTTGCGCCTACCGACTTCACATCTTTCCTCTCCCTTTGCCACCATCGACTCTGTTCGACACTCGCCATCGAGGAAGATCCAAGCTTGACCGCCACTGGAAAATACACCAAGGTCGATAACAAAATTTATCCCCTCTATCTGAAGCCGTGGACAAACTTTTCTTCTGCTCCATCAGGCGAACAAAGCTGCCGAGACCCTTGAAGTCGCAGCGAAGGAGACGCAAGGATGACGAGGACGGTGATTTTAACGCGCCACGAGGGACAAGAACCGTGCCTGTTCCCCCAAAAGCCCACACCCCACGATCAAAGTCGCGCGGGAGTGGCTCTGGTAACCAAGGCAGTGAGGACTCATCGGGCTCCCGACGAGCACCATACTGCTCGCAGGAATGTCTCCTGGGTCTATCTGACAGTGGCCCTCTCGACCCACATTGTCCTAATTTCGCAGCCCACCTTGACTACAGTATGTCCTCAAATGGCAATGGCGATTGTGATGATACGAACAGCCTGGTTATCCGCCACGACCTGTCTGTAACACAACTCTGCGATGTTCTACGGGAACAACTGGCGGAGGGCCGAGACCACGATTGTGAGGCGTTGGACAAGTTTGGTAAGTTCGGTGCCATCGGCATCCTCTCCGGACTAACGCTACGCGGTTATGGCTACTGCTTTGTTGCCAAGGGCGTGCAGCGATGGCACGTCTCTCGACTAGAGCACGAACTAGGCGTCTACGAGCACGTACGCGCGCAGCAGGGCGTGCTTGTACCGGCGTGCTTGGGCATGATGGAACTAGTGCATGAATACTGGTCATCCACGGGAACGCGCATTTCGCATATGCTGCTGTTGTCGTTTTGCGGCGAGCCGGCCTTTCATCCCCGCACCCGCGTGTCAGCCGACGTGGAGATACAGGTGCGGAACGTTTGGTCACAGCTCGAACAGCTGGGCATCAATCATGGAGATGAGCGGGAGTCTAATGCAGTTTGGAAGGCGGAACTTGGCCGGGTTATGTGTATTGATTTTGACTGGGCGCGGGTCGACCAGAAGCATGAAATGGAGTCGGGCGGAAGCGCCGATTTGAAGTCGCCGAAACGGCAGAGGATTCTTGAGAGTCACTGAATTTGGAACGGAACATGTGGTGTTTTTTCGTCCATGTGCTAACAGTATCTGTTCCTCCGCACCTTTGGATGGTGGAGGGAGAGTCCGAGTATCAGCTGAGCATGCTACGCCGTCGTCTTCTGAACTGAAACAAGTCTAGAGACCAGGATATGAGCGATGGGGAAAGGCCAAACCCTTGTAATATACCAAGCCTTTGAAAGATATTAATTAATACGCAAAGCCTTCCCTATTGTTGAGGCGCTCTCGGGAATCAGTTCCATGATGTTGGAACAACCAGGTTAATGCAAACAGGGAAAAAACGGGGCTCCAACAAAGCTGAGACTCGCTGTCCGAAATCCCCAGAATGCAACCGAAAACCAGACCTTTCACGACATCGGACCTCAGTTCCGTGTCGCACTATTGATGTGACACCGTTTTGCCATTGTTTTGCATTTTTAACATGGAACTGTTTGGAAGGGTCAAATGGTTAGGTTTGGCATTTCCAATGGGACATTGGGTTCGAACCCATTCCAGCATAAAAGTGACGGGTTTTCCCAATCATTTCAGTTAGAAAGCCAAGCGAGCTAGAACCTCAATGGAAGCATAGCTCCTTCCCTCGAAATTTAAAGGTTATGAGCCCAGATCAGCCTTGAGCTCCCCAGTTCTCGAGACATTTGTTGTTGATCAGTTGCCTTAAAACACCTTATTTTGTTACTGCTCCATGCGGCAAATTAAGTACCACTGAAGCACACACTCGCAATTTGTCCGCAGCCAACAAAACGCTCACATACGCTCATACCGACCAGAAACAACCGCGAAATCCACTGTTTCTGACGCCGAAAATCCTCGACTGTGTACCACGGGCCACGAATCCGGCGAACGTCAATAGCCAGCTGAGCACAACAATACAGGAAAACGGCAGAGTCCGAACTTGTTGATATCGCGGCTAGTATTATACCTTCGGCCTGAAATGACTAGAATGAGGAATGGATATTTTGAGGAATGGATTTTAAAAGAGAAGGGAATACTGAAGGGAAACGAGGAGAAAAGGAATAGAAGAAGTAAGGGAAAGAGGAATGGACGCAAGAAAAGGGAACTCGAGGTGTTCGGCCGGCTCATATGCGAAGGCCAAGCTCATACACGAAAGCAACGTCCTGAAGCCCATCCCATTCCAAGAAGGCATTTTGGCCTGCTTACACGCGAAGGCAACGTTCCAGAAACATCCCAAGGGCATTAAACACCCCTATTCCAAGGGGGAAAAAAAGAGGAATGGAAGCAGGAAGGGGAACCGAAGGCGTTTTGGCCGGGCTCGTGAGAGGCCAGCTGATCCACGGAAGCAACGTCCTGAATCCCACCCATTCTCACCCTCGTTATGGCCAACTGAGGCCCCCCGGTTCGAAGAAAACGTTTGGCGACCTTATATGCGTTTGAAGCCAACATTCCGAACAAGTTCCCTCCCGGCTAGCTCCTAAGGAGCCAGAAAATATCGAAAAGGACGTTGTTCCCGGCTTCCAGCAGCGGAATAACGCAAGCCCCCATCTCGTGTATTAGAATTTAGCCACTGCACAAACAACATAGTGAGCGACATTGATGCCACTGTTGGCAGTTTTGAGCAGTAATTAGAGCCAAAATAAATTCTAAACGTGAGGTTGATCTTGATGATGAGTGAACCCAAAAACGGCGGGATCCGTGTAGCTGCAGTATCGCAACTGTGACTAATCAATGGAAGGTTCGATGGATTCTCGTTCAAATTGTAATCTCATCCCTCAATTATTGATGTCATGTTCTGCAAGTCATAGACTCGACAAAATAATTATCCAATTCTCCCTCTCCAGCGCTGTCATATAACATCCCCGGCATCCGTCTAAAAAGAACCTCCTAAAGCTTGCCCCTGCGAAAGAGGTACCCGTTGCTTCCGCCATGGCTTCAGCTTCGAGCTCAAATACGCCGGAGAACTCGCAAGCTAGGCTTGCCCGATCTCTGATCGAGTCCGGAATGGTAGCTTTTAACACAGAGTCAACCGAGCCAGCGGAAGTCATACGGGATGCCCGTGATAAGTTCGAGGCCACTTTGCAAAGGTAAGCTTGAAGCGAGGTGAATATGTGACAACGGAACAGTCTAGACCTCAACTGGATCTGACGTGCTTCAGTGCCGGCTCCTGGAGTCTTGTCCAAGTGCTCAATGGACTGGTAAAACCCGGTGTCGTCGCCGAGTGGCTGAGGACGGAGTTTCTATCCGCCCTTATTCGGGTTCCGATGAGGCCCCAGGGCGTGCGCGCTACGATGGAATTCATCTTTTCCGTGCATCCAAGCAGCACTGCCGTGACTAGCGAAGAAGAGGCTACTCCGCAAAAGAAGGGTGCCAACATCACACCGGAAGCTCTGGCGATGGCTGCGAAGCTCCTTTCTTCTACCCCTCCCGGAATTACCGACCAGGTTTGGATTGACGCGATCGCGCCTCAGCTCTTTCACCTCCTCGATGGTAATGACGGGCCTGAATTGGCGAGGGTTGCGGCACATGTGGTTGCATTTGGGATCCTGGGAAGGAAACGACTGGGAGCCCCCGGTAAGTTGCCGAAACAGAGCCATCGTCGCGTTGTTCAGGTGATCTTTCTTCTGACGTTTGAGCAGGCGCACCGGGCTGGAACTCGTTTGTAAAACCAGTACTGGAGAACATCAAACCCTCTCTAAATCCAGAGTGGAGGGCGCAGTCAGAAAACCAGAAGGATGATGTAATCGACCTCAGCACAGACAAGGTCATTGTTTCGGCTGACGATTTACATCTTGCCCTTAACCGGTTGTCTCTACTCCTTCAGGCCAGTCCATCGCCGGGTCTCTGTAGGCGCCTCGTGGACCCCATCCTTCTTCCCCTTTGGTCCATCTCATCATGGACCGACTCCTCGCCAAGAACTAAGGAGAGATATTCCAACGTAGCGATGCCTCTGTTGAAAATGTACCTCAAGGTGGCCTCCTCTTCTTCCGATAAGACAGATATCCTGCTGGAGAAGCTAATGTCCGTCGGTGACGTTAAGAACGGCTATGTCGCCTGGAAATACCGGAAAATCCCAAGTGGTGATCTAGAAATAGTGGTTCCCCGGACCCTTGAGCAGCCTCTTCAGCTACAGGACCTCGATCCAGAAGCAATAGAGCAGAAAGCTTCGACCCTGGCTACTACTCTTGTGGAGAGCTGCACAGAGACCGAAATATCCACAGTATTCATGCACTTACTAAAGGGGTGGCTATCCTCGAGGACACCCGCGCTGTCGACTACGGTGAAGGTGAAGATGGAAGAGGAGGAGCCGGCGTCCCCTCTCCAGGGTCTGCTCAAACTGGCGGTTTTACGCCACCTCTTGGAAAAAGCTGAGGAGAAAGTAATTAGAAAACCCGACCAACTGCTGGAGCTTGTCTGCAATGTCCTGGAGGCAAATAGTCGGGAAGCCCAAGAGAATGAGGTCATCTCGGTGGCGCTCAGTCTTTTGAACCAAATTATTTCAGCGCCGCAATTCCAAAAGTCGCAACTCAAGTCAGACACCCTTAACCTCATCGAGCAATCTCTGCAAGAGCTTTCCAATCACAAGTCGGAGGAAATAGCGCAAACAGCAATGAACCTGTCGTTGTTGCTCAAGTACCGCGACGAGCTTGAGGAGCCGTCGGATGCGGTACCCCCAACAGAGAGGCAGATAGAAGACCGAAACACTTACAAACTAGCTATGTCGTACATTAGGGACCCCGAGTCACCACCTCCCGTGAAATCGGAAGGCCTCAATTTGATTTCCGGCTTGATCAAATCCAATAGCCCCGCGCTGGATATTCCCGCAGTTCTAGTCCTCCTATCGAGGCTCCTATCAGACGGCGAGGACTTTATCAATCTGCGCATCATCAAGATGTTTGTTCAGTTGGCAGAAAAACACCCGCGAACGGTCCTCCAGGAGATCCTCGACCACTACTTGGATGCAAAGGAGCTATCTTCGACGGATACACGGCTTCGCTTTGGAGAGGCCCTGGTCCAAGTCGTTGAGAGACTCGGCTTGATGTTTGCGGGAGAGATCGCGACACAGGTGTGCGAAACCCTGTTGTCTATTGTTAGTCGCCGCGGACGTCGACCCAAAACGGCTATAAAACAGGAGCGGGCGGCCCGCCTCCAAGAACGGAAGAACAAGGAGGCAGAAGAGGCATGGGGAGGCGAGGTGCTCGACATGAGCGAGGATGTGCCTGAAGAGGAGCGGATAAATAACGAGATTCTCTCGCGCATCGTTGAAGGATGGGAGAGTAAGCGCGGAAGCGAGGATGTTCGCATGCGTGCCTCTGCGCTATCCATTCTGTCGACCGCCGTCGAGACCAACATCTCTGGCGTCGGGCCCTCGCTGATATCGGCTACCGTTGACCTCTGTCTTCATGTCCTGGCTTTTGAACCTGAGATGGAGAAGGGCATCCTGAGACGAGCTGCCATCATATTTATTATGGGATTTGCACGCGCTTTGAATGATGCTAGAGAGCAAGGTCGAAGCCTTGGGTTTGGCCTTACGGAAGAGAGCCGGGAGGATATCCTGAGGACACTCAGGTACATTGAAGTTACGGATAACGATGGGCTCGTACAGCAACACGCCAAGGATGTGATAGAAAGTTTGGAGAACCTACGCTTGGCTACGCTCTTACACCAACATACGAGGCGGGTACCGGATATCGAGAGAGTGGTTGGTCTTCCGCCGAGACTTGACGTCCATAGTGGTGGTGGGTCGAGGCCGAAGATCGAGGAAATCGAGTAAAAGACGCCTGTTCCTTGGAAGATAGGGATTTTACAACTAAATAAAGAAAAGTATAGAACCATTCTGCTGGGTAGTCTCAACAGTGCCAAACCAAACAATTGGCTGCACTCTCCGTTGTGAGGCTGTTGTCTGAGGGGTGTCCATCACGTGAAATCGTGACGCGTGCACGCGAAATTAAACTAAGCCCATCACGATAAAGCACACCCAAACTTCACACCCATATTCACACCAATCCAATCTCAGCATCATCGCTTCAGCCCCATCTCTTGTTCATTATTCGGGTCCTTTACTTGGCCATATGATGATATCGAAACGGTGACAAAAGGTCGGATAATAAAGATGCGTGGGGGGCGAATTATTGCCGACTCCGACGAGGAGGACGGTCTCAGTCCAGTTCCGAGCCCCCGAAAGCCCACCGCGGAATGGTCGTCAGATAAGCCGAGTGACCTCACCACTTCAACAGACCCTGTGTTTTTCCAGTCGGTGTACCTTGCACAGCAGCAAGCCGCGGTAGCGGATGCCTTTCAAGTAAATCCAGCCGGCTCAGAAGGCCAGTTCGAGCACCCGGGGCTCCTGGACGGGAGCTACAGAGAGACTCAAGATACGCTGCCACCGGTTCTCAATCCGGAGAATGACGCCACAGGTGTCTCTGGGTTGGATTACAGGGGCGGAGGGACACCGGATAGGGGCCTCGCGGATGCGCACGACCCGTGGGCTATGCCCAGCAGCCCTGCTATAGAACCACCCATATCACTGAGGAAGCGGAAACTTACCGAAGCGCGGGCTGCGAAAACAAGCAATGACGACGATTTTAGGGCTCCGGGAGGCGTGTCGCAGTCCCCGGTCGTGATAGATCTTGTATCGCCCGATCGACGGAATGGGAGATCACCGCGGACCAAGAGGCCGAGAAGAAGCTACGGTGACGAGGTTCGCTCTGATAACGATGGTGAGGATGATCTAGCGCTTCCGACCGAGAACGACGCCAACCGAAGTGGCAGCAAACAACTCTACGTCGAGCCTTCGAGGATGACGGAAAGCCAAAAGCAGCAATACGAGGAAGTGAATCTCTACGGCCTAAGCCCGCTAGACGAGCCCATATCTCTGAGCCGAAACAATCATCTAGGCCGGTCAAGCGGCTCGGCAACTATTGCCTACCCTACCCCTACGCAATACCGGTCGAATGGCGGTGGGTCGATGCTCCCACTGACGGCGGAGCCACCCTCGAGCGCATTGGATCCCGGACGTGCAAAGAAGAGAAGGCGCTTGAGTAGCCTCCTGCCTACAGCTGAGCCGGAGTCATCCCCAGATGTAATTGCCGCCGCGGAACCCCCGAGGAACACCAGCCCGGAACGCCATTTGGATGGCGGACATCGTGAAGAGTACGTGGAGCCGGAGGACAGTTATGATGAGGACTGGAATGAGAAGGACTTCGGCATTCCTCGTCAGCGCGAGGAGCGGCCGGCGCGCCAGAAGCGCAATCAGGGCATGAGCAGGAAAGAGCCCCCGGCGGAGGAGGCTACAGCATTGCTGGATGAGTTAGGCGGCGCAGAGGCGAGTGAAACAGTGCGAAAGCCCGCTGAACCGAAGAAGAGGGGTCCTAAGAAGAAGAGCAAGGAAATCGCCTCGAGCCCTAAAAAGCTGGATGCAGCTCCTGTGGCTAGAGACCAACCAGTGGAGAGTGCGCCGCCGCCGAAGAGGAAGAGAGGACGTCCAAAGAAGTCGGAATCGGATAAGTCAGCCGTTGGAAGCAAGGACGATTCAGCAGGGCAAGCACCGCACTCGCCAGGGCCCGAGAAAGGAAAAGAGTCGGTGCTTGTTGCAGAGGACGGGCCGAAACGAGCGCGATCAACAGATGCGGAGGCAAACGCTACCAGGGATGGCGACAAAGAAAATGTGAAACTGGAGGACAACAAAAAAGCCCTGGCCGAGACCAGTGAAGATGTAGTCCCAAAGACTATTACTGCACAATCGAAGGTCGCGGCTGCGGATCTCGGCACGAAACAGGAGACTACAAAACCGCGGGGCCAGCAAGGTGGCGTCGGAAAGGACAAGGATGGGTCGAAGTCTACAGCGAATGCAGGACTAAATACACAGGCAGCGAAGCCGGTTTACCGGGTCGGACTCAGCAAGAGGACTAGGATCGCGCCGCTTCTCAAGTGTATCCGGAAGTCTTGAAGGGGGGGTTCCGTGGCCTGGCCTGTGGAAAGGAGGGGACCGGCCCCCTCTGTTCTGTCTGTTCTTTTTTTAGCACTCGTCTGCTCGACACCACACTGCAGATGACGGTGAGGGAGCGGCAATTTTAGGTTATTGGAAGTTTGCCAAGTAGGATCAGCATAAGGTGGTGGCAGGGAGAAGATGCAACAGATGGCCCATCACGTCGCCGAGAATGGCGTCAACGGTGGGCAAACACTTCGATATGAATAATGAATGGTACATATGGTATGGAAAACGGAGGATATGCATTATAACATAGGGAATTGAAGAAATGAGAGATTAAGAATCCCCAGCAGATGCCGCCAAAAAGGTGGTATGAGGAAAGCAGCAAAAGTGCGTAAGGTTTGATGCGGATGCAGATGCGAAATGGCTTTGACCGACTTGGGACGGATGATATCACGCAGCAGGCGACAGGTCGTTCTTGGCTTGCATTCGATTTGTTCCTTGTCGCCAATCATAGGGGGATTTTGGAGAGGGAGCTGCCGGTGCAGGGGTTTGGTGCAGGTGAGGGCACGTACAGACAGACACACACACATGGGTGGTTGAGGGACTGAGTCGACCGGTCTTGGTACCCCATCCACCAACGTCAATAGATCTGTGCATGTGGATGAAACACCTTGTTTCCTGATCAGAGCCTGCGTTTCTGGGACAATGATGATGTTCAGAGTGGTTGATGGGGACCCTTGATGTCCCTTGGGGACTTCTTCCGGACAGGTCTTGATTTGGCAGTATCAGAGCCATTGATATTCACCGATGCCATTACCTTTGTATCCCTGATTCTATCGGGGTTATCATTGGTTACGTGCCATGGGGTCCCCAGTTCCGGGTTATTTCCGGGATGGGGACGAAGTGGGAAGGGAGCTTCAGATAGTTTCCCCTCCTTCGGACTCTCCTTGTTGAATTCTCTAACGGTTGCCACTAGTAAACTACAAGCGGCCTCCCCGCCAGTGCTTGCGTGCTCTGACGCAGTTGATCGTTCTCGTCGGGGCCAGTACTTGGGGCATGGTGTTGTCAATGAGACGGTTACGATTATCCCGTGAGTCAATCGAATCGAGTCCAATTGTCTCTCGTTCCTGGCCTGGACCCTAAGTTGAGCAGCCCATCGAATAGACCTGTGCCACCGATCCTCGTGCTGGTTGCAGAGTGAGTTGCAAACGATGACACGATGTACTTCAAATGTACTTCGTACTCTGAGTACATTGTAGCCTAAACTATTTCGTACCTGCTGTACCTGTTTAGTCAACTTCATGTGCACTAGTACTTTCTGTTCGAGGTACTTGCGGTGATAGATTACTTGGGCTGCCCCTCGTCCCAAGTCTCTTTCAATTCTTTCCGCCTCTTGGGTTAGTGCGGGGCAAATTTTCGTCGCAAAATGGATCAATCGCCGCTGCGATTGACTCAATCAACTCGGCTGACTGGACCGAATTTCGGCGCCCACGACTGGACGTTCTGACCGTGCTTTCTTTCACCTCGATGTTCCTCTTGTTCTTCGAGTCATCCTCCTGCGCGAAGTACCTGCTCCGAAGCCGCCCTTATATTTTCCTTCACTATTTCGTACCTGTCATCCGCCCATCTTGGGTTTGAGTCTCCGACTTAACTAGGAGGACCCTTGCTTCTCCGATTGTCCCCCTCCCCCGCCACTTTACCGACTGTCTTGTCGATATTCTTGCCCCTCCACACCCTCCTCCATCAACCTTCCGCCCAAGTCTTCCATCGATCCTATCAGCTCACTCCCTGCAGTCTTGTGCACCCCCACTTGTACACCTACTTTTTTTTCTTCTCTTTTTTAAATAAGAAAGGGTCCTTTATCTTGTTCGCAACATCAAGCAAGCGTTTCGATTACTCTCAACCTCCAAATCAATTCATCCGACATGGCTGCAAACGGACTTCCTGCTCGGGCGTCGGCCGGCACACATACCCTGTCCCAGCGCTATCTCAGCACTCGCGGCGAGGACAATGACGTAGGGAACACCAAATCACTGGACCCTGTATCCAGGGCCGACAAAAGTTCATCGGACATGCCGCTCTAACACGTCTTCTCTCTCCAGTTCTCCTTCGAAGACGTCGTGCTCAAGGGTCTCGCCTCCGATGGCGGCCTCTACATCCCCGAAGAAGTCCCCAAGGCCACCGACTGGCAACAGTGGAAGGATCTCTCCTTCAACGACCTTGCCTACGAGGTCATGTCCCTCTACATCTCCCCGTCCGAGATCCCTCCCGCAGACCTAAAGGATATCATCGCGAGGAGCTACTCGACCTTCCGCTCTGCCGAAACTACCCCATTGGTTCATCTCAAGGATAACCTCTGGCTCCTCGAGCTGTTCCACGGTCCTACCTTTGCCTTTAAGGACGTTGCGCTGCAGTTCCTCGGAAATCTGTTTGAGTACTTCCTCATCAGGAAGAATGAGGGCAAGACTGGAACGGGTATGTCATATAACACATAACACACAGAGGATGTGTCTTGACAGCATTGGGTTGTCATCCACGCTTCCCACCAGATTCCACCCTTCGGCACCACCAGCCATCAGGACGGGATTTGTTGGCAGCTTCCCTTTTCTCGCGCATACAACTACAGCCCTCCCTCCGCCCTTCGAGACCCCAATTGGGATCTATACAGGAGATCCATCGATTATACTGACCAGTTCTACAGATAGGCATCACTTGACCGTTGTCGGTGCCACCAGCGGAGACACCGGATCTGCTGCCATCTACGGTCTCCGAGGCAAGAAGGATGTATCCGTCTTTATCCTACACCCCAAGGGTCGTGTGAGCCCTATCCAAGAAGCGCAAATGACTACGGTGCTCGACTCTAACGTCCACAACCTCGCGGTCACCGGAACCTTTGACGATTGTCAAGTATGACCTCTCTCTCTCTCTCTCCTTTTGTTTTTGTTCTTATCGACTACCATGGAGCACGGATCGCAGCGCTAACGAGTAGTGGCGAAATAGGACATCGTCAAGGTTCTCTTTGCCGACCCCGAAATCAACAAGACCCACAACCTCGGCGCGGTCAACTCCATCAACTGGGCCCGAATCCTTGCCCAGATTGTATACTACTTCTACTCCTACTTCTCCCTCGCCAAGTCGAACCCCTCTTTCTCCGTCGGCGACAAGGTCCGCTTCGTTGTCCCCACTGGCAACTTTGGTGATGTTCTAGCTGGCTACTTTGCCTACCGCATGGGTCTCCCCGTCGACAAGTTCGTCGTCGCGACAAACGAGAACGATATCCTCGACCGGTTCTTCAAGACTGGTCGCTACGAGAAGAAGCCTATGATCACCGCGGCACCGGCAGCTACCGGCGGCGAAGACGCCGGCGTCAAGGAGACCCTGAGCCCGGCCATGGACATCCTCGTATCGAGCAACTTTGAGCGTCTGCTGTGGTTCCTCGCATACGAATTCGCCGAGACCGCCGGCATGGACGACGAATGGAACAAGAAGCAGGCGGGCCAGGAAGTCACGCAATGGCTCAAGGATCTCAAGACGAAGGGCGGCTTCGGACCCGTATATCAGGACGTCATCTCGAGCGCCCGGCGGTCCTTCGAGAGCGAGCGCGTCAGCGACGCCCAGACCGTCGACACCATCAAGGGATTCTACAACAACCTCCAGTACGTTCTTGACCCCCATTCGGCTGTCGGCGTCACGGCGTCCGAGCGCTCGATAGCGCGCTCCGATAGCAAGCTCCCGCACATCTCGCTGTCTACGGCGCACCCTGCCAAGTTCGCCGGCGCTGTCGAGTTGGCCCTCAAGGAGGAGCCGAGCTTCAATTTTACGGAAAAGGTCCTCCCTGCGGAGTTTGTTGGGCTCGATAAGCGCGAGAAGAGGCTTACTGAGGTGGAGAATGATTGGCAGAAGGTGCGGGATATTGTGCGGAACCTGGTCGACGAGGAGCTTAAGGCGTAAGATGGTAAGATGGTATGGACTGGGGAGAGGTAGAGGGGGTTGGGGTGGACACAGATTCTCTTTTTGGGTTGCTATAGTACAGGATATTGATCCATTCGAATGGACTAGAAGAGGGCCTTTAGTGTATCTACCTTTTCAGGGGCTTCTTTTGTTTGCGATTTGATCCTCACCATGATACCATCTGCTCAACATAGCAGGTGGATATATATCAAAAGTTTTTTAGAGAGAGGGAAGGGGATGAAGGAAAGGTGGGAGATAAGCCACCCTACCTCAGGATAGGTTTTCTGGCAAAAAAAGTTATCATAGCGAAAAGCTCTTTCATGTCTTTCAACAGGTTTTGGGGTGGGACGAGGGTAGATGGAGTCGCTCTTTGTCCAGCTCCTGCTTGATAGGTTTAAACCGAAATGAATAGATCAAGAGAAGATAGGATGTTTGGCTTTGGTCTCCCATCAAGTTCACTGGGAACCTGGAGATGTTATGAAGCCATTCACAAAGAATCTGGCCCTTACTTACACCCACTATCTAGACCTCCCTACCATGATCGCGATGATGACGGGAGCCTACGATGCTGATGCTCCACATGTATGACCTCTCCATCCTCTCTTCTCTATTTCCTAGGACTGAAAACCCTTTTTCCTCTTTTCATTCCCCCACCCGCCCACCGCTTGGCGTACTTCGAAGAAACCACACCAACACCGCCTACCACTTTTCCACCTCCAGACAAAACCCACGACTCGACGATGTTCTCGAACTCGACCCCCCAACCTACCAAAGCCGCGAAAGGCAAGGGCAAGGTTCGCCCCGCAATCCGAACCGGGCCAGGCTCCGTACACTACTCCTTCCTCCATTCCGACGACCCCAGCGGGGGCAAGAACAAGACACGAACGATGCCGAAAGACGACGAGAACGGCGAGAGCAGCTTCGCAGCTAAGAAGGACTCGCTTCAGGAGGAGGTGCAGCGGGAATTGGAGGGGTATCACTATATGTTGGAGTATTTGGAGGTGAGGGTCAAGGAGGAGGAGGAGGAGAGGGAGCGACTGAAGCAGAAGCAGCAGAAACTTCAACAACAGGAACAGCAGGAACAGAGTGACTGAAAGGAGAAGGGGGGGGGAACAGGGTTACTTGGATCAGAGGAATGGGGAATGTTTGGTTTGATCTTGGGCTGGTGATGATGGGATGAGGAAGAGGCTGTGACTTGGGGATTTGTTATTGTGATGATCTGGAAGGTAGTTGGTGTTTGACCGGGCTTTTTTGTGTTGCTCGGGGTCCAGATATTCTTCGAGTTCTTGGTTTCCTGGGAACAACACTGAGCAGTTGGGAGGTTATCGCCACTACCATGTCACATCCCTCTGTCGATCGCATCTTGGCATCACAAAGTCATCGATCTTTTTCTTTTCTCAAGCAAGCAAGCACCATCGCGGAACTGTTTTCAGTTCCCTAAGTAGGGGTCGAATCAAACTTCTTTCTTCTCATAACACTCCTCTGCATAATTGATGGCCAGCCATCCCCTTGTCCAGGGACCTTGCAACCCAGGAACCATCAACAGACTAGTGCTTTCATCCCCAGGCATGGAAGCTAGAACGTCCGGGGCCGCACGTAACTTTGGGGCAAGACACCTCGTCATCACTGTTCGTTTCAAAGAAAGACTTCGTTAGAAGAAGAGAGGATCTCCGTCGGAAGGGTCACAGTCAAAACGGACGGGGATGGAGCCGGATAGATAAAGTAGAAGCCGATTGTCGATCTTGTGCTTTCTCTTTCCTGTATTATTGCGCTCTCGCTTGGGGTTTCTGTTCGAGTAGAATCATTTATTGGCCTTGAGTTGACGCGGTTTGCTTGGGAGAGAACTTCGAAGCCTGCTGTTCGATCCAATAGAGTCAGGAGTCAGGATGGTGCCCCATCCCAACATCCAGAGTCGCTCACTCGCCCTTGACGAATTAGTCTACATGCACGCACTTGTACTAAGCGCCCATGGTTCCGGTCGGGCGCAGCAGAAAATCTCCGAGGGTCGTGTGGAGAGATCAAATCCAGAACGTCTTGATGTCGTTCGTTTCTGGAAGAGTACAAAGGTACTTCGTGCACCAGGGGTGGCATCCGGCGTCACCCGGCGACACCCGGCTGTCTCGCTCGATTGAAGATTCGGGATTCAGGGACACGATTGCCTTTGTTCCGCGCTCGAGAATAAAATAAACGATCAATGATCTATTTCCCTTGCCGAGAGTTTTGTTCGATGTTCGCTGCATGTTCTCTGCGTGTTGTTTGAACCCCTTCGTGCAAAGGCGGCGCTGCTTCATCCCGCAGATCCGGCCCCCTGCTACCGTTCGACACGGGTGCCCATACCATGCCTGGGAGACTCTCGCATCGGCGGCACCGTAGAAAGGCGAAGTGAGTACGTAGAAATCCAGAAATAAATACATAGATAATGAGAAAGAAAAGAAGATTATGAAAAAAAAAAATAAAAGAAAAAAAAAAATAAAAGAAAAAAAAAAATAAGAGAGAGAAACAATGCATCACTCATCCCTCAGCCGTTGTAACATCAATCACCTCATGATATCCGATATGTTCCTCTGTTCGAGATAAAGAGGCAATGCCACCCTCGATAATCTCCCACCAGATACAAGGAAACGAAGTTGATGCCCCATCAATTGGTCTCCTTCAACGCCAGCCAATCATCCTCGACAAGATGGCGCTGTGCGTGACATGCTCCTCCTTGATCGTGATGGGGACATGCATTAAGGCTGGTACCGGATTCTTGCGTTCCCGCGGACCCAGTCCTAGACAAAAAGGTTTTTTGAGTTTTACAAGTACCTCTCCTCGACCTTCAAGCAGACGGGGCGGTTCCAATAATAACACCCTGTTCCTGTGTGTTCCTGGGGGCGAGCTGGCCCCGTTCGGTCTCGCATAACCGATACCCCTGGTCCAGTCGTTTCAGGACGATTTCAGAACGTCATGCCATCCCATCATTCCCCGATACCCCGCCAGTCTATGTGAATTGGCTGTGGGTCCCATGTATCTTTTGTTCCTTCGGACATCGATAGCGAAGGAGAATCAATCAAAATGAGGATTCGATCAGAATGATTTTCACTTCGGGTAGTCATACAGCAAAAGAGAGAGGCGAACCTGTGACGGTCCGTTTTATTCCTTACCTGCTGCTGTTCTCCCAGCCTGACCTTTCCTTTCCTTCACCCGAGATTTCATCCAGAGCGCTCCGGAGGCTGCTGATCCTTTGCCGAACAAAACATTCCTTTCATCTCGTTTCTCTTCTTATCCTCTCCTTTAACATACATACTGTTTTTTGGTTCTTCTTTTTGTGGTCCTACTCTCCCTTTTGTCGCCTTCGCTTCTATTTCGAAATCGCTTCGGTCGAGTCTCTTTTTTTTTTTTATACAAGTTGCTAGCCCAACTTTTCGAGTCCGAAAAAGGTCAATCGATCATTTACAACATCCGAGTTGAACTCAGTCCACACTCTTTCGATTCGCCCGAATTAAAGCGAACCCTTTATTCAAAATGAAGATTATTGTTCTCATCGCCCGCATCATCCAGGCGATTTTCGCCTTGTTGACCCTGGGATTCGCCATCGCTGGTACGTCATCGGTCCTCGGGGCGGGTGGATATGGAAAGTGTATATGGGCGCAGAAATGAGAGAAAGAATTTCCTACCGGGGAGATTGAGATTCTTGGAAGGTCGAAGGAATGTGAAGTCGCTAACACGATTGTGCTGTTAAGTCGTCAACTGGTTCAACATGAAGTCCGGCAAGGCGTCCCCCGGAGCTTTCAACGTGCTCGTAGCCGTCCCACTTGTCGCTCTTCTCGCGCTCTTCTATTTGGAGGTTGTCCCGCGCATTGCCCCTAGCGGTTAGTTTATCACTTTCCCTGTCCTCTCTCTGTCTTGGGCCCCCTTTCCAGACCGAGAGTAAGAAGAAGGGGATAAGAAGAAGAAAGTTGGTGTAAGTGCGCTTTTCAAAAAACTAACGCGGGTATGATTTCCCTCTCCGTAGCATCTCACCCGATTCCCTCTCTCGTCTGCGAGGCCATTCCCATTATCCTCTACCTCGCCGGATGTGGTGTGGCCGCCCATTTCGTCATGCGCCTCGACACCTGCCTCGGTATCATCTGCACCTGCGCCAAGATGGCCCCTGTCTTCGCTGGTCTCTCCGTGCCTCTCTGGATTTTTACGACTATTCTCATGGTCAAGCAGATCTTCACGCATGGTTTCCGCAGACCATCCGCGAGCAGGCCCGCCATGTCCCAGGCGTAAATTGAGAAAATAGCTTACGGACGGCGCAAAAAGATGGGAGCGACAGGGGTAGGATAGGAGGCAAGAGCTGAGCCGAAAGGACGTGGCTTATCTTCTCTGGAGACAGAACCCTACCGATGATCGAAGCGTAAATGCCTTTTTGGACGGCCCTCCCGAGCATATCCAAATGACGACGTGTGTGTGCAGGTGATTGGTTTGCGGGGCATTCCTATTATTTTCTCATTATTCTTTTGGTCTGCGAGGTAGACCTCCGGTTCGGGAAGGGAGGGTGTAGGAGTCTGCACACGGTTTGATGTCAGGGATATCATTCGGGATGACGAAGTGGGATGAACCTATTTTGATTGTAATGGATTCATGGGAGGGAGGCTTGGGCGGGCGGGATTTACTAGAATTAAACCGTCGAGTATACCGTTTTTGGGATCTTAGGTGGCGCATGTTGCTTTTGGAATTCGAAAATCTTTTCTGACATTCTTCGCGTTCCTCGTTCTCGTTCTCGGTCTGCGGTTTCTGATTTCGACGGCTGAACCTATTTCAAATTAAAAACGTGGGGTGCTCGCGCTGCGATCCTCTCTTGTCTTCCACTTTCTCGAACACGAGGCGGTGAGATTTCAATGGGAAAGAAGAAGGAAGGAAGGGAGGGAGGAAGGAAGGTGGTGGATGCAGGAGGGAAAGAGCTGATTCTAATTTTTGCAGCTTTCCTTCCGAATATCTAAGAATATCAACGAAGTAAGCCACATACGATTCTCGACGACGAAGATTGGAAGGCACAATCGAGGTTTCCGTGCATGTCATCGTCGTCGTAATCGAACAATTGTAATCACTCCAAGTCAGCTCAGCTAAGAATAACTCATGGAAGCTTCGCCCTAAAATTGTAGCCGATGAGGCAACCTGGGCGAGTCTTGGTTCTTCGAGAAGCGCTTTGCTGGATCCACAAAACACCCCGCCAGATGAAGCTCAATGCAAATTCAGGTTGTTGCGTGGGGCAAAGCCTCTCGAATTACCCCACCGACCTATGCCTCGGGATGAAATTGAGATTGAATCGGCGAATACACTTTACGCTACACGTTTTTCCTCCACTGCTGGCGCTGGTGTATACACTGCGAAGGGACGTCGCTGGCTTTCGAATGTCATTGACGTTACTCTGCCCGTCTTAGCGTCGTGACCCTGTTGCATTCAGACCCCTCTGCCGGTCAACATTTCCACATTTCCACCTCTGTCAGTCTTTGCCAATTCGGGTCCCTCTTACTGGCCACTCCGGTTGAGGTGCTCCTTGAAGTTCTTGGCGCCTGCTGATCACTTGCTTCTTAGTCTCGATCACCTAATCGGTCTTGTCATCGTTCATCGTCCCCCATTCAGCCCCATGTCGCCTTCGGCCGCCCGCCCACCCAACTTCGGCGATTGCGATTGCGTTGTTCGACTGACCCGGACTTTCTGGGCCAAAAAGACCACCACCCAGACTTCCATACACACACACACAGACACACACATACACCGAACACACATGCAATTCATTGAGGAAGGACCATGTTCTCCCCCACGCTTGCGCTGGGTAAAAGACGCAAGGCAATCCCATGCTCTGGCGCCATTTTCTGCCCATTGCACACAAGATGTCGAACGAGGACGATCACTCGCAACATTGTGTAATTAGTCCCCTGTTCTCCACTGGAAAATATTGGGTAGAGGATGGCTCCAAGTGAAACCGGGCCACGCCCACTCGACAATCCGTTAGCGCGGGTCGTCGAAAGGGGATGGCACGACCGATAATAACGCAACATGAAGATATCTTTTCGCAAGACCCCAAGGTGGAAATTCACACTACGCTACAGACTTGGCTGACTGCAGGATTGCTTCTTCTTTTCCCGGTTGCCTGGACTAAGCAATATCCGGGTATCCTAGTAACCCTACGACATTGACGGAGGATTGCGTGCACGATTGAGCCAAAGTACCACCATACACCGTACCTCGAGCACGAAGCAGAATGGTGGGAAGAGGCAAGTCGAAATCGTGCCCCTCATCAACGGGCTCACGCCGCCCCCGCGAATGGGACGTGTGGAAGCTGTTGAAAACGGCGCTACTCGCGATTGCGTGCTTGCTTGTTACCCCACATCGCTTCCTAAATCGGCCTTGTGGCTTGCGAGTTGCTTGGTGCAATAGCATGTCGACAACCCATTGACGGAGGAGGGCAACGAGGGGGATCCCAACCAGAGAGGAAGAAAGCGAAGCAGCTGAATATTTTCCTCGCTCTCTCTTTCTCTTTTCGAGGGGCAGGAGGGGCTCGTGGTATCCGTAGGGTCAGGATTTGGCTAGCTCCAAGTCCGGCGTAGGACGGCTCCAATGTTTCTTGGTTTCCTGTTTACTGATATATAAAGGGTCCTCTCGACCACAAGGTTCTGCTCTATACGTCATTCCCGTCCTCCCCTCCTCGTCCAACTTGAACACCTTTTTTTCTTGCTCTCCCAGCTCCTCCTGATTCGAGTGGCTTCCTTTGTGCTTTGCGTAACTCGTTTACACTTTGCAACCTTTGGTCGTTTTGACTTTAAGCTTTTTCTCGTGGATCTTCCATCTACACGCAGCGGCAACACCCCTCCTCTTCTAGCTCTCTAAGTAGCTCTAGATCACAAGACACAATGTCTCAACCTCAGCGATTCGAGACCCTCCAGCTTCACGCCGGGTATGCGATCCATCCATCCTTTTTTGAACCGCGCATTCCCCAAACCTCGCCGGGTCTGCCCCGCGGCACAATTGAGGGGTTTGCTAACTTCCAACGCAGTCAGGAACCCGACCCCACCACCCTCGCCCGCGCTGTCCCCATCTATGCGACCACTGTAAGTTAGGCCCAGCACGCACAAGGGGCCCAACACCTGCGCGCCATGAACGGCATTGACACTTGTGAGAATGAATCGGCTAATCGAAGGACCCTCCCCCGCCCTATAGTCTTTCGTCTTCAATGACTCCGCCCACGGTGCGAGGCTCTTTGGCCTCAAGGAGTTTGGCAACATCTACAGCCGTATTATGAACGTACGTACTCATTGAGTCCTCCACGATAGCCGAAAAGACTTGAGACTTACGAGAGACCTTTTTTTCCTCTTCACCAGCCTACCGTCGATGTCTTCGAGAAGAGGATAGCTGCTCTTGAGGGCGGTGTCGCCGCTGTTGCCACCTCCTCCGGCCAGGCTGCCCAATTCATCGCCGTCGCCGCCCTCGCTCACGCCGGCGACAACATTGTCTCCACCTCCAACCTCTACGGTGGCACCTACAACCAGTTCAAGGTCTTGTTCCCCCGCCTTGGCATCCAAACCAAGTTCGCCAACGGTGATAAGCCCGAGGACATTGCCGCCCTCATCGACGACAAGACCAAGGCCGTCTACGTCGAGAGCATTGGTAACCCCAGGTACAACGTTCCCGATCTCGAGGCCATTTCCAAGGTCGCCCACGAGCATGGTGTTCCTCTCATTGTAAGTTGATGTCTGACGCCGAGCAATGTTTTCTTTTCCCCCTAGTTGCCGGTGCCTCTTGTCTACCATTTCATCACTTGCTAACCACATTCGGCAATGTGGCTTAGGTTGACAACACCTTCGGTGCCGGTGGCTACTTCATCCGACCCATTGAGCATGGTGCCGATATCGTCGTCCACTCCGCCACCAAGTGGATCGGCGGCCACGGCACTACCATCGCCGGTGTCATTGTCGACAGCGGCAAGTTCGACTGGGGCCAGCACGCGGCCCGCTTCCCCCAGTTCGTCGAGCCTGCCGAGGGTTACCACGGCCTCAAGTTCTGGGAGACCTTCGGCCCCATCACCTTCGCCATCCGCGCCCGTGTTGAGATCCTCCGTGACCTCGGCGCCTGCCTCAACCCCTTCGGTGCTCAGCAGCTCCTCCTCGGTCTCGAGACCCTCAGCTTGAGGGCCGAGCGCCACGCTCAGAACGCCTCCACTCTTGCCCAGTGGCTCGAGAAGAACCCTAACGTCGCGTGGGTCTCGTACCCCGGTCTTGAGAGCCATCCTTCGCACGAGAACGCCAAGAAGTACCTCCAGCGCGGCTTCGGCGGTGTCCTCAGCTTCGGTGTTAAGGGTGGCGGTGACGCCGGCAGCAAGATTGTCGATAGCTTCAAGCTCATCTCCAACCTTGCCAACGTTGGCGACTCCAAGACTCTTGCTATTCAGTAAGTCGAACTTAATTTCCCCTTTTAATATCTCGTCGAGTAAATTCAAACCTAACTCTCTACGTCTAGCCCCTGGAGCACCACCCACGAGCAGCTCTCCGATGAGGAGAAGATCAGCGCCGGCGCCACCGAGGACCTCATCCGCATCTCCGTCGGTACCGAGCACATTGATGATATCATTGCCGACTTCGAGCAGGCCTTCAAGGCTGTCGCCGAGAAGGATGCTGAGGCTCCTAAGGCTGAGGTCGTCGTGCCCCAGACCGAGTAGACAAAATGGGGATAGGGAATGAAGGAAAGTCGTTACGAAGAGGAAGCTTTTATACTTTTTGATAACTGGAAACCTGTTGGCGCGTTGGAGTTGTATACTTGTTGTTCTTCGTATCGTTTAATGAATACCCCGTAGAATCACCATTCTCTGTCTCTGCTGCTGTTTGTAGATGTGAATGTTAATAATGCGCACACTGCCTAGGACACATGTTTGGCGGCTGTCGGACATAAGCCATTTCTAAATTAGACCCGACCGGAACCTACTGAGGCATGCAATCCTTGACCAAGATCTTAAACGTCAGCTTATGAGATCATCGCCACCACCCGACATATCATATGGGAGGGGTCAGCCAAATACGGCTACTTGACGGAAGCCTATATACAGGAAGGTTTTAATGGAAGGAAGGAAAGGGAAAGGAATTCGTTCGGAAAGGGCGCGACGTGACTGTATGTACTGGAACCGTTGCTGTGATGCCGGCGGTCGTAACAGCGGCTGGCCGGTGCCCTCGTGCCGTTGCCGCCAGGCGGTGCCGGCGTTGGTGGCAAAAATTAGCTTGGGCTCTTGCTAAAGCCCTCTCTACGGCTCAGCTCGTTATAGGAAGTTCTTCTCGGAGAAGAGGGTACTGCAAGCTTCCCCCGGCAGCGGGCCTCCGTGGCCCCACCAAACTCGAATGCCGATTCCAGTTGCCTCCGACATACGAGCTCGCCGCCCACCACGATTTGTGTCGAAAAGTAAGCAACTGCACACGTAGTTGTTTCTTCCTATGGCCGAGTTCGTTCTAGAGACGAATCCTATCCTCAACGGACTCCTACTGTAGCACTGGAGACTTGCAAATCTCTCCCTCCTAAAGCCGCCCACTAACTAGCCGCTACACATTGCTTCTGGTGATTCTTCCAGTCACTACGCTGACACTCCGTGAACAATACCTCGCATGTTTGCACTTTCCACATCTTAATAACCCCCCAACCTTTTGCCGTCACTTTGTGGCACACACGACATTGGTAACTCCGGGGAATTGGCATTTCGACTCTATACACCTCCTCGACTAGAGGACTGAAAAAGGCGGGCGAGATGGCGGTGAACGGCGCGTCTAGATAAAACATTCCAGTTGAGCACGTCAGCTTTGAAATCTGGAGGAAAGACCCCATTTCCACACGTGCAGAGAGTCCGTGTCTCCGACTCATCGTCGCAAAGTCTGGGTAATCTCCGCCGGCTCGGGAGGGCGGGTTGCGGGCCCTAAAGACGGGTGAAAGTCGTGGGAAATGCTATACTCTACGCGAACGCAGTGGAGCACTCGTCACGCGTCCCACAAAATTTCTTAGGTGAGACCCGTCACTGGGACCGAATAGGGGGGACAGGCAGAGGGCGGTCGGGTTTGCGTTGATCCAAGCCTTTTGACTGGTCCGGGAGCGGCACCAGCTTACGGGCTGGAAAAGGATTCACCTGTGGGCTTCCTAAAACAGGGCGCGTCTGACAGCAGTGCCATCCAGTACGAAGACAACGGCCCCCAGAACTTGGAGGCCGAGGGCGATGATCGTGCTGCACAGCCGTCATGAATGGCAGAGCAATCGAGCAGGTAAGCAGGGCGAAATACGTTTTGGTCTTGGCGATGGGAGTCCCGAAATATAATGACGGGAACGTCGCATAGGAGTCGGCCCCATCACATCCCAAACGCTCCTTTCTCCGTTTCACAGGAAATGCCAGATGCTATGTGCATGTTTGAAAAATTCGAACCAAAACTAGCACGATGACCGACCTCTCAGCAAACATCCTCGAGTGTGCCCATCGAGCGGGGGGCGACTTGCATCTGAACAGCAAACGTATCATTGCCTGCTGCGATGGTACTTGGAATAACACGTACGTCCTCCATGTATCTGACAAGACACTCTCTCCCCTCAAACGAGCTCTAACCAAGACGCGTATTATCCTGTTCAGCAACTCATTGGACTCTGGAATCGCGAGCAATGTCAGCCGTCTATCCGGGGCTATCGCTCAGAAATGTTGCACTGGGAAGCCACAGATCATCTACTACCACCCCGGGGTTGGTACCGATGAATCCAAGATTTCCAAGTTGACTGGAGGAATGTTTGGACTTGGGGTACTCTCGGTTAGTCCTCCTGCCCTTTCCCTTATTTCTGTTTTCTCCTTTGTTTTCTGTGGCTGACTGTGAGGGTAGGATATTGTCGAAACTTACCGGTTTATTTGCGACAATTACAACTCCGGAGATGAAATCATCATCATCGGCTTCTCCAGGGGCGCATTTGTCACGGGCCGACCTTTATGCAGGCCCAAAAGCGGTAGGACACGGCAGAAAGTAACAGCAGGACGGCTGCACGCGGCCGGCCGGCAGACGACAGGGAAGCGATCGGAGGCGCGAGAAGTGATCGGTGGCGATCACCCCTGTGATCATAACGATCACCAAACGATCGGTTCCGATCAGTCAAGAAAAAGCTCCGATCACTCTGGGAGGCTTGAAAGGGAAACGTCTATATAAACTACGGGTTCTACTATGTATCTAGTTTGTCTTTCAAGACTCTCCAGTAGTCAATTCAAGAACAACTACACCCCTACACTTGAATACGCACTTCTCACCAATATCTTGTGAATACTGCTTGACTGCCTCACTTACTTCACAACAGGCACCCCCGACCCCGACACCAGCTGTACCCACCTGATAATTTGACGACAGAGTGTTAGGATCGTAACAGCATTCACAGCCCGATCTGTTGCCAATATGATTTGCAGCTTAGGCTTTCTCAACCGCACGGGGCTAGACCAGCTCCCCCGCATTTTCCACGACTATCAGCACTGGTCTGACTGGACATCCGAGACGAAATACAACGAGGAGAAGTACCTAACGGCGTTCAACCTGGAGAATTACGTTAGGATCCAAAGGTTGGGGGCGGCGCGAAAGAATTCCGGGTGGGGTGGGAATCTGGAGGAACTCGAGCAACAACTGAAGGACGAGAAGAGGAGGTTCTTCAGGGAGGTGACGACGCTTGCCCGCGAAGATTCTAACACAGGGAAGAAGCGCATGGACCTCCGCAAGATTGGGTTCAAGTACCGTGAGTGGTTGAATAAGGTACGATCATGAACTCTACGCTCCAACTCCCTGCCTACCTGCTCGCTAACCTCATGCTCTAAATGATAAGCACGAGCTAAGCCTGGTAGAGAGAGGCCCAGATTCGTCGTTGGATTGGACCGCGCCGATTGAGGGGAGGGTGCGGGCCGTTGGTAAGGATAACTGTTAATATTCATGAAAAAATTAACACGGGATGCTGACCTACAAACTCTCTGACTCACTAGGTGTCTGGGATACAGTGGGGAGTTTGGGGTTCCCATAAATGCCCTGGGGTATACGCAGCCGGGGGAGGGACGAGGTAACTGTGGCCCTGCCCTTAAGTCCAATCATCTTGACTCTTACCGACTAACGGCTGAGCAGCTGAGGTTTGCCGACCTCGATGTCCACCCTAACGTAGATTACGCCTTCCATGCCCTTGCGCTGGATGAATGGCGCACCGCGTTTGGTCCAACAATGTGGAGTCGAGCTCCCGATAACAACAACACCCAACTACGCCAAGTTTGGTTCCCTGGCAACCACGGGAACATTGGAGGAGGATGGCCAGACCAGAAAATCGCTACCATTGCCCTCGCCTGTGAGACATCAATGATCACTGGCGCAATTAGCCCACCCCCGAAACGCGGACTATCGCTGACGCTCAAGTCTTACTATAGGGATGGCCGATCAGCTCACATCTGTAGGAGTCGAGTTTAGCAAGCCTGAGATGCAGCGCATTTTTTACAACATGAATCCTGGAGTAAAGGCGCGGCCGTGGGCGATGGGCAAGATTTGCAACCCAAAAGGGTTAACTACTTATCCTGACAGGATGTATGGCTTGCGGCCGTGGCGTTTATTCTCACAGAGGCAAAAGAACGGCCGAAAGCCTGGCCTGTATACCATTGATGGCTCCGACGATGAAATGCTTCCCAACACCGAGGAGTACGTTCACCCATCAGTTCGCATTCGCTACCTCTACGATGGGAGAGGCCTGGATGACGTGCAGCATTGGACTTGCCGCTCTCTCACCAAACATGGCTACGGCCTTGCCCACCAGTTGGAGCCATTTCTGGCCCCTCGGCCACATCGTATCCCGGAGGCCTTTACGCCCTTTCACACTCTTGTAGGGGGGCTTGTTCCCTTCTATGACGGGGCGGGGTCTCCAGGCGACCGTGTTCATCTGCACGTCGACATGAAGACGCCCCTGAGATACGTCAGGACAGAACAGCCAAACGAAATGGACCTCCTCGAAATCGATAACCCTACTTCTCACTGGGCCTGGAAGATGGAAGATAGAATTCTCCCAGAGGAAGCCCTGGGAACGTGGGAGCGCATGTACGTGAAGATCAACGACTCGCTGGTTGTGTGGCAGACCGGGGCCGATAAGCGCGGGAACGACAGTCTTATGGCACAGCGGGAAGTTGGCAGGCGAGCATCAGCCATTTCGAGATATATGAGGAACTCCTGGAACGCCACTGCTAATAACTCACGTCCGAGATGGAAATTGTTTAAGAAGTCTATTCCAGAGAAGATAAAGCCGGCTGCATTCCCAGGGGAGTACGGCTATCACGACATTACTACATGGCGAGTTGACGATGCGGCGCCTCTAGCAACGCGATATCCAGACTCCGCGACTTTTGTATCAGACTGATAGGGTAGTTTTATCTTAGTGTAACTACCCAGCCTTGGGCTAGTTCTTGAATTTAAAGCTATTATTAACATTCCAATTTCGCATTACCATAGCTCCTAACATTAGAATGCGACATCAAGATAATAACATCAATGAAACGAAAAACATATATAAGTGCAAGTCTCTCCTTTAACCCAAAACTATTCTTGTTTCTAATCACCACCACCGCCAAAGTCATGATTTCGTCCATCCACAACATAAGTCTAGGTAGTTAGCATATCAAGTTATTCCAAACACAGAGGTTAAGGAAATCTACCACTCACCATAACCATCTATATACACATCGTGCTACACATCATTTACCACATCAGTAACCAACACACTACCAATCAACCCCACACCAACACCCAGCACCGCACCGGCCGCCACGCCTCCCATGGCAGGCCCGCTCTTCTTAGGAGCGTGCTGCTGCTGCGGGTAATCACCTTAAACCCCAAACTGTAGAATGAGAAAGATATTCACATTCAGTAGGACAAAAGAATAGCAAAAGTCCTACGATGGACCTTGATCAGGTCCTTGACCCGCACAGCGGCATAGCCTGTTAGATTCTGCTTAGGCTTCTTGTTCTCAAGAGTATTCTTTCGAGTAGTTAGTCAGAGCCGAGTAGCACAACCCACAATACAAACAGGTCTATGCCGCCCGCTCACAGGAATAAAAGACACAGGCTAGGGGCCACACCACTAAGAAGAAATAGTTTAATGGTCATTGTATGGTCGTAATGGTTAAATAGGACGTGGGGAAGTCAGCGATCGGTCGGAATCTGCATCGTGGAACAACACGGGCAGAGGAGAGAGGAGGAAAGTAAGGATAGTAAGAAGTGAAATTAAAAATAAAAATAGTAAAAGACTGATTTCTAAAAACAACTTGTAGGCTAAATGGAAACGACCGATTGCTCTCTGCTGCAAAGCTTCCCTTCGCCTTCTTCCGCGCTACTACTTTCTCGTCTAAGTTCTACTCTATGGATGTAGGAGCCTTCATCCCGTTTTATGTGTAAGTGAGGTTCGGCTATATAATACTTCGGGCTTCTGCGGCAAGAATACATGTCTCAATACTAATTGATATTTTATTATTTACTTATTTTTGCTGTGGTACCTCTTTTTTTTTCTCTAGCACTTACCGAGATTCGAAAATTCGAGAGATAGAGAGACGTTTTCTAGTGCTTAAGTCGTACCTTCCAAAGTGTTTTAACTGTATTCTTTCTCTTTCCTTCGCACCTACCGCGTGACTACTTGTTATCTAGGAGATGTGTTTCTTTCCTTTCTTTTTTTTTTTCTTTTTTCCTTCCTTTAACCTATGTATGGGATCATATTCGAGTTTCTCTAACCAAGCGTACCCAAATTAAGAAGTTAAAGGCCTCAGACACTATCGTTGACATGCCGCTAAACTACCTTGACGACCTCGGGCAGGCACGAGCCCAAGCTATCGTGACAGACAAGCGTTACAAAGCATGCGAGGTTATCGCGGAGACGGAATGCTGGCAAGCGACCGGATCAGGAAACCAGGATGGCTATGTCCAGGTATTTGTTCCCTTCGCGAGCAAACCGCAGAAATTGGTGGCCTGTGTCTAATAGATGATGTTTTCCAATATAGATCTACACAAAGAAAAATCGAGATATGAACCGGACGGGTCGTGGTGCTCAGACAGCTTTTCTCCTGCATATTGTATCATTCGTGGCCAAAACTGGCTCAAACCCGGATGGTCACGTAAGTCACCTTTGTGACAATCGCAAGTGCTTTAACCCCTCTCACCTGGTCGACGAACCTCCTGCCCAGAACAATGGGCGCAAGGGCTGTCCAGGGCCAATCTTCTGCAGCGTTCACGGCCACTGCATAGCAGACCTGTGCCAGCACCGGCCCCGCTGTATACGGCCAGCGAGAGACGATATATTCTGCTGCCTTGCAATTAAGGAGGGCGATTCGAAATGGAATCCCTAGTTTATTAAGCTAGGAGTGCGGTATATGGTATGTGGAATATAGGGCGAGTCCACGCGCTTATTTTACACGGTTAGTCGGATGAGCATGGCCTATCCAGTTGAGCTAAAGAAGAATGACGAAGGGCAACATGAAATAATATGCTGGGAAACCAATAACTGGGCCCATTGCGCTCATGCGGTAGATAAACAAGAAGACAGCATCCCACCAGAAACCAAGATGCCCTTACTACAGAGCCTTGCGGAATAGGTACTTTGTGTTACGGCTTTGGCTCACTACCTAGCTGTCAGATATAAGTGATAGCTTGCGACTGTGGAAGTAAGGGAGCGTAACTTGCTCACTTCAGGCTGGATATCTGTCGATGGTTTACTTACAATGCTAGTAATGATTCACCTACTGAATTCATTACTAGCGGTGGATCACACAGCGGATTCTGGAACTATTAGAGAGTAAAGGCTTGATTCTTTAAACTTGGAGAGCAAGCGCTCCTGCGCTCGCTCTTTATACCTAGCGTAGTAGGGTGGCTAGGACTAGTTGCTGCTTGCTGCTAGAGGCAGTAAGGTAGCAATGTGTAACAGTGCCCCCGCTATTCGGAAGACAGGTAACATCCTCATTAGCATACTCGCTTGCTTTTATGAAATTATATACATGAGTTAAACTTGGTTACTCCTCTGAATTCCTTCTCTTTATTGACTACCTGTGTCGCTCGCTCGCTCTCTTGTTTGCCTACTTGCTGCTTTCTAGCTGCTTTCTCATAGCCTGATGCAAGCTAGGGCTGAGGCTGTCCTGGGCTAGTCAAGGGCGCTTGGGAGCGTGAGGTACTGGCGTGCTCGACTGCAAGCTCGGCGGCATTACTCTCTGTGCCACTCGCTCGTCTTCAAGTGATCTTAATTGCGACTTTAGATTGTGTTGCTCGAGTTCGAGTTCCTTCACTTGCTTCTCTAGCTAGCCAAAGTAGGGTATTGAAGCAGTCCTTAAGACTGGCTATCTGAGCATCGGCGATCATGTCTTTCTTGGCCTCAAGCTCCCCGACTTGCTTGTCGATACCTTGGATGACTTTAGTGAGCAGGTCATAGTCATTGGGCTCGCTTGCGTCATCGGGGTTGGCGTTGTTACTAGCCTTCTGGGTTGCTGCCTTGCTGTCGACTAGGATAACGCTCTTGTCCTCGTTACCGATGTCCATCGGGTCTTCGGTGTTGCTCGCTCGCTTAGAGGTAGTGGGCTGACTTTTCTCAGCTAGGGAATCGAGTGAGGTGCCTGGCGCCCAACTTTTCGATTTTAGCTGCTATGAACTCCGTGAGCGCGTATCCGTGCGGATAGCGCGCAACACCGGGAGAGTCGGCTTGCGAGGGAGGTGCTTCTCCCAATCGCTCTTTGTCTCACTTCTTGCCGGAGCCGAGTAGCACATCCCAAAACACAAACAAGACTGTGCTACTCGCTCATCGGAATAGAGAGCATAAGTTGGAATCACACAACATAGAAGAATTGGTCCAATGGCCGTCACATGGTCGTAATAGTCAAGTAGGACATCGGGAAGTCAACGACGAGTCGGAATCTACATCGTGGGACATAACAGTTAGAGAAGAGAGGTGTTATGATAGATACTCTAGTGATGGTAGTACTGTTGGCCTGGGTGAGAACTGTGGCGCAACGCCAGACCCATACGCATAATTAGTATATATAGTGCCACTTGACATTATACAACACGTCTATAGGTATATGGGGGCGCAGTACTGCCCACGGCCTGATGTCCCAATAGGGATCAGGGACCGGCTGCGCCGGTGACCCTCACCCTTCCTCCTTCTTCCCCCCTAGCTTGCTGTTCAGGGTCCCCGGGCATATTCTCTCAAAGAAGGCCTGTCACTCTCTCTAAAGACCAGAAGGCCTTCCCACTCCTCAGTGCTGTCGTGTGTGGTTCCACTGGCCCCACCCTTCCCATTGGGTTCCCATCTCTGTCATAGTGCCAGAAGTCTGCTGGCCAGCCCTCGTCTGATATCTTTCTCACTTTTCAGCTGAAGGCGAAGTGTTCCTAGGTTATCTCGTGTCCACAGCTGTAGTACGGGGCGTAGTTCTCATGTCGGCATGCCCTGTGGTAGCCTACAAAGTCTCCGTGCCCCATTCTAGCCTGTAGTAGCTTAGACAGTATTTGCCTAGGGATCTTGAGGTCCTCGTGGGTCCCTACCTTGTAGCCTTAAGAATCGCCAGCTCACGATGGAAGTATGGCCCAACGAAATGAGGCCTGGTGATGATTTGGCTGACTGGAATCTTGGCTGCATCCTCTGGAGCGATGTACGAGGTATGCGGCGTGATTCTATCCCGAAGGATCAATATTTCCATCCTATTCCATCCTATCCCACCCTCAATACAACTCTAGACAGAGACAGAGCTTGATGAGTGAATATCGTCAAAGAGGGAATCTCCTCATTCGCCTCATGCATGTGCTGCGTGCATTAGCAAATTGGCTGGATATCTATACTGTTTCAATCTCTGCAACGCCCCGGCCGACGACCCACAGGATCAGTGGGGCCCCGTACTACTATAAAATCTAGAAATCATCAAAATTTGACAGCCCGGGGAATGATGAAGATGGACTTCTTCAAGCAAGTGGTGCTTTTACGGGTTGACGGATGGAGAGAGTGTGATACTGCAGGGATCGTGCGTGACAGCTACCCTGCCCTATACCCCGACACGGCGACAGGGACTTGTAGAGCTTTTTTTTTTTCTTTTTTTCTTCATCCCCACCAACAATTAGGCCGCTGTCTGTGAGACTGTAACTATTGCCTCTGTGTCACCTCAGCAGTTTATTAGAGTATTTCCGAACATATATACCGAGACCGGGATAGATCGGGCGATACCGAGGTACTTTGTAGATTACACTAGTTTTAGTCCCTGAGTCCCTGACATAAAGTTGACTAAATTAGACTAGTTTAGTTTAAAGTGAAAAGTCCCTTTGAACAGCTGCCAGGGGTACCCGGGGAAAGCGGCATGACGTCAAGCGGACCGAACCGGCCAATTCCTCCTAATCCGAGTAAGTTTACGTACGATCTAATCTTATTAGGGCAAGCCGAGTGGGTTCGCAAAGAGGAGTAGTTCGTACAACTGTGGTTTTGTTTAATTGTGCGAGGGTCAGTATGGTACCCCAACTGATCCTCCGGTCCCCCGAGGTAGTAGTTTAGTGTTGTAGTACTGTAGTGCCATAGTACCATAGACCGTTGGACTTCGTAGTTTCCACGATGTCCGCCAGTGCTAGGATTTCCCGAATTTCTCTCGTTCCTTTCACCCTTCTCGGGTGGGCCTCTCTGTGTTCCATTGTCATCTCTTCTAAACTATAATTGTCGCAGGAACCACTGTCATGCACCCAGGCCAAGAGATGCTATGCCCAATGATACAGGTGGCATTGAGTGTTGGTGACTTGGTCCCACCCGCGGACCAGATCTGCATCACGCGTACATGCACCAGCCCAGGCACCAGATACCAAAATCCTTCAATCCTTCATCCTTCACACTTTTCTCTCCCTTGCTGTTTCCACCTGATCCATCTGATCCTCTGCATTCACCTTTCACACTCGCAGTTTTGGCCCCCAACAGGGCTTCCAGATTCCAGATTCCCGATTCCCAATCCGCGACCCCCAATCCCCTCCTTCAGCCCCCTATTCCGAACAGTTTCAACCATTAGTATCATTACCACCATCACCATATTTACCATCAATCACTTATTTCACTTCGGATATCGATAACCAGCAGCAGCAACGACTATGCACCTCATCTCCTATGCTATTTGGCCCCTTCTAGGCTTGTTAGCCTACCTTGGGGCCGCCGTCAATGCTGCTAGTGTGCTGGAAATCGACGTGGTCTTTCCGCGCACCAACGAGACATATGCGCCGATAGACTACTTTCCCATCGTCTTTGCACTACAGAATGCTGAGCTGGCCAAACATCTCAAGCCCTCTATCTACTCATTTGTCCGTAATGGGACCGACTTGTTGGATACGTTCGGGCACTCCATTACCGACCTAACCTCTACCAACTTCTCCTCCAGCGAGCCCTACTTTGTCTACCACTACCTGAAATCCATCACCGAGGGGCCTCATCGGCTGTTCGCGACTGCTATCTGGAGAAGCTGTGATGAGAGTGGCGATCAAGTTGCCATCGTTGGCCATGATATCAACCTCAGTATCTACTTCAATGTCGAGAGAGGCGGCCAAGAAGTCGATCTTGTCGCTGCTACAGAGAAATGTTCCCCTCAAGACGGAGTTGCTATCAACGTGACTGACCAAACACACGACGTTCCTGAGAAGCTGTCTTGGGAGCAACAACAACTGTCCGGTACTTGTGCAGTGTTGGCCTCCTCCTCCCCGACCCCAACTGCAGACCCCTGCCGGGTGAAGATTGACACAACTGTGGCTGCGAGCATGTCTGCCTTTTTGAAAAACGCGTTGTGCAAAGGCCTGAACCCACCTTCCGACTGCCCTGAAGAAAGCGCCGTGCAGAAGCTAGTCGTTACAGGTGTTGCGGGCTTCGCAGCTGCTTCCGGCGCTATTGTATTCCTTCCTGCCTAATTAGATAACGGGTAGCATGACCTGACCTAGCACAACCCCACATCCCATCTTATTTTAATACCTACTTCTTTTATTTGATGTCTTTTTGTTATGTAGATGTAGGGGTTGTAGTGTAACCATGTAATTATGGAGATAGAGCCAGGTCTTGACTAGCAAACACCTGCGTCGTTTAATTAATTTACTTTCACCTCGCATATGTCGTACCTCTTCCTGATTTTCCCATGTTTACGCATCCTACTACATCCCGGCAAGGTTACCGCGCAGCGAAGTTGCCCAAAATGAGAAACACAAGATACTCAAGACCCACCCCCACACACACATCCCCTCCCCCCTTGTCCTCTTTCCCCCTCCCTCTGCTTCTCGTATTCCTCCGTGGGGTCATAACCATCCTCGTGGCGTCCTTGGCCGTCCTCATGAGTCCCTAAAGGATCGTGTTGGTCCGTTGACCTGATGAACTGAGAAGTCATGTCAGCTTGACAGTGGACATGGTCGAGTGGTTTGGTGTCTGTTGGAGACCCCCTTCTCCTCTCGGTTAGAAAAGGGGTCCTCAGAGAAGGGATAAGATGATAGTAGCAGCGGAGGCCTCCTTACTTAAAGTTGCTGTCACGTCCGCCTCGAGAGTCAAGTCCATTCCGACATCAAGCGGCATCTGCAACGCGCTTACTGTCTAATATATGTCTGTATCATAACGGAGATACGCACTCTGAACTATGAACCCGGAACCTCTGAACAAGAACTTGAAACCTACTGACAGTTCTGCCCTCATCTAGCCGTCCGCAATACAAGATCACACACCCCGAGCTACCCAGTCACCATGGTGGCTTCATCATGGCTCACGGTGGCACTTGGGGCTGTTAGCCTCATGCCAGGAGCCATGGCGTTCATCCCTCCAGTTAACACCTCTACCCAGGCTGACTACTTCTACCCTGAACGATGCACCGTTTCCAGTCCGAGCACCGGAAATTGGTCCGTCTATCCCAACCTCAAAGCCATCAAGAGGTGCCAGCAGACTATGTTCTACGACTTCTCGCTGTATGACCCTGTCGCTGACCCGAGCACCAGTCATCGCATCCAAACTTGCTCTTCTTTTGGCCCAGATTTTGACAACCTGCCATCGGAGGCGGTGGCCGCCAACCTTGTCCAGTCCGCCACTTCTGTTAATGTCGAGTTTGAGCTTGGATGGTGGCACAAGGCTTTTAGCCTTGCGAAGGGGGCTATCTGGTCGCTTGTGGGGCAGATTCGTGAGTATATCGACAACGGCCACAGAGCTTCAGATCAGCCCTTCATCCTATATGGCTAGTCTGGGCAAGCAACCATCAGCGTTTACATCGGCCAAGATCTGCTGAACCAAGGCCTCAGCACCTCAGCCCTCCAGACTTTTCAGGACAACTTTGACAAACTCAACATCACGACGCCCGGCATAGCTATACAGCTCTGCGGCTTGGGCTATGATAGGACTCACGTCTTTGGCGTCGCAGTTACCAGCAACACCACGTTTACCCCCATTCAGAGTGCCATCAAGTCCTGGGCCAATACGACATGCCTGTCCTTCCTTAGGTCGAAAAGCTTTCCTGGCAAGGCCACGTTCACCACTCCTCTGCTGAACGGTACTGAGACGGAGCAGTGCAGCCTGCCCGCACACTACAAGAACGAATCAAAAGAGAAACAGATGGTCAAATGGGTCTAGAATGGTTCCCGCAAGAAGCTGCTGCAATTCCTCCTGCAGGAATGGTAATGGAACGTCGGAATGGTTGATCAACGGGAATAGAGCCGAATCACAGCCAAAGGAGGCTTCCAAATAGGGGGAAGCCAGAGATCATGCTAGTGTCAGATAGGGGACACATCCACATGTAAAATAATAGAAGAACTGTCCGGAAATAGGGCCAGACCAGATCTGAAAAGAAGTCAATTGAAAGAAGGACTAATGACTTGATAATTGACTAAAAAAACATGAAGAACTTCTTCTTGAAGTTGAAGAACTTGAAGAACTTGATCTTCCTCTTTGAGAGGAAAGAAAAGAAAAGAAATAACCATGGTCATGGCCCATGGCAAGGAACAATATTCTTCCGCCCCCCCCCCCGGTGCTTGCGGAATCTTGAGAACGTCACCCTTTTCACCGATGTCACCTTTTTCCCCGTCACAATATCATAGTATTAGCTGATGCTAGGTGAATATAGTTAAGCAGAAGAGCTTGTGCGCAAGGCTACAATAGTGAGAAAGGAGATTTTAGGGGATGATCACCCCGACATGCTCACTAGCATAGCCAACTTGGCATTGATGCTTTGGAACCAGGGCTGATAGGAGGAGGCTAAGAAGCTAGATGTGTAGGTGATGGAGACTTTTAAGGTAAAGCTTAGAGATGATTATCCCTTGACACTTAAGAGTATGGCTAACTTGGCGTTGACGCTTTTAAACCAGGGCTAATGGGAGGAGGCTGAGAAGCTGGATGTGCAGGTGATGGAGACTTGTAAGGTAAAGCTTGGGGATGATTATCTCTCCACACTCACTAGCATAAACAACTTGGCGTTTACATGGAAAGCCCAAGGGCGCCTGATAGACGCCCTATCTCTAATGTATAGTTGCGCTTCTTCTCGACAGCGCATTCTTAGTCCGAGGCACCCAGATACACTCTCGTCTTTGGCTGCGTTGGATGATTAGAGTCGTTCTTGATAATATTTTACTTTTCTATAGGACCTACTTAGCAGATAATAAAATTGAAAATTGGTGCCTGCGGACAGATTATTGATTGAAGTGAACCTTAGCCCTGTAGCATTGTCGAGTGTTACGATCCTAACACTGAGGCTTAGTATATCAGGTAGGTACAGCTAGTATCAGTGTTACAATCCTAACACGAGCCCGTTGACGGTATCAGGTGGATACAACTGGTGACAGGATTGAGGTGGTTGTCTGTTGGTGGTAGAGTAAGGCAGTCAAGCAGTGTTCACAAGATATTGGTGAGAAGTGCGTATTCAAGTGTAGGGCTGTAGTTGTACTTGAATTGACTACTGGAGAGTCTTGAAAGACAAACTAGATACATGGTAGAACTCGTAGTTTATATAGACGTTTCCCTTCCAAGCTCTCCCGGGGACCGATGTTCTTCTAGCGTCGGTCCTTCCAAGGACCGTCCGTCCTTCTTCGTCGGTCCTGCCTTGGACCGTTGGGACCGCCTCGTCGGTCCTGTCGGTCCCAATTCTACTGGTCCGTGATCTTCCGAGTTTTATCCTTTTCTGCCACGCCTGACCGCCTTGGGCCTCCGAAACGGCCAGCTCGTGACAAACCATCATGAGCTAATCGCTGGTCGGCTAGCCTTCAACTCTCCCTTTTCCAGGAGTCTACGAGATGATATGATGGTGCAAGTGGTTTTTTTCAACGTCCCAGGTCTTGGTTAATATATCCTCTACTTCGGGAGAGTAATGGCTTGAGTCTCTCAAACAGCTGCAGCAGCGCAGCAGAGACCCTAGCTACTATAAGATATCGGATGCGAGGGAGGAGAGTGCCTGTATGACCCCGATTTATAAACCATGACGTGGTCTTTGATTTGCAGTGTGTCTGATCTCGTCCTTAGCCCTGCGCTTCGCATTATATCTATTGCCAGGAATCTACGATTAACCCGCCTCGCTCTTTCTCCGGGGTGGGGAAATCACTACATGCCATTCGAGCAGAAATAAATTCGCGACCAAGGGGAGACATTCCCAGTCTCTCGTTTCCCGTGAGACAGAAGCCCAAATAGATTCAGGAAATTGATATACTTGTCGGGTCCCATAAGGGGTAGGCTACAACCCAAGATGCCTAAAATGATCCCCGCCTCATCCGCAGCCGCGAGCCGCCTCAACTCACACAATAATACACGCCATATCATGCATGGTTGTACGGATTCCTCTTTTCCAGGCACCATCTCAGTGGCCCTTTATCCAGCATCTCCTTTACCTTCGCACTTTGCTGGACCCTAGTCGCCCTAGCTGCGGTACCAGCACCAGGCTTTGCAAATGTCATGGTGGGTGGAGGGCGACTGGGGATGGCGGCTTTCGCTCCTCTGGCAACGCTATTGGCAACCCCCTTGATCAGACTAATGAGGCCATTTATGAACCTCTTGTCCCGGAGATGGGTGTCACGGTTGGTGTCGAGGTCGGTGCCGATGTCGGTGTCGGCATTACGGTGCATGCTGTTCTCTTCAAGTGACCTCATAGAGAGAGTCACATATGCCACTGATGATTGAACGTGCCTGACCCACGGATCCAAGTACGCGCCGTTGTAAAAGCTCTCCTCTCCAGCATCGTCGAACGCCTCTAGCTCCCACTCATCGATCAACAGATCCCGAGGCCAATGTTCGAGAATGTCACCGCTGCTGAGATACTCTTCGTCGAAGAACTCCCCAGCGACGTCCTCTGCGAAGGGCAAGTCAATGCCCAGCGGTGCGATGGGGACGCAGAGACTGAGGCGTTTGATCTTTCTCTGCTGCTGACGTTTCTTTCGCTCAGGCTCTCTCTCCTTAAATTTGCTCACCATCCGCCGCTTCATCGCCGGCCACTTCTTCTCCTTCTTCTCCCGCCGCTTCTTGTTATCCTCGTCGTGCTGCCCGTTATCCGGGACGCAGCGTTTGTAGCCGGACTTGGGATCCGAAACTAGGGATCCCTCGCAACGAAGACAGCGGGAGCAGTTCTGTGGGTCAATGTAGTAGTGCTTGTTTTGGCACTTCTTCTTGCACTCACAAGAGTCATCCTGCGCCGGCTTGTTGTTGTTGCCATTGTTGCCATTGTTGTTGTCTTGTCGAGAAATGATGTATGGCTTGGATGGATGGCCGGAGGTGCTCGATGCCATATCACGGCTGCCATCGTAACCTTGGATCTGGGCGCGGTTACCAAAGCGTTCAGCGGGATGCGGCGGGCGACCGATGAAGGCAGCAGAAATGAGGTTGGCCGCTACAATCGCCATCTTCAGGGTCTTGGAGACGCGCATGATAGCAGATTCAAACTGAAGTAGGAAGAAGGAGGAAAGGCAAAGGATGAGAGAAAGGGAGATATTGCAGATTGAGTGTGTGGAAGAAATAACTTTCAGACACAGTACGTGAGACAAATTCAAAGCACGAGTATGTATGTCTCGATCGATGTCGGGAGTAGGAACAGAGATATCTAAACAAATACATCTCGAGGAAAGGATGGCCGCCATTTATCGAGCGTGAAGTAGGGCGCCGTATTTCCAAGTGTTTGGCATCACCACCAAGTCTTCACGACAGCTGCAACGGATATCTAGCCTGGCTTGGCAGGGTGGCTCTGTTCGCGCCACTCTAGATAGGATTCCCGAGCTCTGCGTTGGGATGGCGATGACGCGAGGAGATCCAGCGGATCAAATTGGTTCTGGGTGGTTCCAGATTCGAGGGTTCATCATGTCAAGTGAGCTCCCCTCCCTGTGGCTGTACTGATATCCTTGCCGCGAACACGGCCCATAACCTCTAGACTCAGGCCACTGAATACTAACTATAGATCTAGAAGGATTACTGCACCAGCACAGCCAACAAGGGATGTTTCGGAAATAGAGTCTTCCGTGCCTAAAAGGAGATACTCCAATATCGCGGGCCAGCGTGTTGATCCTGAAGGCTTATCATGATGTAGGGTAGGATGTCGGGGCTTGGGTGAGGTAGGATGTAGGATGTCGGCGTGGGCCGATGGCTCGGGCTTCGGCCGGCCTAATTCGGACCCGCCCCCACAGAGGAACCGGAAACTTCATCGGGTAGTACACGGTGATTCCTCGCTACCACACTCCGCGGCTATGTTTCTGGTCGAATGTCCGGCATCGGAACCAACAGCGTTAGATTCCTTTGAAGGATCAGTCGTTAATCCGATACCTCTCATGCTCCCAGCCACCCGCCCCCAAAGCACTGCCAGCGGCCCCCGCAGTGTTTCATCCTACCTGCAGCGGGGCTAACAGCCGCCAAAGTACAGCCAACAAACCCCAAAAGACAACCAATGGCTCCCAAAATACAGCCAACAGTCCAAGGCACAGCTGACGGTCTCGAGTGGTACGATGAATTTCGCTTGGCTCGGCAAACAAGATAAATCAGAAGCGCAGTAAATCCACATCAATGATCGTGATCGTTTCATGCCTACATGGCAGTCCTGATTTTCCGGAGGGCCTTCATCCGTTATAACCCCCGTGTCGGAGTGGGAGCTAGGCCTTTCGCGGCACTGAATGGAGAATGATCTTGTTCGCATTGATGAATGGTGATAGCGAAGCTACTTGGTGCTCTATAGAGCCTGATGGGAACATTGAACCCGGAATATTACGGGATCAGAGTCCACACCCTATGTAAAACCTTGCCGTCGCCCCTAATAATACATTAAAGAACCACCATAACTCCGATCCACAGCACAAGAAGCAGGGCTGCTGGTAGCCGAGCAGTCGCCTCATGTACACCCCCCTTCGCGGCACCTGACTTGGCACTTTCATCCTGTACTGGGCGGTCGAAAACAGAAGCCACAGAATCGAGGACGTAGCTCTCGAAATCTACGGCGCACGGGATACGGTCTTCATTCTCCCTGATGCAACTCTGGTACGCTCTCTGCGCGTCAAACTCGTCGCGTTCCTGGACTGGGTCGAAAGTATGGTAGAACCACTCGTAGGTCTCGTTCCAGTAATCAAAGGCCAAATCGTCATAGTCCTTGGGGATTTCGGAGATCCAGGCACAGTCCCAAAGGGGATCCTCGGCGGTGCGTGGGTGAGTGTCATAGTACGATGACGAGAAAGCGCTGAATTCGGGTGGCTGAGTGGGCAGCGTGTCCTTGACCTTTTCGATCTCGGAGGCACAGATTGATGAAGGGTGAATGCTGCCGGTTGGGGTGGCGGACAGACTGGAAGTCGAGGAGGGAGTTTCCACCACTATTCCAGTTGTCTCTTGTCGAGCATAGTGGTGAGGATGGCTTTGGGTCTGATAAGCTGTAGCGAGCCCGAGAAGAAAAAAAGAAAAGGTGGCGATGACACGATTCATGTTGGTGTGTTGTGTTGGAGGAATGAGTTGTGTAGTGGCTGTCTTGACTATGCGCGAGAAGACACAAAAAAGTTTGAAGGAAGTTGGAATGGTTGGTGTGAGAAAATGGCGTTGAGAAGACAGACGGGCCGGGGAAGATTCCTCCAGAACAAGTTTGGGGGAAATGTAGATTAGGGAGAGACGTTGACAAGAGAAAAAAAAAGTGATATATATGACATGACCTGGAAGTGGTCACAGACCGGTTATCCTGTTGGCCATTCCATTTTTTTTCTTGGCGCTGTTAGTTCTGGACCTTTCAATCACGATGGATTGATCAAGATGGTGGTCTATTAATAGTCCGTGTATGCAGCCGGGAAGGATTGCACACCCCAAGGCGCAGCACGCTTCCGCCGCCAACACGTCTGTATCAATGGATCTATCTTGTTTCAGGAACCAAGGCAGGATTAACTGGTCTTTTCAAATCGAGTAAATGGGAACATGTTGTGCCTTCGTGTAAAATCTATGCCAACCGCCGTAGATCTGTCGCATTTAAAACACCGCGCTATGTAGTAATCTGTCCCAACTTCGACGACCCTCCATTCCATTGGAGTACTCTAAAACGCCCATCTCTTCTATCTTGATCAGGTATTGCAATACATCAACTTATACAACCCGTAACTTCTCAGGAATCGTACTCAAGATTCTAACATCCATCGCAGGCTCTATCCATCGTCCCATACCATATCTACACATACACAGTAACGGACAATCATCAACGCACGAGCAACAAGAATCGCCTTCTCAAGTCTCCCAAAATCTGCAATGGCAACACTACTTCTTCTTTCCACCCTCTTCCTGCAGGCCGCTCATGCGTATGAGCTCATCTTCTACAGCGGATCGGGATGTCGAGGGCAAGATCTTGGCCGAATCGTTACGGGGACAACTGGTGATGAGTGCAAGCGAGATTACAGCGGTAACGCGGGATCGATTCTGGTCAGGAGCACCGGAGCTGTTGACAATAACTTCATGGTCGTGCTCTTCAGCGGCGACGACTGCAACCCGGACGGCGAGGTGAAGCATGGGGACGAGACCGATTTTTGTTTGGAAGAGCCTTACGCCGGATTTCAAGTCGTGGACACGAGCGTGGTCCCGGATGAGGATTAAGAGGAAGGAAGCGTCAGTAACACACAATTGACTCTCGGCGACTATGTATCTAGAGAATGATCTGTATGTACACGTAGGGTGAGAGTCGCGCAAAATTCAATAGGTATGGAGCTTGAGAGGAGCGCATACTAGAGACCAGCGTTCAATTAGTGACACATCCTGACCAAACATGCCCAGACTGGGCTTGATGGTTTCTTTGTCCATACTAGTGTGAGATCATCGCGGCCCCGTTCTTCGTATCTACATAGTAATGCACCAGGTCCATAAGACTCATACATCTAAGCGCGTGAAATGGATGCCATCACAGTGAACCATGGCGTTTATCCGAGGTGTTGGCGACCCAGAAAACCCAAGGGCGCAATTCGGTGTTGGGCACCCCAGGAGAGGGTACGAGCGAGAGATATGGTGGGGGTGGCTATGTACGCAAGAGACAACCAACCAGACATCATTGATCGACGAATCCGTCGCTGGGGGCCAAAAAATAGCGCAAAAGAACTTACAAAACCAACAGCGTCCGTTTACGGATAAATGGAGCGCTACCAGAGTTCAAAAGTCTGCGGCCAGACCAGTGGAGTTGGGGGCAGAAACCGCGCCCCATCGGAATAAGGCGATATGCGAGGCCTGTTGGCTGATGGCTCGCAGTCAATGAGCCGAATGGAGTGGGTTGCATGATGATGAAACCCCCAAGGCAGAATCCAAGTCAAATGCCTGGCGGCCAGAATCCTCCGGTGTCGGGACAGGCACTACAGGAATAGCACGACTTCAAACGTCGCCCCCAAGATAACGGGGCTTTGGTGGCCAGAATCCTCTAGGCTTCGGGCGTCGCCCCCAAGGTAACGAGGGCTTCGGCAGCCAGAATCCTCTAATGTCGGGACAGGCACCACACGAATAGCTGCAAGATTGCGAGCGTCGCCCCCAAGATGATGGATGAGGGCTTGGCTGGCGAGTCGACCGACGTTTCAAACCTCAAAGTAGCCAGCAATGCTTGGAGAACTAAGCCCCTTGCAACCCCCAGCTCAGTTGGCCCGAGGTCGAGATGGATGTCTTTGCGTCTTCTATCAAGCGCATTCCGGTCATCCTACCCGGCCGTGCTCGTGCCCCTGGATAAAATCTACTTGTATCAGTCGAAGTCCAGATCGGTTCAGTATTCATCACAGCTCCTCAAGCCCCAAGGACTGAAATCTCTCTTATAGTTGAGTGAAAACCGTCAGTTGATTGCACTCCAAGAGCCTCTTTTCTATTCTCAATCAAGCCAATTCGAGTTTTACAGTCGCCCTCCTTATCTGGCTCCTCCTGTTCCTCTTGTTCCTCCTCCCAAGTCTCAAGTCATTTCTCAACGCCGCAAGCCAAATGCGACCCAAAATCCCATCGCTCTTCCTCGGGGTAGCTCTACAACTCGCAGGCCTCATCTGGGCAGCCCCGCCTCAGAATAATGCACCCCTAATCGGCATCCAGTTGGACGAGCTTCCCCAAACCTTTTGGGACGAATTCCCCTCGAGCGAATATATCAGCTACACGGCGATTATTGAATTTGATCCGCAAAAAACTAATGTCAAGTGCGGAGGCATCAGCGATGGCGAACTTATGAATCTTGCCATGTACGCCTTCGATCAGATGCACGATTTAGCCGCGGTCTACAACCTAAAGCGCCCCAATGCAATGGCGGCTCTTGTGCATCAAGATCAGATATACTTTGCATCCTCTGTCCGAACAGACTGGCATCCGGAACGGCTCATCTCCATCGACAAAGAATATGGCGCAGAAGGGAGCGTCGGGAAGTATATAGAGGATTGTCTGCTTTCTGAGGACTGGGAGACCATAAACCACGGCACTGGAGGACTGTGTGCAGAACCCAACGTCATCCGCCTCTTACACCAGCATAAGAAGTCCTTTATCAAGCCAATTTCGGGAAATCGAATTATCGTTGTCGGCACCAATAGAGACACCACAGACTTCAAAGAGGCTAAGGACCCTTGCCCATCATTTAAGGGTAAAATAGGGTGTAGGGACTCGTTCAAGACGGAGTATGGCTTGAACTTTGTTAAGCCTGTTTGGAGAGAAGCTGACCCCAGAGTTTTCGATTTTTCCAAGGTCATGAATCCTCGACGTGCCAGACCTGTGCAGAGGTATTAGGGAGAGACGGTCCCTGGCTGGCTGGCTGGTTAATGGGAGTTCTACGCAAATGAAGGGGAGGTTGGAAGGCATTCTGCATGGTACACACCCATATAAATTTTCATATGACCATGGCTAAGCCTCCCGTGTAAAATGCATCCTATCTCATATGAGCCCCAAAATTGCATCGTGACCGAACTTTTTCCTGTATAACCAACGTTACCGTGTAACCAACGGATCGATGATGATTAGCGGTGCAGGGTGATTAGCGCTGGCCCAACTTCAAGTGAAACCTGTTGTCTGTGAGTACACCCTGCCCCTTATGCTGTGCCTGTTCAGCCTGTGCTACTTATTCTATCCCGGAAGTGGAAGCCCCCAGTATCCAGCGAGTTTTTGGAAAACTTCATATGAGATAATAGGCCTTTCATGACCATGTGCGAGGCATTTAAAATATTTAAAATATTTAAATATATGGCGGTTTCTAAGAGAAACGTTCCTAAGGACCGAACAGGTTCGTCCAACTTACATGATAGTGGTCCTAGTTCTAAGTTGTAGAAAAGACTTGCTTGTTTTATACGGATGAGCCAGCCAAGGTCATGTGACGGCCGCATAACGGCGAGGTGGAATTTACGAGGTGGTACATCGATTTTTCTGCAGGAATGTTCTATATATATCCTGGTCCACATCCCACATCCCACATCCCATATCCCGTCCTCACCTCTCATTCATCTCTCCGCATTCGTGGCCTTTTCATATGCAACAAGCAACATGTCCGACCAAACGAATCTAAATCCACGTCCTAGGCTAATCTCATACAATTTCGACCCCGAGTATGACCGTGATGACGGCCCAGATGCGAATGACCTTCGGGAGCTTAACAGGGCTGTTTGCGCCGGTGATTTGGAGAGGGTAAAACGAGCCATAAAGCCCGAAACCGACCTCACGGTGCAGTTCGGGAGTTCTTATCTCGCAGATTCACTTCTGTCCGACGCTATACTGCATTCGCACATGCACATCGTAGGATTCCTGCTTGCGCTTGGTGCCGACCCTGCAACACCATCGTGTACTAGTCAGCGACAGGCGCTCCACGATGCAGCGGAACTGGGAAACGTCGAAGCCGTTCGTCTTTTCCTAGATCTCGGGGCTGATGTGAATTCGGTTTGTGAAACCGATGGCTTCAGTGGAGGTCACACGACGGCCTTGTGGCTTGCGATACATAGAGGAGGTGAAATGGGAAGCCGACATTGGCCCCCGGGTGCTGATCCCCAGCGACTTTATACCAAAAAATGGGTTGAGACGATTGAGCTCTTGCTTGCCCGTGGTGCTCACTTCCCGCCGCGTCCACCAAGCGACCCCTACTTTAATCCTTCTTTTTTCGATCCGCCAATTCCCAGTGATGAAGCGACTCTAGTAGGTTTGATTCCGCCCTATTTTCGAATTGGTTTCTCTAACTATTAATCCCACACTAGCTACGAAAGGCCCTACGCCCGAGATCCAGGGCACTTTGTATGTCGTACCTAAACGAACTCAAAGCTTCCAACTCCATTCCGCCCAACGCCCTCGTCATCGCCGCACAGAGCTTTTTTGTTCAAGGCGTCCAAGATCTCATCCAAGAATTCGGTTATCGAGATGAAAGCTGCAGTGCCCTGAAAGCCACCTCATGGTTTCCCACTGACGACAAAGATGTCGAGGACATCAAGATCCTTGTCAACATCGCTCGCCTGCTGCTCAACTCCCGAGATGACTGCAATCTAGAGGACATCCATCTTGTAGACACCCTTTGCGAATTCTCAAGAGTTGCGAATCTAGAGCTCATGGCTTTAGTTCTCGACCATGGTGTAGACGCTAATGCGGTGGGGTCGAGTGGCGCAACGCCGTTTTTAGTGTCCTGTGGGAGCTGGTCGACTCATTCGTCGTTTACACTGGCGGCTATGCAACTCCTGCTTGATCGCGGAGCAGATGTTCATAGTCGAGTTCAGCATGGTAAGACAGTTTTCTTTTATATTACTTGAAGTTACTAGTATATATATGCTGATTATAAGTCTATAGTTGATGGACAGGACCCTACAGGCATGTTATCGTATATACCAGGAAACACTTGTTGTAAGGACTAGTATATTGCCTTTCTCTTGCCCTGTGAAAATAGCTAGGTGCTAACTAGAGAAAATGACGTGAACTTGTAGTGCATCAATGGGCTAGACAAAGAGACCCTGCAGCACTAAAACTGCTCCTTGACGAAGGCGCCAATGTCAACGCAAGCAACGGAAACGGAGAGACAGCCATGATGAGACTCGCTACCCACGGAAACAACCATGAATCGATGAAACTGCTAGTGGGAGCAGGCGCCAATGTCAACGCTGTCGACAAACGGGGCCAGACAGTTCTCCATCACCTTGCATTGATGGTTGTGGCTATGTATATCCCCCACGATTCACTTGCGAAAGACATATCCTTGACTCTTGAGTTGTTAGCGCAACATGGCGCAGACTCCTCTATTGTTGATGAAGATAGAAACAGGGCTGGAGATATACTTCTTCGGCTCCCTTGCTGCTTGAAGGATTGGCTGGGGCCTAACTTGGCAAGTTTCTTTGGCTTACATGAGACCTCTTGAGTTAGAGTGACGAGTTACAAAGGTAAACCGACTCGTCCTGACCTCAGCGAATCCCTTGCCGCCTTTGGAGCTCAAGCACTGGCGCTGCACACATAGACACTGGCGCAAAGCACCTACCCAGAAGGCAAGAAGATCTTATACATCTAGCAGGCGTCGTATTGTCTCGATTCATCACATATAACAGATGTAAGCACGCTCTTGGCCTTGCAGTACTGTATTGTCAAGTACCCGTCATATGCCGATGCAAGTACAGTGCAGATGTCAATATATAATCATCATTGTATTATAGTGCCTATCTAAATGTGAATTTAATAAACTTCACAGTGCCAGAACTATTTCCCAAGGCAAATATATGCTTGTAGGAAGCCGAAGCCGTAGGCCTAATGTCTGGAGGAAGCCAGAGAATTTTTTTCCCATCTCGTTCCACCCAATCATTGCTAAGGATACATGGCATGGTCTGGCGGTCATTGTGAACTGCTAGCTGACCGTGATCCGTGTTTAAATATCGATTATCGGCAGAAAATAATAGGCTCGTGATTTCCCGATCGCCTCGATGTACCTGCTTCTCCTCGCCCGTCTTCGCATCCCAGAGCCGGATAGTTTTATCACTTGATGCCGATGCCAGTATCAAGCCATCAGGCGAGAAGGCAACAGCGTTGACCCTGTCACTATGGCCCTCGAGGACCTGCTTCTTCTCGCCCGTCTTCGCATCCCAGAGCCAGATAGTTCGATCATTTGATGCCGATGCAAGCATCAAGCTGTCAGGCGAGAAGGCGACAGCAATGACCTCACCTCTATGGCCTTTAAGGATGTGCTTCTCCTCACTCAAGTCCATATTCCAGAGCCGGATAGTTCGATCACTTGATGCCGATGCGAGCATCAAGCCGTCGGGCGAGAAGGTAACGATATTATCCCAGGCACTATGGCCCTTGAGGACCTGCCTTTTCTCGCCTGTCTTTATATCCCAAAGCCGAATAGTTTGATCATGAGATGCCGATACAAGCATCAAGCCATCAGGGGAGAAGGCGACAACGTCAACCCAGTCACTATGGCCCTCGAGGACCTGCTTCTCCTCACCCGTCTTCACATCCCAAAGTCGGATGGTTCGATCGTGTGATGCCGATACGAGTATCGAGCCGTCAGGCGAGAAAGCTACAGTATCAACCCAGTCGCTATGGCCCTTGAGGATCTGCTTCTCCTCGCCCGTCTTCGTATCCCAAAGCCGAATGGTTCGATCACGTGACGCCGATGCCAGTATCGAGCAGTCAGGCGAGAAAGCGATGGCGTCGACCGGGGAGCTATGGCCCTCGAGGACCTGCAAACACGCATTCCATTCTCGGTCGACTTTTGGCAACAACGAAATCCATCCTGGAATATAGCCTTCGAATATATTTCGGAGTATACTGCTTTTTGGCGCGAAAATGAGAGCAGAAGAATAAACTTGTATGGGATAAAGATCGATTATTGAGCGATAGGTAAGGATGAAACGGTTTGCGTCTCGTAAAAAGGCGGAGATACGGCTCCCGGTACCGGGCTAGACAACTTATGTCAGCGGATATATGGGACTATATTGGCGTGACTTACACTGATGAGAGCTTGTAAACTCTTGATCATGGTAATGCTATCAGAGATCTTGCCTAGTAGGCTTAATGCTTCGAGCCAGTAAAGAAAGTGTGATTTGAGGAACGAGTATGCTTGATGGCTGTCGGTTATTTGGACATTGCTGTGTTCTATGTGATGGACCCAGTATAGACACGCATACCGAACGTCTGCTGGTAGATATAATTCGATGACCGCTGGGTCGATATCTGCGCGACTAAGTCCAGACATTTCCTGGCTGAAAATAATATCCTTCCTCAAGTAGCCACTACCCAATAGAAGTTCTAGGCATCTGATTGCAATCCTCTCGTGGGTTGCCCGCTCGTCTACCCAGAATGGGTTATTGTCGCGCTTATCAGGGTCTATGAGAAAGTCGCGGAACGATAGATGGAACATCCTAATAGGAGCGTCGGTAGAGGCTGGCACGCTGAGGACAGAATGAAGAGAGTCGAGTCTACGGTCTATAACGGACTTGTTGATATCGAGAAGACGGGCTAAAGACGATATTGATAGAGGCTCAGCTAAAAGCACAATCGAGCCCACAACAATCCGGAACTCATTTGCGAGCGATCTCTTAGCCGCGTCAGTACCCCTGAGCAGCTGGTCAAGGATCGGACGATAGGTAGCATCTAGTTTGTCAATTTCGGATTGCTGAGTCCTTGACCGGTACTCGAGGACCTTTTGTAGTTGCCCAGCGGGATCGGACCATGCTGGATCTTCGATGAAACGACAGATAGTAGCTGCAAAGATAAAGAGCGGAACGGCCATCTGGACTAGATCCCTGACTGCGTTGGAGCCCGGCCAAACCGCCGGAAGTTGGCGATCGGCACGCAGCAGAGCGTTGTAGTCCTCCTTAATTATAGTAAGCCTGTGGTTGAGAAATGCAGTTATATCATGCTCGATGATTGACTTTGGTAGATCGTGCAAAATTAAATCGTGGTATTTGCCTCTGATGTCATTGAAGCCAAGTCGAATGGGCAGCTCGGGTCTACTCGTCACGAAGCACCTCAGCTGCACTGAGGTCAACGTCTTCGCCTGCGATAATAGGTAAATGATGGCTCTGATATCACCGTCTCGTTCGCACTCGTCGAGGGCGTCAATGACGAGGATAATTCTCTTTACCCCGTTCGGGATATACTCTAAGTTTTTTAGTGGCTGTAGGATAAGACTTTGGAATTGCTCTTTTAGAGCTTTACCTGTAATAGCAGGGTCGGCGTCGATAGCAGCCCGGATATATGTTGCTAGAGAAGGCTCCTTGTAGACAAGTCTAGAAGCAATAGTTGTGAATAATCGAGCTGCGTTTCCGCGGTCCTGCTCGCCTCTCTTGAAAAAGAAGCTTGCGCCAAGATCCCCTTTGTCGGCAAATGATTGTGCTACTGTACGTGATATTGTAGACTTCCCTGTACCTGCTATGCCACTGAGCCAGAATATGCATTTCCCATGCGGATCATCGGCCCATCTCATAATATCCTGGCGAAGGGCGACCCGGGTTTCGGGGTGGCATTGTGCGTTATGCTCATCGGCGTGAGAATCGAATGCTGCATCTTTCGCAATCGGAAGTTTAGAGAGAACTAGCTTTTGGCTAATGTCAAGGACATTCATCCTAAATCATGTTAGTAAGTGGAAATTAAGGGGTAGGCAGCGACATACGCCAGATCGATAGTGAGGGCCGCTGATAGCATGTCTCGATATCCTTCTAGGGTTCTGATGATGCTACCGACATCTTTGTTCTCAAATGGCCACTTTAGAGCGCGGACACCAAACTTTCTCATCGCCTTACGAGCGGTCCCAGCGTTAAGTTTCGTCTCCAACTTCGTTTGCAGCTCGATGAGTTGGGAAGAACAGCCGTGAAGCCCATCGCGTAGTCGCTGCGAAGTTTGGAGCTGCGCCCCATTCGGTCCGTCAAATAGCTGCCGGGTACTGTGGAGAGTGGTTTTAAGTGTGTCAAGTTCTCCGCATAGGCGTTTGATATCGGACTTTGCACTCTTCACTTCCTTAAAGTATTGAAAGCAGAGCGACGTGACCTTTGCGGTCAGGTCGATTACTGCAATGACACTTGCTGCTGATCCTAAACCGTCCATTATATCTTAGTCGAGAAGAGATCAAACTATTAGAATGAAGCACTGAGGAGTGGGCAATCTGGCTTCGCAGATGGTGGGTATTGCCAGGGTGCTGCCAATGCTCTGCTCCACATTGTTTGAACAAAAAAAAAAAAAAAAAAAAAAAAAAAAAAAAAAGGGTGCGAGGAGCAATGTTCCACGTCAAAGAGTGGCAAGTGCTTTTTAGAGCTGTTTCCATAGTTTAGGTGCCTTCGCGCTTCTCAGCTTTTCTGTCCTTGCAGCCTGATTGTGGCGTTGGGCTTCGGGTTTCGGCAAAGTAAATACAAAGTGGGGATTAGTGAAGTACCAAGTATCAGTGAAGCATAATACACACTCTCAACAGGCCGTCCGTGCGTCTGAAACAATGTTTAAGAGTTTAAAAAAAATAGGACAGTCGAAGTAGTCCCTTGCACGACCCGATCCTTTCGTACCATCCGATCAACGTTCATGCGATTCGGGACGACGACCATGCCTGCGAATCGTACCGGCCCCGATCCCAAGATTACCCCCACGATGGGAGACGCGCTTTGCCTCCGGCTAGCTAAAGAACCTGACATGAACCTGCGTGAGATGGCTGATTTCATCAATGAAGAGTTTGACAAAGAAGTATCCGTCACTACGATTTTTCGAACCTTAAACTGGCGTAAAATATCCTACAAGGTAATGAGGCGCGTAGCCCAGCAACAGATGCCTGATCTACAACACTTCTACTGTTATAGACTTAAAATGCTGGGATGCCGGTCATATCATGGGGTATTTGTTGATGAGTCTGGCATCAGCAGACCCGGCATGTTTCAACGTAAGGGGCGGTCTCTAAAGGGCATCGCTCCAGTGCAGAAGGCTAAGTTCGAACGCAGGACTAGAGTACAGTTCATCGCAGCATACACACAGAGGGGTGTAAAGCTGTGCCGATTCTTCACCAGATCAATGAACAAGCCTCTATTTGAAGACTTTAATCAAACAATTGCTTTGTCACTGTGGCAAATGGCCAGAGCCGGAGACCGTACTTATTATGGATAATGTGGGGTTTCACTACTCAGACAAAGTCCGGGAAATGTATGTGGACGCCGGCGTCAAACTGGATTTTACCCCACCATATACACCAAGGACCGATCCGATCGAGGAGTTTTTTTGGGGAAGTCAAGACACACGTTAAATCACAACGCAAAACATACAGGGGGCTTATTCAGAGGGATTTTGAGACCTATATAAAGGGCTGTGTCAAGGCAGTGGGCAGCCGACAAGAGAGTGCCGAGGGTCACTTTCGAAACGCTGGACTTTATGTTGAACAACCCCCTAAGACATTCGTTGTAAACTGCTAAAAGAATGAAAACCTTCAATCTACTTTGACTTCATTTGCCCATTCAGGGATCGCAAAGTTGGTGTCCGGCATGACGCCTGAAGGAGGCAAGGAGACAAAGAGGCGAAAAGACAAAAAGGCGAAAAGGGAAACATGGTGGAAACGAATGGGGAGGGACGTCAAGAGACGGAAACAGAGGTTGACAGAGGGTGAAACGTGGCCACTCTGAGGGATGGAATCTTCTGGAATTGTTTCAAGCGGATCACATGACCTACCAATTCGTTAGGTCTAGGTCCTGCCATCAGCGACCGGAGGTCACAAATTTTGTGAAGCAGAAGCACAAGCAAGACCAGGAGCAGGACTAGGAGCGAACATGGATAGGCCGGAGCTATCGAGGAACAATGGCGCTTTTAAGCACTCCTCAAGAGCGCAGATGGAGTGAATCTGTTCTTGAGCACTGGTTATGACTACTGACACGAAATGGCGTTACAGGTTCCAGGTTACACGCTTCAAAGACCCACTTTACGTGTCAGTGGACAGGACTCTACATATACAACAGGGCGACACAGTGTAGGATAAATTAACACTATAATGTTGTGACGGTGAAAAGGGGGACATTCTCACATGACTGCAAGGATGGGCCGGAAGAACTTTATTCCCTGCTATAAGCCATGACCATAATTATTTCTTTTCTTTCCTTCTTCCAGAAGGAATTCTAGAAGTTCTTCAATCAATCAAGTCATCAGTNTCAAATTTCTTCCCTATCAACTTTCGATGCGAAGGTCTTGTCTTCGCATGGTTGCAACGGGTAACGGAGGGTTAGGGCTCGACCCCGGAGAAGGAGCCTGAGAAACGGCTACTACATCCAAGGAAGGCAGCAGGCAATCCCGACACGGGGAGGTAGTGACAATAAATACTGATACAGGGCTCTTTTGGGTCTTGTAATCGGAATGAGTACAATTTAAATCCCTTAACGAGGAACAATTGGAGGGCAAGTCTGGTGCCAGCAGCCGCGGTAATTCCAGCTCCAATAGCGTATATTAAAGTTGTTGTGGTTAAAAAGCTCGTAGTTGAACCTTGGGCCTGGCTGGCCGGTCCCCCTCACCGGGTGCACTGATCCAGCCGGGCCTTTCCCTCTGTGGAACCCCATGGCCTTCACTGGCCGTGGCGGGGAAACAGGACTTTTACTTTGAAAAAATTAGAGTGCTCCAGGCAGGCCTATGCTCGAATACATTAGCATGGAATAATAGAATAGGACGTGTGGTTCTATTTTGTTGGTTTCTAGGACCGCCGTAATGATTAATAGGGACAGTCGGGGGCATCAGTATTCAATTGTCAGAGGTGAAATTCTTGGATCTATTGAAGACTAACTACTGCGAAAGCATTTGCCAAGGATGTTTTCATTGATAAGGAACGAAAGTTAGGGGATCGAAGACGATCAGATACCGTCGTAGTCTTAACTATAAACTATGCCGACTAGGGATCGGACGATGTTATTTCTTGACGCGTTCGGCACCTTTCGAGAAATCAAAGTGCTTGGGCTCCAGGGGGAGTATGGTCGCAAGGCTGAAACTTAAAGAAATTGACGGAAGGGCACCACCAGGGGTTAACGTCTAACTGTTAAGCCACAGAAGAAATCTGCTCCTGAAAGCCGCCCGAAAGGGTGAGGTGGTGTCCGGAGCGTGCGAGCTCGAATTTAAAGGCTAGTCCTCCAATGCGGAGGGCGACATCCTCAAATTGCGGGGAACTCCTAAAGCTTTCACTCCAAAGCCGGTTCGCGAAAGCCGCCGGTGGCCAGGTTAACAGCCTCGGGTACTGGAAAAACGTGGAAGATGCGACAATGGACAATCCGCAGCCAAGCCCCTAAAGGCTCCCCGTCGAGGGACGCCCACGGGGAAGGTTCAGAGACTTAACGGGGATGGGTATGCGCCGAGAGGCGCCTGCTTAAGATAAAGTCCGGCCCTGCGCGAGAGCGCGGGGGTAGCAGGGAACCTGCGGCTTAATTTGACTCAACACGGGGAAACTCACCAGGTCCAGACACAGTGAGGATTGACAGATTGAGAGCTCTTTCTTGATTCTGTGGGTGGTGGTGCATGGCCGTTCTTAGTTGGTGGAGTGATTTGTCTGCTTAATTGCGATAACGAACGAGACCTTAACCTGCTAAATAGCCCGTACTGCTTTGGCAGTTCGCCGGCTTCTTAGAGGGACTATCGGCTCAAGCCGATGGAAGTTTGAGGCAATAACAGGTCTGTGATGCCCTTAGATGTCCTGGGCCGCACGCGCGTTACACTGACAGAGCCAGCGAGTATTTCCTTGGCCGGAAGGCCCGGGTAATCTTGTTAAACTCTGTCGTGCTGGGGATAGAGCATTGCAATTATTGCTCTTCAACGAGGAATCCCTAGTAAGCGCAAGTCATCAGCTTGCGTTGATTACGTCCCTGCCCTTTGTACACACCGCCCGTCGCTACTACCGATTGAATGGCTCAGTGAGGCCTCCGGACTGGCCCAGAGAGGTGGGCAACTACCACTCAGGGCCGGAAAGTTGTCCAAACTCGGTCATTTAGAGGAAGTAAAAGTCGTAACAAGGTCTCCGTTGGTGAACCAGCGGAGGGATCATTACAGAGTTACTACTCCAAACCCATTGTGAACCTTACCTATGTTCTGTTGCCTCGGCGGCGTCGGTCAGCGCCCCTCTGAAAAGAGGACGATGCCCCTCCCGCCGGCAGCACCAAACTCTTGAATTTTACAGCGGATTACAGTTCTGATTTGAAAACAAAAAACAAGTTAAAACTTTCAACAACGGATCTCTTGGTTCTGGCATCGATGAAGAACGCAGCGAAATGCGATAAGTAATGTGAATTGCAGAATTCAGTGAATCATCGAATCTTTGAACGCACATTGCGCCCGGCAGTAATCTGCCGGGCATGCCTGTCCGAGCGTCATTTCAACCCTCGAACCTCCGTTTCCTTAGGGAAGCCTAGGGTCGGTGTTGGGGCGCTACGGCGAGTCCTCGCGACCCCCGTAGGCCCTGAAATACAGTGGCGGTCCCGCCGCGGTTGCCTTCTGCGTAGTAAGTCTCTTTTGCAAGCTCGCATTGGGTCCCGGCGGAGGCCTGCCGTCAAACCACCTAACAACTCCAGATGGTTTGACCTCGGATCAGGTAGGGTTACCCGCTGAACTTAAGCATATCAATAAGCGGAGGAAAAGAAACCAACAGGGATTGCCTCAGTAACGGCGAGTGAAGCGGCAACAGCTCAAATTTGAAATCTGGCGGCCTCTGGGCC